TAACAAATCATGTTTATATTTAATAGACGAATTTAATTACCATAAATTAGTAAATTGTTATAAATTAAGATATAATCCGTTGATTTTGCCTACCATAAATTAATGATTTTGATATAAACGATTTAGATTTAAATGATTAAGGAAATATATACATATTATGGATTTTACATGATTAAGGAAATATATATTCAAAGAAAATCGAATAGGATAATGATTACTTAATAAATAATTCTTCAATTTTTAATATATAATGAAATGACAAAAGTTTATTTATAAAAATCTTACAAATAAAATGTTATATTATCAAATGTATTTAAAAATGTTAATATAGATTGATTTGGTTGGTCAAGTTAAAAATTAAAATAGTTTAAAAAGTCAACTACATTGAATATTACATAATAAGAAAACATGGAATGGTTTCTATTAAAACAAATATTAAAATACTCAATGTTTAAAATTTCGATAAAGATCTTTATAAAATATTTGAAATTAAGAAAATCTTGCCAATTAAGCTAAATTTTAGGCATTGTATCTTACAAATAAAGTTAAATATCAAACGTAATAATTATCTTTCCTTTAATATTGAAAACCAATTTTTTTTTATCAACTGAAAAATGAACGATGGAGATTAAATCTCTAAACCCGATTAACATATCCGTTTAGTTAGTTAAATCCGCGTGTTAACCCAGTTAGAAATGATAATTATTTCATTTTGAAAGTATATTGTAAATTCATTGTGTACTTCAGTTTTAATAGTATAGATATTTCCATTGGATTGGTTTTGTGCGTCCCTTAACGGGTAAGCAAAAAGTAATGTGAAACCCATTTGGCATCGCAAATCACAAAAGCAGGCTTATGCTCTCAGTCAGTCCATTGGTCGGGCACAAGATTCTTCTGTCTTAAAAATGCTTATCTAGTTTATCTGACTATATAGTAGCTCACAAATAGACCAAGGCTGCTTGCTTTTAAAATCATTGGTGAGGCATCATTACCATATTAAAGGGTTCCTTCCTCGTAATGACAATTTTATTAGCTTTAACCCAGCCAGATTACATCATCGAACAGATTATAGCTCACATACCTCTCTATGAACAGTTGAACACACTATTGTATATTACTGAACCCTTCCCCTACGTTTGCTAAACCTGGAAGGACTAAATCGACTAATATCAACGCTAGTGGCTACGCCGTCTACAATAAGCTCAGCCAATGCAGCACCCGTGGCTGGACCATTAAGAATCCCCCAGCAACTATGTCCTGTGGCTACATAACAACCCTTAATTCCTGGAATCTCTCCTATCACTGGCACTCCATCGTCCGTGCTGGGCAAGAAACACGCTTGCTCTGCTATTACTAAAGCGTTTTCTTCATTCAGATAGCTCGAGACTGTTTTCGCGACTCTTTTGAGAACCTGGATTGATTCAAGATTGCTTATGATATGATCTGGATCATCAGGTACTTCTTCTTGTGATGACATTCCACATATGTAGACTTCACCTGTCCCACAAACAACAATAAAAACACATACCAATCTCCCATAACTTGTATCAGTCCCCAAAGATTAGAAGCATTCAATCAAAGTCACCATAACTTAAACAAAAGATCACACCAAAAAACCCGGAACTTTGCAGTAACACTCAAATAGTAGAAGCAAAAGTTCATCTTTTAGCTACCAGCCTATTACAGATATAAGATAACAAGAAAGAACCGGAATTTTGCCAAATAATCACACTTTTTGCATTAATTCTCAGTTATTGAAAGCAAATGATCCAATTTGAAGCTAACTCAGATAGGAAATCACGTAAAGACCAAAATTTCGACGAAGAGATATACCTGTAGGACGAGGATATACTTCAGGGTCCAAAGCTTGACCACCATGAGAAGGATGGTAAGTTAAAAAAAGGGCATGAGGTGTTATAGCATTTGGTTCCTTGGGTTCCAAGACAATGCTATGAGCTTTCGTACCATAAACCTTAAAAATCGAAGACAACAGCTCAAATTTACTAGACCATGGACCCATCGCCAGAACCACCGTATGAGTATCGATAACTCGCCCACCTTCAAGCACCACTGCGTCAACTCGCCCTGATTCCACTCTCACCTCTTCCAATTTCCCGATCATAACCTCAACACCATACTTCTCCGTCGCCGTCGATAACAACTTCCGAGTGAAAAGCTGAGGATGCACTTGCGCTGTGGTTTGAGTCGTACCAATCGTTGATGGGGTTTTAGCAGGGCCGTTGACCCAATCCGGTAAACCCAAACCGCCGGAACCGGGTTTTGATTCCGTCACGGTGAGGCTAAGAGTCGTGAGTGGTCTGTATCCATACGATTCGACGCCGTTTAGCTCCTCAGCTAGCGAGCGATGGAGGTTAAAGCTCGCGCGTGCTAAAGCCGCAACAGGGCTTCCATCGCACCAATCAAAAGCGAGAAATCCACCGGCTTTACCGGAAGCAGCGCACGCAATGGCTGATTTCTCGACGAGAGTGACGGTGATTCCTTTCTTGGCGAGGAAATACGCCGTGCAGACGCCGATTACGCCGCCGCCGCATACGACGACCCGCTTCGAGGTTTCTCCATCGATTTGGTTTTTCCCTGCCATTGCTTTTGATGACTTGGAGCAGATCGTTGTTCGTCGGGACAACGCCGGAGGAAATAAGAACGATGAGATCACCGCCATTTAGCAGGATGAGGTGGATGACTCACCGAGTCCACACGTATGTTGCAGGAAAACTAGTTATTGGGCTTATAATATGATTGAGCCGATCGTTTTAAGCCCATTTAAATCTATTTGAAATTGTCTATTTGATATTGTAATTTGTAAATGATAGCAAAAAGACCAAAATAGCTTAAGACGTTGTCGTTTTATGCATCTGTTCATGAATATAATTAGTTATGGGAATTACCAATTTATCTCTTTCACTACGTATATATATTTTGTTATTCTTCGGTAAACATATATAATTTTAGTACTGAATTATTTGATATAATTGAGTATTTTGGAATCCTTTGTTTTTGCTTTTAAAGTATACACATGATACCATTTCCACAATCTTAAATACAAATCAAATATGAATTAGTATTTATATAAAATCTTATTGGAAAAACTGCTAATGATGAATAAGTTTACTTCTTACTTGATGCAGCGAGATATTTGAAATATTTCCAAATATTCTCAAATATCTTTAGTTATTATCTTTAGCTAATTATTTATTATTATTCCAGAATATTCCAAGTATTAGGGTTTTAAGGTTTATTATAAATAGAGACTTTTAGTAAAGTTTGTAATTTAGTTTATGATTGATATTGATTTTGATTAATAAAGTTGAGAGGTTTCTCCTTTATAAACGAGCTTTCGGGCACGGGGAAGAGTATTCCCAACTTATCTAACAAGCTTTCGGGCACGGGGAAGAGTATTCCCAAATTTATCCTTTTTATCGCTTCCGCTCTCTATCATTTGGTATCAGAGCTAAAACGGTTCTTTTCATGATGCCTCCAAAGAATTTACAAGACCAACAAAGCGGACTACCTGATGCTTTACAACAATCATTACTGGATTTTACACAGAATCTTGGTAGAGCCCTTGAGGTACACTTTCAAGCCCAGCTTCAATTGATTGATCGACTGCAACAACAACAACAAGTTTTGCCTCATGATAACCATCGATTCAATGAAGATGTTGAACCCGATCTTGAAGACGATGTTGATGATGAAGTTGTTGAAGGCGATAACGAAGATGGTGTTGTTGTTGATGAGGATGATGATGGAAACGATGGTGATGAAGATGACACCATGGTTTCAGAGTTCGTCTTCAAAGAGAAAGATTTTGTGAATCTGGTTCGTGCAGATACCGGGCGAAATCGGATCTGTGCAAATTTCGGGCAAGATACGGTTCGTGCAAATTTCGGGTTAAACCAGATTCGTGCAAAATCTGTGCAAAATCAAAAGTTGGTTATTAAAATGGATTTGCGAAGATTTTCTTTGTTGAACACCCTGTTGAAGATTCGAGGGCGAATCTTTCTTGGCCGGTGGGAGCTGATGCAGCGCAGATACAAGATTCGAGGACGAATCTTTTCTTGGCCGGCGAGACCTGATGCTGCGAGATATTTGAAATATTTCCAAATATTCTCAAATATCTTTAGTTATTATCTTTAGCTAATTATTTATTATTATTCCAGAATATTCCAAGTATTAGGGTTGTAAAGTTTATTATAAATAGAGACTTTTAGGAAAGTTTGTAATTTAGTTTATGATTGATATTGATTTTGATTAATAAAGTTGAGAGGTTTCTCCTTTATAAACGAGCTTTCGGGCACGGGGAAAAGTATTCCCAACTTATCTAACAAGCTTTCGGACACGGGGAAAAGTATTCCCAAATTTATCCTTTTTATCGTTTCCGCTCTCTATCATTACTATAGCATCCATCCTATTCACGATTTGAAGTTTGATAATTTGGAGACAACCTTTACCAAATGATAATTTCTCAGTCTGTTTCAATATATCTTTGCATCTCGTATTGTACTAATAATATGAATTGCTAGCTTCTTTCTATTGCAGGTACCTCACTATTTATTTGTTGTATGCAAATGAAATCAAAGTGTGACTGATTTAGATGGTTTGAAGAAGATGAAAAGGACTTGTTAGAATAAATAATTGAAAAGGACAAGTGACCAAACTAACAAATCGCACAGGCCATTCCAAAATTTGGGCTCCACCACTTTGACGACAAAAGCCCATTAATAAGGGGGGCGGCTCCTTCTTCGGCCTTTCATCAACATCAACCACACACTGACACACACACTCCTAATGATTATTATATTTAAAAATATTTATGAGAGCCACTGTGATGTTTTCAACTTTTCAGTTTAGTACCGCCGAAACTTTTTCATATAATATTTCATTCTGTTTATAAACAGAAGCTTCCTTGTGTTCACTGAACTTTGTTTTCTATATATGAATGGTTTATGCAGTTTTAGAAACTATATGAAATCGTTAGTTCATGGACCTCATGGCTCTCCACTTTCATGTACGTTAGTTCATGGTTCTATTAATAAAACATAAGTAGTTTAATTCTAATTTGCAACATAGTCTTCCTACGTCTTCCTTATTTATCAGGCGTGATTCTCAATCCATTGTCATTGTACACAAAAGTTGATGATGTGGTCGATTTTTTCCTCCACAAGAGAATTGTTGTTTTCTGAAAATAGGTAATGTACCAAATTCAGAACAATTCATATACTATTGACCAAAAAACAGTGTATATATATATATCACTTTTAATATATAACAATAATTATCGCTTTTAACATATTAATATTATAATGGTCTAAATTATTAGTAATATTAAGTCAAAAAAAGCCGGCGGCCAATGTGGGGAAAAGCTTCACACACTTTGATGTAATCAGTCCTTTTGTTTCTAACTTTAATGTATATTGCCCTAACTTTTTGCTGGCTCATAAAACGTGTATTCCATATATTATCTTTATACAAATATTATCAAAATATTAAGTTACCAATATATATATATATGCCAATTGTATATTTAAAAGCTATTATCATCTCAGTTACGAAGTTGATAAATTCATTAAGGCTATCATGTAAAACATGCATGTCATAAAACTTTAGATGATGTATGTAATAATCAGGATCCAAGTTTTTGTTTTATACGTGGAATTAATCAACTAGTAGCTTATGATACGTATAATTTTGTTTGAGAACCTATTCGTTCCAAAGATATGTCATGCTTTATCACGTACATACGATTGATGCAGGATATATAAGAACGCGATAATCATAATTTGTTTGATTCATAACTCTTGAGACGGGAATAATTAAGGAAGTGCTTGCAATATGATATGAGTTCAGGATTCTAAAAATTTGAACAAATTAATTCGATGAAGTTTTACATATAGCAAGAGTGAAACAGTACTTGTTAGGTACTATAGTATATATGATATATACAATAAAACGTTTTAAATTATTCCGGGCATAAGAAAAAAAGAAGAGTATACACTTTTTATTTGTCGTCCAACAAAGTACGTATCGCTTTTGAATCAAGCTAGTAAAGGTGTTAGGTGTGTGTGTGGCTTAAGCATAACAACATCAGAAGACCTAAATATTTATCTTAAGCACGAAGGCCACTGAACGCCGTCGTTTCCGCGACGACCATACGCATTAATGCAGATTTGTGTGTGTGGATGCATACATGCACACGTGTGGGAAGGTGAAGGTACAAAATGGTGCATACGGCTTAAGGATAAGCAAGAACGGAAGGATATATTTATATATTTTTTTGTAGCAGGAGCATCTTTCTTATTCTATACAAACTACAAGTAAAACGAACCACATGCGCCTGTTTTTATTTTTATTGCTTTTATGAATCTTTGTTGACAGCATTATTGTTCTTCTTTTACAGTATAGATTTGTTTTTAAAACTCTAGATTTACAAAAGGATATCGATGGGATGTGGATAATGATGTTACATATATAGCATCGTTTTACCGATCGATATCAAAATATAGTTTCTATAGTCATTTAGAATTTTCCTCAAATTATCATTTGTATACATTTAATTTTACGTAAATAGTGTAGAGTCTTCTTCCATAGATATGCATTCTATAATCTGATTTGGTAAAGAAACAAATAAAAACTTAATTTTTTCTCAACATTAACTTTATCTTTGTATTTATAATATTAAGTTCTTAGCTTAAAATTTTATATAAATTTGGTGACAGTTCAACTTAACACCCGTATAAAACCGTTAACAATTAATGAAATTTTAAATCTCCCAATGGCGAATAAAAAATGCAAGTGGAAGAATATATAAACACGTAGACCAATAGCGATTACAGTTACAGCTTACACGCGACAGGAGGAACAAGACAAGAGTAGTTTTGCCTTGTTAAGAATGATATGAGCATGACAAGTCACTCAAATGCACACGTGGAAGGCCAAGATCATTACACGTAGATTTTAACTGGGAAACAGCTGTTAGATGTTTGTCCGGTTCTCGTTAATGTTTTTAAAAACTGTAATTAGCCGAATTAGGTCATGTTCCACGTGCCTTTTTTTCTGCACCACTCTCACTTTACCACAAGAGGGGCAATGATTTTTATTTTCTTGGTCCAAAAATATACAGTTGTAATCTTTGGACGGTGTGTGTTTTAATAAAAATAATATATGGACGGTGTTTTCTTTAATCTTTTCAAATGTTCATATAAATTTCTCGGTGGTCATTTCAAATCACAAATATTATCACAACCGAAAACAAAATATCTTTAGTTCAATAATTGACGATGTACGTACGTTGTGTTTTTCAAGATTTCTTTGCATGTTTTATATATTGTGTACTAGCTAATTGTTATGACCGTTTATGTATGAATAGTGGTATAAGTTATTCGTTTACATGTAGCATATTATCGTTTACAAAATTGTCATTATATATATAACACAGTGTTATATATATATTTTTTTAGTGAGATGAAATGAATTAAGTCAGTCACTATTTTTGGGAATTAACTGTCTAATCTTTGAGTGAGTAAGACATCATCAATCAAAACCATCACTTATTGATCTATTCTTTTGGTTTAAGAAAGAAACTATACATTTAAAAAGTAGCAGACCAAAAACCGACACTCGGACCATTGATCATAGCAACAACGAGCCAAGGATATAGTAATGTTCCGTTAAGTATAAAAAAAAAACAACACATAAACCAATATAATAACTACGCAAGGTACATCTATCTACATCTGATCTGATTGTTTCGATCACAATAATCTCTTACCATCTGTTATAAACTCTCAAAAACTCACTCAAAAGTATTTTAACTCAAAGCAGCTAGAATATACCAACAAATGTAGGGTTTGCACACCAATGGTTTTCACTTTTCATATAACCAAAACTCGATTTCTACTGTACCTACAGTTACCTGTTTATGACTCGTAAACACATTTTTCATGTTTAAAGTTTTAACAGTTAGCTAAACAAGTTATATATATAAAATGTCGTTAGTTTGTGACACCAATAGTAAATTAAAATGTTTTGTGGACATTTAATATTGAATGTCTGTTGTCATGTTAATTTGCTATATTGGACATCGTATACAATACATGATTGATTAAGAACGAATAATAAATACTATAGTATAAAAAAATAAGGAAGGAACCGTTGAGAGGAAGGTTAGGGAGAAGGTGCAAAGGCGTTGGGGTGCGTGCGTGCGTGAACATTCACATTAACCTGACTCGTACCGTACATACAGATCAAAGAGCCTTCAAAATTCCGTGTTTTATGACCGACACGTGGCAGTTCCTAAATGGATTACAGTTATAGAGAGTTTTATTAACTGTTTTTTTTTGTTTTTGGGTTTCGATTAACAAGTTTACAGCCTGGCCCCTAACTTCTTTTCAGGAAATAAAAAAGGCAGTGTATGATTTTGCGTTCCAATTCGGCAACCTATCTTGTCGTTTTCTGCCACGTCACCAACTCCTATCTTTTGTTAGCCGCATATACAGTAAAACCTCTATAAATTAATAACGTTGGCACCATGAAAATCTATTAATTTATAAAAATATTAATTTATCGATAAATATAGAGATATATTCCTAATTTGGAAAATATTTTCAAAACAATATTTAAAAATAAGATTTAATCATGATAATTAGTATTTTATATATTCAATTACAAATAAAATAATAATAATTATGTATTAAAATTGAATGCTATATTTTTCATATAGTAAAATATTAGAAATAAAATCTAACAAAAACTAATGTGTCTATATATACATATATTTTGAAAATTTTACCTAATTATTAATTTATAATATTGATGGGACCATATATTTACAAAGGATTTTCAAAAAAATTATTATCTTATTATTTTATCGAAATATGTCTAAAACTACACTGGTCCCTACTTGGGACCGGATATATTTATTAATTTATAGAGATTATTAATTTATCGATTATTAATTTATAGAGGTTTTACTGTATATACATTTACATCACGTTTCTTAAAGACTCAACATTAATATCTCTAACCATATTTATACACATCCGGTTCTGTTTCATTTGTATGAACAATTCCGTTTTAATCCGGTTTAACTATTTTCTACGTTCATTCAAAGATTATATTTGATTTTGTTTAGTCCAATATTTTGCATCTACAGAAAGTAAAAAAAAAAACTCTAAAAGTCATATTATATAACCATTGGATTTGCTTGTTGTTTAAATCAACTTTAGCATTAGTCTTGTCATGCATAGTTTTACGTATGAATTAGGTGTGTTTGTGATTTGTCTAGTAATTAGATCTTTTTTTAAAATGGCAATTTGTTCCTTTTTATACAATTTTGATTTGTTTTTTTTCTTTTCAATTCGAGATATCGGTTATATTGTTAAAGTAGATATTATCAAAAGCTACATGAAGTGGTATACAGCCTGGCTTCGCTATTCCAAAGTCAGACTATCATTTATTAAAAATTAAAAAGAGAAAAAAACTGTCCTTACCCAAACCTAACCGTTATCGTCTTTTATTTCAGATATTTATTTTTAATTTTATTTCCCCTACAATAAAAAATTAAATTAAATTTTCACCTCCAATTTTGCGAATATTATCATGGCTTTGCTAGTTGGGTTTCGTGATTTTGTCTCTTTAACTCCCTACTTTCTCCACTCGCTTTAGAGGCGCGTGTACTCTTTCCGTTAGCCATTGAACCCATCGGTTGATCTTCACGCTCTAGACGTTACGGATTTGCGAAATGAACAAATAATTAAGAAAACGACAAAAGAAGACACATCGACGTAGTCATGCGTCGACGCGTGTCCACTTACAGCTGTATCGCAAACTTTGAAAAACCGCTTGCGTGGAAGAAGCGTTGCCCATGACTTCTCCACCGTCTTAACCGGTCTCCGGTTATACACCTCTCTTGAAATTCCTGTATAAATAATTTTGTCCTCTCTTCTGTTTCTCGAACTTGTTTCTGGTTCATCTCTCAAAACCAATATCGCTTTAACAAAAATAAGTTATCAAAACCTCCAAAAATTCAATGGCTGATCGGATTAAAGGTCCATGGAGTCCTGAAGAAGACGAGCAGCTTCGTAGGCTTGTTGTTAAATACGGTCCCAGAAACTGGACGGTGATCAGCAAATCTATTCCCGGTAGATCGGGGAAATCGTGTCGGTTACGGTGGTGTAACCAGCTTTCGCCGCAGGTTGAGCACCGGCCGTTTTCGGCGGAGGAAGACGAGACGATCGCACGTGCTCACGCTCAGTTCGGTAATAAATGGGCGACGATTGCTCGTCTTCTCAACGGTCGTACGGACAACGCCGTCAAGAATCACTGGAACTCGACGCTCAAGAGGAAATGCGACCATCGGGGCTTCGATGGTTCGGAGGATCATCGCCCGGTTAAAAGATCGGTGAGTGCTGGATCTCCTCCTGTTGTTAGTGGGCCTTATATGAGCCCAGGAAGCCCTACTGGATCTGACGTTAGTGATTCAAGTACAATTCCGATTTTGCCTGCGGTTGAGCTTTTTAAGCCTGTGCCTCGACCTGGTGCGGTTGTGTTACCGCTTCCAATCGAAACAACGTCGTCGTCCGATGGTCCACCGACTTCGCTAAGCTTGTCACTTCCTGGTTCTGACGCCAGCGAGGAGTCAAACCGTAGCCACGAGTCAACAAATAGCAACACTTCGAGCCGCCACAACAAGAACAATACTTTGTCGTTTTTGCCTTTTAGTGGTGGATTTAGAGGTGCGATCGAAGATATGGGGAGATCTTTTCCCGGTAACGGCGGAGAGTTCATGGCGGTGGTGCAGGAGATGATTAAGGCGGAGGTGAGGAGTTACATGGCGGAGATGCAGAGAAAAAATGGTAGTGGATTCGTTGGAGGATTCAATAATACTGGAATGATACCGATGAGTCAAATTGGAGTTGGGAGAATCGAGTAGACATGTTTGAGATTTTTTTAGGTAAATGTTCAAAATCGTCATGGATGATAAGTGGAGAAGAAAAAAAAATGCTCTGTTTTTTTCTCCTTTGGATTAGGCATAAGAATTTTGGGTTTTAAGAAAATGTATAGAGGAGATCGAGTGACCAAAGCTCGAAACAATGGAGACCTAGAGGAGAGACGAAGACAAATATCAAAATTCAAAATTTCTATAAAAGTATGCAAGAAAATTAAATAAAATTTTCTCTTTTAACTATGAAAACTAGTCATCCATAAAAATTGCAGTATTTTGGAACATTGCAAAAGTAGTAGTACAGAGTGGAAGATAATGTGATTCAGTTAAAGAGCAACTTTGTCCAGGATTGGTAAAGACTTGCATTTTGGCAATTAAAGGTACAGCTTTGGGCATGGTAAGACCCCTTCCTTCCGACATGTCAACAGCAACGTTACCTCTCTCCCAATCAAAACACTGGATCAATGAGCCTAAAGCGGAGCTCACCACAAGTTGGGCTAGGCCCATACCTGGACATGCTCTTTTGCCTATTCCAAAGGGCAGAAACTTACCACGATGGTTCTCTGATTCGACCCTTTCCGGCTTGAAAGCCTCCGGCTCATCCCATACCTTCGGGTCTCTCTGTATTACCCACGCTTTGACAAGTAGCCAGGTGCCGCGTGGAATGTCATACCCAGCAACTTTGCAGTCTGCGGATGAAGCATGTGGGACAAGTAACGCTACGGCCGGATAAGACTACATTATGGAGATACGTACATTTGCATGTATCTGATTCCTCCAACACACACCATTCTTTCGAAACGTCGTTTAGTTCCGTTTTCAGTTTCTTTTAACACTTCTGGATGATTAAGAAGCTCAGCCATAGCCCACTCCAACGTGACTGACGTTGTGTCCGTTCCGACCAGGAACATCACCTGCAACAAGTTCTAGAGTACTTAACGATGACTATTAAAAGTTCACAATCCTGTACGAGTCCTTTGATGTTATCGTCTGTGTAATAGTCAGGTTCCAAATCTTGGAGAGAGAGAGAGCAAATGAGCGATCATCGTTTTCTCGTACTCTGTTTTCCCTCTGTTTCTCCGATGCTCATCGACCAAATCCTGATAAAATTTATCCAGTTTCAAAAAGACTTTCTTCATTCTCTTTATGTATCCATCGAAATCAAATATCTTCAGAATGGGAAGAAAATCTCCGACGTAAGTAACACCAGTGACATCAAACACCTCCCGAATTAGCTCTCGAACTCTCTTATCTTCCTCGTCGTGCTCTATTTTTCCAGCGACCATAACCATCATAATGTTAAACGTAAACGTAAACGTAGAAAGCAGCGGCCTGAGTTCTAGTCTTACCGAGTGGTTTCCTCGTGATGTTGCTGCATGGATCGTCCGGAGCAGAGCTCTCACTCCCTCTCTTCGAACCTCCGACGAATCTCTTGCGCAAAGCATCGTGTAGTCGTAAGATATGTATTCAATTGCAGTAGTCGGAGGCATGTTGGCAAACGACATCGTTGTAGATTTATTTTAAAATTTTAAATTTGTTATATTTGTTTCAATGTTTATGGGAAACATTGTAAACAACTTGGACAAAAAAATTTCTAAAACTTTCCTGTTTTTATTTGACTCATTTAAACTAAAGTTTTTCCTACTATTATTCGTTTTTGATTTCGTAATCGAAACGTACAATTTTTTTAAAAACTCTATATATAGTTGCCTAGAATTTATTGTCAAATAAAGAACACTTTGAAGAAATAGTAGTATGTGTTTTCTTTCTCTACTCTTTATCCATCAACTTTATATGTTTAAAACACTAGTGCATGGTGTTATTATTTTCAATAATTATTTAATTTATATTTACGATAAATATCGGCATACCGCACATAATATATCAAAAATGTCATCAGTCAGTTCTTTTAAGAAAATGTTACTCCAAATTTCTACATCAAACTGCTGTTTATACCACATAATTGTTACTGTAATTCGTACTACTTACTGGAACTCAATTTTGATAAGTGTTACCCATCGTAATCTATAAGTTAAGTGGGCTGGGCCTAAAATTAAGCAATATTATAATGTTAGACCCATTTAGAACGATGATTTCTTCACCCAGTTAGCTAAGGTTTACAATCTGTCTGAGATTGCAAAATATCAAGTGAGAAGAGCTTTGATAATCTCAATAAATTCTTTTAACAAAGCTCTTTTCGGCAGACGTTGTTTGCTTGGAACTCGATTTTTCCGTTCGGTGGTGTGATTTGAGAAGGGAAAATTTGGATTTGGAGATGTCTCCACTCACCTCCGTCGAATTGAATTTTCTGGTTTTCCGATATCTTCAGGAATCAGGTGATAGCCTTGTTCTCTCTTCGGATATGGATTTTTTCGTTTTTGAATTTGTATTTGTTGCGGTCGCTACGGATGAGGTTTTGGATTTGTTCTCGAATTGTGAATGTCGTTTTCTGCTTCCACGAACTTAGAACTGTTCTACTGGTTTTCCTGGATTCGGCTTAGGGTTTCAGAGATGTTACGGAAGTTTGTAGTTCTTAGGATCGTCGTAATGTCTCAATGCTTTAGGATCCTTTAGATCTTCTAGTTCGTACTGCTACTCGCGAATCTAGGTTTCGATTTTTTCCATGTCTAGTTCTGAGAGCTTGGGTTCTCTGTATCTGAAGACTTTTTCATGAGAACTTTTGTTATACGTTAGTACTAGTTTATGCTCTGTTTGTGTTTTAATCTTATTTTCATTTGTAGGGTTTACACATTCTGCGTTCACTCTAGGATATGAGGCTGGGATAAACAAATCCAGTATTGATGGGAATATGGTTCCGCCTGGTGCTCTTATCAAATTTATTCAGAAAGGACTCCAGTACATGGAGATGGAAGCTAATCTGAGCAATGTTAGAATATTTTTCAACTCTTTTTTTTTGGATTTCTTGTGTTTGCTGTGGTTAAACTGAGTTATGTTCTTTTTACTCGCAGAGTGAAGTGGACCTTGATGAGGATTTCTCATTCTTCCAACCCTTGGATCTGATTTCAAAGGATGTAAAGGAATTGCAGGAGATGCTGAGGGAAAAGAAGAGGAAAGAGAGGGATAGGGAGAAGGATAAAGATAGATCTAAAGAAAACGATAAAGAGGTTGAACGAGAACATGATGGAGATCGCATCCGAGCAAAGGAAAAGGATAGGCACGAGAAACAGAAGGAACGAGAAAGGGAAAGGGAAAGGGTGGAACGAGACAAGGAGAGGGAAAGAGAGAAGATAGAACGAGAAAAGGAACGGGAGAGGGAGAAGTTGGAACGTGAAACATTCGAGAGGGAAAGAGAAAGATTGAAACTGGAGAAAGAAAGAGAAATGGAACGGGAGAGAGAAAGAGAGAAGATAGAGAGGGAAAAGAACCATGCAAAACAACTTGGAGATGGTGATAGAGAAATGGTTATTGACCAAACTGACAAAGAAAATGCCGGGAATGAAGAGCATGGGCGTTCTACAGGTTACTCTTCTTACTTTTTCTTGGTTACCTTTTTCAGACTTTGCTGATATTTTGTGACATGCAGCATCTGTTTTTTTAATATAAATCTGTGTGTTATTATTTGTACAGGTGCAGAACCTATGGATATCGTGATGACTCCTACATCTCAGACAAGTCACATTCCTAGTTCTGATGTGAGGATTTTGGAAGGGCATACTTCTGAGGTACTTCATTAGGTGAATTTATCGATTAATTGAACATGTTCTATAGCTGTTTTCTATCCTCGCTGGTATCTGTTTCATTAATCCTAGTCACTCTTATGCTAAGATTACAGTTTTTTCTATATTACTGACTTAGGTTTGTGCTTGCGCATGGAGTCCCTCAGCTTCACTTCTTGCATCAGGGTAAGTAGTTTGTTGAGAAAGATGAACGCACTTGTCTGCAAATTATATTCTTAATGAGTTAATCCATTTAATACATCTTTTGCAACAAATCAGGTCTGGTGATGCAACAGCTCGTATCTGGAGTATTCCGGAAGGATCATTCAAATCTGTGCATACTAGTCGTAGTATCAACGCTTTAATCCTGAAGCATGCAAAAGGCAAGTCAAATGAGAAGAGCAAGGATGTGACCACTCTTGACTGGAATGTGAGGGCTGCTGCAATTCAGATTTTTAAAATAGATATATGAAGCATTTCTGGATTCGTTCTTTTGTGTCTTAGATTTAGCTAATAAGTTTTCTAAATTCTGAATTTCAGGGTGAAGGGACTTTACTTGCAACTGGTTCGTGTGATGGCCAAGCAAGAATCTGGACTGTAAATGGTATGTCCTCGTTGATTTTTTGGTTTCCCTAGTTTTATGAGACTATGAGTTATCCCCTTGTATCACTAGGATTTCTGATTTCTTGAACTTAATCTTCACTTTCTTGTGAATTGATAAATACACTTCACTCATTTATGTCTACATCAATATCTCTCTGTTTTCTTCTAGCGTGAGCTACAAACTGTGATGTTAGAGTTGTGTGGGCATTTGATAGTAACACGATATCCCTGATTGAATAAAAGCTATCAGCTAATTAGAACCATAATACTCTGCATTGGGGACCATATCCTTGGCCAAAACATTTACTCCCCTTTTCTGTTATGTTTAGGAGAGGCTGTTTTTAAATTACAAACTACTTCTGTTTATTTATTTTTCTCACATTTCCAGGTGACTTGATAAGTACTCTAAGCAAACACAAGGGACCTATTTTTTCCCTGAAGTGGAACAAGAAAGGGGATTATCTTCTAACTGGTAGTGTTGATAGAACCGCTGTTGTTTGGGACGTAAAGGCAGAGGAGTGGAAGCAACAATTTGAATTTCATTCAGGTACGGTTTCTTTTCATCTTTGATGAAACAACAATTTGAATAAACCTTTCTCATGCATATAATATTGGAAAAAATTGAAAAAATAGGTCCCACACTTGATGTTGATTGGCGCAACAATGTATCTTTTGCAACAAGTTCAACTGACAGCATGATCTACTTATGTAAGATTGGGGAAACTAGGCCTGTCAAAATCTTTGCTGGGCATCAGGTTTGTATCTCTCATCTAAGCTTCTCCCATATCTTCTATCATTATGTTTAATTTGCTCAGTTTTAAGTCATAGATGTCTCGTACTAACCAACCACTGTGATTTCATAATTGCAGGGCGAGGTTAATTGCGTGAAATGGGATCCTACTGGTTCATTATTGGCCTCATGCTCAGACGACAGTACTGCTAAGGTTTTTTTATTTAACCTAAAGCTAAAGATTTTCATTTGTTTTCTGTGTCTCTAGTTATAAATGTTTTTTTTTTTTCAGATATGGAATATAAAACAAAACACTTTTGTTCATGACCTCCGAGAGCATACTAAGGTAAACCACAGAGTCTGAAGAAAATTTCACTAATTGGTTTTGGTTTTTGACAATATAAAGATGAATATTCATTCTTCTGCTCTCTAGGAAATATATACAATCAGATGGAGCCCTACAGGACCAGGAACTAACAATCCTAACAAACAACTAACTCTTGCAAGGTTAGAAGATGCTTTAAACAGTGGATACCTTAAAAACATAGTGTCATAGTAACATATCACTCATTATCTGTGTATTGGTTTTTGAATTGAAACAGCGCGTCATTTGACTCAACAGTAAAGCTATGGGATGCAGAACTCGGGAAAATGCTATGTAGTTTCAATGGGCACGGGTAAAACTTAAAGCTTACTCAATATGATATTATGGTTAACAGTTTAGCATTGGTTCTAAGTTAAATGGTTTTAATTTTGAAAGGAACCCTGTTTACTCACTGGCGTTTAGTCCAAATGGGGAGTACATAGCGAGTGGGTCTTTGGACAAATCGATACACATATGGTCGATAAAAGAAGGTAAAATCATCAGGACATATACAGGAAATGGAGGTATATTCGAGGTGTGTTGGAATAAAGAAGGTAACAAGATCGCAGCTTGCTTCGCTGATAACTCAGTGTGCGTTCTTGATTTCAGAATGTAGTTTTCTTAACAATATAGTTCCTAATAACTCTCTCATCCCCAAGGCTTTTCTTTTTGTTGTTGCACATATTTTATTATAACACTAAATTCTAAAGACGAAGAAGGTGAAATTGTTGTACTTGAGATTAATCGTCAGTGTTTTGGGTTGACAATAGTGCGATAGAAAACAAAACTGATGTAACAAGAAATCCGTATCTTCGAATTATAGACCACACCCTTGTTTTAAATTGAAAGTGATATTTTGGAATTGAGGTACGAGGACAGCAGCTATTGATAAGAATTTTGGGGAGACAAAAAAAAAAAAGAAAAAAAGAAGAATATGTCTTCACCTCTATGAAGTAAACCGTTGGTTGGGTGAAATAGTGAAAGTGGATGGCGTGTGGCTAGAGCTGACGGAGTCGTGCAACCCCCACGCGGGCCACGCCAAGCACGTTGTCTTCTTCTTCGTCTACCTAAACCCATTCATTCATCACCTTTTTTTGTGTTTTTTCTCTTCACCACGTCGCACTTTTGTTGTTAAAACCAGGAAAAAAAACCCATACACAAATAATCTCCCACGATTTATAAAACTTGTTTTTTGCGCCATTTTATAATATTACAAAAAAGCCTTGAACCTCAAAATTATCCAAAAATGCGAACCTCAAAGTTAACCCATAATTCCTCCATTGTAAACCAAAAAATACTTCTGTTGATAAAAGTTTAATAGATGGCGTAACGAGTACGAAAGATAATAAGTGATAGTACCAAACTAGTACTTGAGATATTTATTTATAGCCCCACATATATTTTACAATTAGTAATTTAATTCTCTGAGGGTAGTGATACTCCCAAGATGAAAGACTCGATAATCCCCAAGTTTCACACACTCACGCGAGTTGTTGACGTATCTGTCCCTGCGTTTATTTACCCATTCACAGATTATGCCATTTCCTAAATTTGACGTGGCGTAATATCATTGGAAGAGACTGTATTATCTACCACTAAGTTAAGATTAATATTGTGAGAGTGTATATATTTACGCAACAATCAAAGCAGAGTTGCAAAATTGAAGAAGAAACTCACTTTACTTACTAGTAGCAGCACCGATTTCGAATATCATCGTTTCGCCTGGGAAAACATGTCGGAGACGGAGAGGGAGCAACCGCTGTTAGCATCGGAGGATAGAGCTTATGAAGAAACCGAGAAAGTTCTCATAGTCGGAATCGACGAAGAAGAAGACGCTGATTACGGCGACGAAGACGGAAACGCACCTAAATTCTCGTGGAAGAAGCTATGGCTGTTCACCGGACCTGGGTTTCTGATGAGCATAGCTTTCCTCGATCCAGGTAACCTCGAGAGCGATCTCCAAGCTGGAGCCATCGCTGGTTACTCTTTGATTTGGCTCTTGATGTGGGCTACGGCGATTGGGCTTCTGATTCAGCTTCTCTCTGCTCGCCTCGGTGTTGCCACGGGACGACATCTTGCCGAGTTGTGTCGGGAAGAGTATCCCACTTGGGCGAGGATGGTGCTTTGGATTATGGCTGAGATTGCTCTGATCGGTGCTGATATCCAAGAAGTTATTGGTAGTGCCATTGCTATCAAGATCTTGTCTAATGGCTTGGTTCCTCTTTGGGCAGGAGTTGTCATCACTGCTCTCGATTGGTATGTTTGGTTATTCATTACACTGATTTTTGGAATTTAGGGTTGTTTGTTTGCATTAACATTATGTGTGATGGGTTAATATTGCAGTTTCATCTTTCTTTTTTTGGAGAATTATGGAATAAGGAAACTAGAAGCTGTGTTTGCTATTTTGATTGCAACTATGGCACTTGCTTTTGCTTGGATGTTTGGTCAGACAAAACCCAGTGGAACTGAACTTCTTGTTGGTGAGACTCAGATCACATTGTTTATTCTTTCATTCTTTTGTCCTGGATGTGGGAAAACAGAAATGGTATAATGGTTCATGTTTTTTTTATTTAACAGGGGCATTGGTCCCAAAACTCAGTTCCAGGACTATCAAACAAGCTGTTGGGATTGTGGGATGTATTATCATGCCTCACAATGTGTTCTTGCATTCAGCTCTAGTGCAATCCAGAGAAGTTGATCCGAAAAAGAGATTCCGGGTCAAAGAAGCTCTCAAGTACTACTCCATTGAATCCACTGGTGCTCTTGCGGTTTCCTTCATTATCAACGTCTTTGTGACCACGGTGTTTGCCAAATCGTTCTATGGGACAGACATAGCGGACACCATCGGTCTTGCAAATGCAGGACAATACTTACAGGACAAATACGGTGGCGGGTTTTTCCCGATTCTCTATATATGGGCGATCGGAGTCTTGGCTGCTGGTCAGAGTAGTACCATCACAGGTACTTACGCGGGACAGTTCATAATGGGAGGGTTCTTGAATCTCAAGATGAAGAAATGGGTTAGAGCCTTAATCACAAGAAGCTGCGCCATCATCCCAACAATGATCGTAGCGCTTGTCTTCGATTCGTCAGATTCGATGCTGGACGAGCTGAACGAATGGCTAAACGTGCTTCAATCTGTTCAGATCCCTTTCGCGGTCATCCCTCTGCTTTGCTTGGTCTCCAATGAGCAAATCATGGGAAGTTTCAAAATCCAACCGTTGGTCCAAACAATCTCGTGGATTGTAGCTGCTCTAGTGATAGCCATTAATGGGTATCTAATGGTGGATTTCTTCTCAGGAGCTGCAACGAGTGTGGTTTTGCTCGTGCCGGTGATCATATTCGCGATAGCGTATGTTATGTTTGTGCTTTACCTAATCTCACGAGGGCTCACGTACACTCCGTGGCAAATAGTGGCGTCAAGGAAAGAAACACAGAGGGAGGGATGATGAGTAAGTAAGCTTTCATTGAAGGAATAAGAAGAAAGAGAGCTGGATGGATGGCTCTTTTATGAAAGAAACAAACAATAGAAAGTTGGGTTTCAGTAGTATGGTCACAATGGATTTGTAATATAGTGTTTTTATTTTATTTATGGTTTTAGAGTATAGTTGGTTTTTTTTTCTTTCAAAGAAGATATTCAAAAATAAATACATCATTACACAGATGACGTGAGATGTTACATCATTAGTCGTTCCTTAGTTAGTTATATATGTATATAGGGTTAGAAATACGAGATGTTAAAAAAAGATAACGTGAACATTGGTTCGAGTTAATTACTTACTAGTTAGATGAGAAATGGTGGAGAATTGGTCAGAGAGAGAAGAACAAGAAGAAACTAAAACGCGCTCGCATTTAGTTTTCTGATGATTAAAAAAGTCAAAACTATGTTTAGTCGTTTAGGGGAAACTCAAGCACAAATTTCTTATACGAAAGCCTTGTAATAGTACAATATTGATAATGAAAAGTTTTGCTTATAACATAAATTAATAAAGAAATACCGAAATTGGAGCAGAGCATCTTCTCCTAACCAAAAATCCAAAGAAAAAAATGAAACATGGAAAGTCAAATTATGTATTAAAAATAAAATAAAATAACCTAAACCAACCTAACAAGGTTTGACGTAAATCACCGCAACGAGTCTTCTTAAGGCATTTATTTGAATGACTAAAACATTTTCATTATGGAGAGGAAAAACTCATTGACAGAGATGAAGGATTTGGTCTTTGCCGCGCTTCCACGGTTCTAATTCGTCGTCCTCTCCGATACAGAAAGAGCTGTAACAGGTTTACTCATCTTCATCTTCATCTACTCGTTTTTATCCTTCAGTGTTGAGCTTTGTTTTTTTAGCTTGATTTCTCTCTTCTTTTTGTGTAGAGTTCGTCTAATTTAAACTTTTCGAAATTGAATCAGTAATGAAGCTGAAATTGAGATTTTACCTTTTTTGGGTTCGAATCATCAGAGTTTGAATGGGGTTCAATTCAATTATATTGACTGAAGGGTGGACTAAAGCATCTGAATTCTTAATGGAGTTATTGCTTCTATTTTGTATCTAGATAGTGAAGTATGTCTCTTTGGTTTTTTCTCTCACTTGGTGTTCTCTTGTTTCAGGCGATTTCACAGTGGATTTTGAATATTATTACTAGAGAGAGAGAGACAATAAAGCCTCAAACTCTTTTTTTTATTACATGATGGTAAGTTTATGAATGTCTCAAAAGCCCTAAAGATAAACTAGCTTTGGCTTTGTTCTTTCTTACTAATTATGAAACTCATCTTTCTTGTTGTTGTTTTGGTGTGTTTGAAGGTACATATGGAGGTTTCTTGGTTAAGAGTGCTTCTAGATAACACCTCCTCTTATCTAAGTTTATCATCAATGGAAGACTTCCATTCAAACCCAGCTCATAAGTACTACACCAGGGGAGAAGATATATCTAAGCTTCTCATGCCTGTTCTTGAGAACCTCGTTGACTCTGATGCCGCTCCTAGCGAATTGCTTAACAACGGCTTTGAAGAATTAGCTCAATACGTTGATGAGCTTACAGACCAGTTTCGGAGTTGGCAACCTCTTTCAACTAGAATCTTTTATGTTAGTAATAACCAAAAAATACAAGTTTTTGAATCTCCGTGCTTGAACTGTTTCTGAGCTAACTCTTTTACTCTTGCTTGTGTATTATCTATCAGGTTCTTCGTATTGAATCACTAGCATCAAAGTTACGAGAATCCAGTTTGGAAGTCTTTCAACTCCTGAAACACTGCGAACAACATTTACCTGCTGACTTGTTTTCACCATCTTTTGAGGTAAACTCATCATGTGAGCTTCATCTGAATGCAAAAGTTGCGTTTACCACCAGTTACCAGTAGTGCTCAAGAATGTATGTAGGTTTTTGGTTGATCAGTTGTCCTTTATGTTGTGACATTGCTTCATATTGCAGGAGTGTATAGAATTGGTGAAGTTAGTGGCAAGAGAGGAAACCTCTTATACTATTGATCAAGTTCTCAAAGATCAAAAGGAAGGTGTTGGACCTACTCTAGAGGTTCTGCTAAAGATTGCTAAGAGTGTTGGTTTGAGATCCAACCAGGAGATTCTTATTGAAAGTGTGGTACTTTCAAATATGAAGGAGACTGCTGAGCTTACCGACGATGACAGCAAAGTTGAATATTTAGACGGATTGGTCTCCCTAACGACCCGAATGCATAATTACCTTACCGACATAAAGCAGGCTCAGTTACGTTGTCCTGTACGTGTACCTCCTGACTTCCGGTGCTCTCTATCTCTTGAGCTTATGACTGATCCAGTCATTGTGGCATCTGGTCAAACATACGAGCGGGTTTTTATACAGAAATGGATCGATATGGGACTCTTGGTTTGCCCAATAACAAGGCAGGCTTTATCTCATACCAATTTGACGCCTAACTTCATTGTCAGGGCTTTTATTGCCAGTTGGTGTGAAACGCACAATGTCTATCCTCCTGATCCGTTGGAGTTGATTCAGTCAAGTCAGCCATTCCCTCTTCTTGTTGAATTAGGTTCTGGTGATGACTTGCTTGATGATTCACTTAATTCAGAGAGGGCTTCATCTTTAGATGCTGAGGAACTGCGTCAGGTATACAGTAGGTCTGCTTCTGCGCCAGGCATTGTCTCTGAAGTCTTTTCCAAAAAAAAAAGAAGAACCACTGCTGCAGATACATCAGTGGCACTGACACGGAGTAATATCCCTTGGAAATTTCCAGAAGAGAGGCATTGGCATCACCCCGGGATCGTTCCTGCAACCATAAGAGAAGCTGGAAGCAGTTCAAATGACGATACCGAGGTGAAGAAACTCATTGAGGATCTCAAGAATTCTTCATTGGATACACAGAGAGAGGCGGCAGCTCAGATCAGGATACTATCAAGAAACAGTACAGACAATCGCATTGTGATTGCGGGGTGCGGAGCAATCCCTTCGTTAGTCAGCCTGCTTTACTCCACAGATGAGAGAATCCAAGCAGACTCAGTGACTTGCTTACTAAACTTATCCATCAACAACAACAACAAATCCCTCATCGCAGAGAGTGGAGCCATCGAACCGCTCATTCACGTTCTCAAAACCGGATACCTTGAAGAAGCCAAAGCGAACGCAGCAGCAACTCTATTCAGCTTATCAGTAATAGAAGAGTACAAGACAGATATAGGAAACGCAGGAGCTATAGAGCCACTTGTTGATCTCTTGGGAAACGGAAGTCTCAGTGGCAAGAAAGATGCAGCCACGGCTTTATTCAACCTCTCAATACACCACGAGAACAAAACGAAAGTAATCGAAGCTGGAGCAGTGAGATACTTAGTTGAGCTGATGGATCCTGCATTTGGAATGGTGGAGAAAGCTGTGGTTGTGCTGTCGAATCTTGCCACGGTTAGAGAAGGGAAGATTGCGATAGGCGAAGAAGGAGGAATACCGGTATTGGTGGAAGTTGTGGAGTTGGGGTCAGCAAGAGGCAAAGAGAATGCAACTGCAGCACTTTTGCAGCTTTGTACGCATAGCCCAAAATTATGCAACGCTGTCATAAGAGAAGGAGTGATCCCACCCCTTGTGGCTCTTACCAAATCAGGAACAGCTAGAGGCAAAGAGAAGGTTACTTGTGAATCTTTTTGTTTTCCTCATCTTGTTTGGTAACTAATAATGTCACCATAATTGTAGTAAATAACTGTTCCATGCTTTGTTTCAGGCACAGAGTCTTCTAAAGTACTTTAAAGCACACAGACAAGGCAATCAGAGGAGAAGCTGATCCATATAGGTTTACTGCAGAGGTTGTTCGAACTTATACACATACATTTATTTATTTTTGGTTTAGTGAACTTATACACACATACATGATACATATGGATATAGCCATATAGGTGTATTGTCTACTATATAATATATGAAACTGTGGATCTTTGTCCATATTAAACTAGACCAATATTCTTGTCTATAAATATTCTTTTGGGGGCCTCTAACAATATTTGTGTATTCTTCATAAAAATTGGTTTATTTTTTAAAGAATTTTTTTTTTTTTTTTGGGTGCAATTTTCTTTTTCTTTTCTCAAAGCAAAACATTTCAAAATTGGATTAATATGTAGTTGACATTGAACGGATGGACGGCCCCGCCCATTTGATTATGATATCAAGTTTTTCTTGTCAGCAATATAAACATGTTATTAGACTTTAAATATAAACAGTAGTTGTTTTACGAAAATATATCAAATGTATATTTATTCTATTGAAGTTTTAGACTATTGTAGAGTACTTTGTTTTCATTAGATATAATATGTAACACTTTCAATAAATTAGTTATCTGTGTGGCGTACTAAGATATTGATTACATATGTAGATTGTTAAGTTTATATGAGTTGTTAAATGTTATTTGCAACGACTCACTTCGGGTGTTTGCTTAGCCGTTAAGAGGCCATTGAGTTGAGAATTTGATATTCAAACTCTAATGAGAACCAACAAAAAAAAAAAAAACACATATTATATTATACGATATGATGGTGATAAATTCACGTCCTAGATAAAAAAAAAAAAACATCATTGCTTAAAAATCATGCCAAGCACCACCACTCCTTATATAAGAAGAATCTATGATAGAAAACCAAAATAGAGTAAAAAATAAAGGTAAACAACACACCACCAATATGATATTTCACTTTCACATCATTCTCGATATTTTTTAATATGATGTTTCGCTTTCATATCTGTGTGCCCATTTTTATAACAACTACTAGTGCTAAACATTAACTAGATCAATGTGGTACCGTTACAAGCCGTATTAAAATCTAATCATATTAAGATAAAATTACATCCATATATCATAGATTAGCTGGTAATTACATTAATAAGTTCAAACTGTTGGTCACAGAGAATAAATAAATTAAAACCCAAAACATAAAATATTTGGAGAAAAACTAAATTACAGTATATATATAATTGACAACTAAACACTACTAACATACAAAAAGAAAATTACGTACGAAAACGATTAAAAATAGAAAATACAAAAATTTGAAAATACTTTTTGAAGAAAAAAAGAAAGAAAAGAATCAGACCAAGCTCCGTCTTCCATGATCGACGGCGAAACCAACCTGTGACAATTCTTTTAACCACTCAAAAGTTCTCTTCCTCGCAATCGCTGTTTTCTCCTCTTTCTTCGCCGTCTTCTTCTCCATCTTCCTCTGTTTCTCCTCCGTCTCCACTTTCATTTTCACCGGTACAGTTATCGTCTCCGTCGCCGCCGAACATTTACAATCCGAGAACAAAAAGCTTCTCCTCCGGTTCCTCGATCTCGACTCTCCCGTTTTCTTGGAATTCGAGCTCGTGCTCGTGCTACTGCAGCTGCTGTTTCGGCTCACTGACAATTTCCCGTTACCGGCGTTGGCTCGGAGCTCGATCTCCGGGGTACGGACGAGTCCTAACCTGAGGAAATCCCAGATCGAGGATGATTTAGGGTTTCTGATGGAGTTTACACGAGCCGTCATGCTCGATGATCTTCGAATCTGTGGCTGCGGACTCGGTTGACTGTAGTCGATGAAGTTGTTTTTGAGTTTCCGGTCCGATTTAATCCCGGTTCGTCTGAATTCAACCGATTCGGATCTCGTGATTAACCGGGTTGGCTCGGGGAGTATCCCGGCGTCTAAACTGACGGAGTGGCGTAAGGGGAGAATCCGGCCTTTGAAGAACAATTCGTCAGCAGTACTCATCTCCGGAGCCGGTGGTTCGCAAGAATCCGACCCGGCTCGAAACGACGACCCGATTCCAAATTCGAATTCCTCATCTTCTTTAACGATCGTTCGTAGTTCGCTGTTCTCGTTGGGTGAATTCACAGGCAAATCACACAGAGACAAAGCTTCTTCTTCATCTTCGTGGTCATCTTCTTCTTCGTCTACTTGTTGATTGAGATGATGAGAGAGCAAAAGGGTAAGTTCATCATCATCTTCCGTACAAGTCATCGCCATATTCGAAGCTTCCGAGTTTCCTTCCAACGAAGAGACAGAGAGGTAAGTTATAAAAATTAAAAACACAAAAGAGAGAGGAACGTCGAATTTGAATATTTAAAGAAGACAAGTCTCTGTTGATAAAGTCAAATACGATTACGACCCTTTATTTTGTTTATTTATAACATATAGTTTTTTGGATACATAATTGCATGTATTTATATACAGTATATACTTGGAGCAAGATATAAGACATCGAGAAAATAAAAAGAAAAAAAGGTAATTATTTACAACAACAACACACCGAAAGTTAATTTACTTTTATTTATGGTTTTAGAAAATTTTAACCAAAAAAGGAAAAATCATGAGAAGTATGAGTCCCCTAGTTTACTAGATGTAGATAGACACGGTTTTTTTTTCCTTTTTACTTTTACTTTCCTTTTTTCACTTATCTCAGTATCGTGACCATTTTCTACAGTAATTGACATTTGACAGCATGGTCAATATTGTTCTTTACGTGGATAAAAATATTTAATGATTTTTTGTTTGTTTTATTTGCCTAATTTTGAGGGGAGTACTGAAAATAATGCTTAACTGATTTGTTGAAAATAAAAATATATAGTCAACATGCATTAGGACACACGAGTCAGTTTCAATACCGTCCATTTTTATTTTTATTTTGTTTATGGTAGAGTGATTTCAATTTTAAAACCACAATTTTGGTCACAGTTTTATTATAACAAAGTGTATTAAATTATTAGTAGTTTCCTAGCCTGTTTAATGTATATATTGCTATGTTTTTTTGTTTAGGGAAGAAAAAAAGAGAAAAGAAACACACATGATAAAGCTGAGAGGGGCTGTAAGATATGGCAGCCTTTTCTTTTCTTTTTTTCCTCTCTACTTACTTTATTTCTATATACATGAAAACATAAATTATTAAATCAAAATTTTTATTTATTTATTTTTAAAAAACCAACAAAATAAAAAAAAAGGGAATACAGAAGAAATAGGTTATAAGGTTTTGGGTATGTGGAGGAGTGGGCCTAGGCCACTATTCTTGGCACGCGATAGCTACACTTTACCCAGCACCATCACCATCATCTCTCAACAATGCATTACATTTTTCTCATCATTTTTTATCATTTGTTCTTTTTGGTGTTTTCTTCTTAATTATGATTTGTTTAATTAGTTTTGTTTCTTTTTATGTATATTTGGAATAAGGATAAGTTATTGCATCGTTTCCCTATTAAAAGAATATAAGTCTACGATTGTTAATTTCCCTTATATTGTTGAAGCTTTTAGACTTTGACTGCAACATTAATTACAAACTACATAAATCAAAAATGCATATTTGAGAGTTTTAAGCTATTCTAGAAGGATATGTATAAGCTAATAATAGTCATGAAAAAAGGAAAAAAACTTTACACCAAGTCAAGACAATGTTTTCATCTATACGAAATAAAAAGTGGAATGGATTTGAAATCATATGATACGTCTTGGTCGAATTGTATGATTATAAAAGTGGTTTTTGACCTTAAAGCACTATAAAAGAGAAGAACAACATAAATAGTTGAAACTTGCGGTGCAAATCACAACATTATGTTTTTCTCAACTTTTTTTTTTATTTATTTTATTTTTAGATGATGGCCACTATTGTTCATTGCTTGTGACTCATGCGTCGCTTGTGCCTTTGTTTTGTTTTTTGTATGATTAAAGGGCCGCAAGAAACGACGTATTATATTGTCGTTTATACTTTTTCCTTTATATTTTCTTAATACATATTTTCAAATCTTATCATCGCATTATTTGTTGTTTATCACACATTGGTGTGATACTTAATCTGCATTGGAACGTAAAGGATATAGTAAGATACCTTTTAACACACTTTTTGTTTTTGTTTTTGTTTTTTATTACTTTTGGTTTGGTCAAATGTTCTATGATAATATATATTGAAAATATTGAACTTTACATATTACACATAACACATGTACGTGTTAAACGAATGCCCATATATAAATGCAAGGCGTATTTATTTGTTCGCATGTGGATATCGTTAATCGCGTACACCTAATATTTGGCTTCAAATTTTTTAAGATGTTTAGAAGAATCATGCAACGTGAACCAACATTGGCCATGGAAAAAAGAAAAAACATTGGCCATGGAAGGCATGATACGAAATAGACTTTGTGGAGTGTTTAATCAATACTTATATCTGTGACTTAATTCAGTGATTTAAATTTAGTTTAAGAAAAGACATTCACTAAATGAATGGAAAAAATAATTCGATTTCCCATTTTCTTGAAGTTAAGACATTCATGAAACAAAAGGTCCAGAAAATGCTTGGGAAAATACCGGGAAATGGATAATAAGGTTTCAAACCCTAATGGGCCAATATCATTATAAAGCCCATTAGTTATATCGTCCTAATAAAAGCCCATTAAATAACCGAAATATATAATCATGTTTTTCAGTTTTTCCTTTTTGATGGGTGGACAATAAGAGGTGTTTCACCGACAAATCTAATCATCGATAATCAATGCATATATGCCTATGATAACAATTTCATACTTGTAGACTTGTAGTTCAGAAATATCTTAATTCTCACATTATGTTGAATGAACGCTAAGACCATCATTTATTGATGTCCTCTTAACATTTTAGAACTAATATTTGCTAAGAAAACATCAATAATGATTGCCTAAATAACCAAAATATCTTACTTTGTAACATGATCAGATGGTAAGGTAAATGATCAATATTTTAACTTATGTTCATCATCTTTCTTTCCCAACGATCTTGCATGAAAATATCACATGATATAAAAAGCACCTAGAGGGAGAGAGAGACACAGCCTACCGTTGTGGCCGGAGAATATATTTCCTTTTTTAAAATCAGAAAAGATAAAAACAGCGAGAAACTAGACAAGCCTTAATAGACTGCATGCCGTTTTTGCTAAACAGAGCTTTCTTAATAATCTAAAAACGGCATTACAAATATATTGTAACCCCATTCTTTCCTTTCCCATAAAGAGCCCTTCCATTTTTTTTTAATCATAATTTACGACTATGTCCAGCTAATCGCCACGGGGCTTCCAACCACGTGTTTCCCATCCGACCATTCAATACTCCCAAAGCTGTTAGATCCAGACCCTTTTGTTGAGTCTACAGTAAACGTCACCGTATACGATTTCTTCTCGTTCGCTGCCTTGAAATCCAAAACCGCCGGTTCAACCGATATCTTGACTCCTGTCGTCTCCGAGGCTACTTTAACCGAGTATGTCCCCGCTCCTCCCACGCTCGTCACTGTGCGCGTGTACTTGTACGCGCCGGCTCCGTCGACGTTCACGGCGAACGACGGATAGTTCAAATCAGCGACGGAGTACGACTTACTCGGATCGCAAGTGTAATTACGTCTCGAAACGATTCTGATTTGCGACGATGTGTAGTTCAACGCGCAGAGGAATCCCAGATAATCCTCCGTCGTTAGATCGTAGATGAGTCCTGGATTAGTGGCGGTTGCTGGTGACGCGTGTCCTGCACCGTGATCGAACGGCGTCGAAGGCTTCCCCGTAGCGATGTCGAGTAGCGGCTTACCGTCTTTGTAGGTTTTGTAAGCGGTGGTCATAAGAGCCGATCTAATCGCCGCGGGGCTCCACTCGGGATGCACCGACTTGAGAAGTGCGGCTAAACCACTCACGTGAGGGCAAGACATGGACGTTCCTGAGATGATGTTGAACTCCACTCGGCGAGAATCGGAAGCGAGCCCGGTCGGTCCAGCAGCACCGGTCCACGCGGCGAGGATGTTGACTCCAGGAGCGATCAGATCCGGTTTAAGAATATTCGGCGTGATCGAATTGGGTCCTCGTGAGCTGAACGCCGCAACCACCGGAGATGGTTTAACACCGACGACGGTTCCCAAGATTGAAATCGAAGCGGTTGGATGCGGATCGGTAGTAACGTAATGCCGGATGATATCACCGGCCTTTTCACCAACGGTGGTCGCGGGTAACAAATGAGCATCGGCGACAAGCTCTTCACCATTGGCGGCCGTGTTAGCCAGAATCATCCCAAGTCCACCAGCGGCTTTAACCACATCTCCTTTCTGAACTCTAGCATTAACTCCTCTATCACACATCACAATCTTCCCTTTTACTTTCTCCGGGATCAATGTTCCCGACATACAGAGATTACCATTAGTAGCATTACTAGCATTCCCAGCGTATATGAACGGCAACAATTTATCCGGTAGAGCTTCTCCTTTAAACAACGAAACTCCGGTGAAATTCTTACCGTTGCCGAGAATCGCAAGCGCCGGGAAATCACGATCTAGAGTACCAGCACCAACAGTCGTAATCCATGGAGCTACGTTTGATAAACTGAAACTGCTCGGTCCAGCATTTCCAGCCGAGCAAGATACCAAAATCCCTCTTTCCATGGCGGCGAAAGCTCCGATCGCAACACCATCTCTATAATAATCAGACATTCCACCGCCGAGCGACATCGACAAAACGTTGACGTTATCTGCGATGGCTTTATCAATTGCAGCTAAAATATCTGAGCTGAAGCAACCACCGAGCCAACAAACTTTGTAAACGGCGACTCTAGCGCGTGGAGCCATACCGCGAGCTGTTCCTGAAGCGTAACCTAATAAGCTGGCTCCTTCGACGACGGATCCAGCGGCGGTTGATGACGTGTGGGTTCCGTGTCCGTCGTCGTCTCTTGGAGATCTCGATTCTTTAGATTCGTCGATTGGCCCCATCGTTGATTCGTAGCCACGAGCGAAGAATCTTGCTCCGATTAGCTTACGGTTACAGTGAGAAGCGGTGAAGTTAGTCCCGGTCTCGCATCCTCCTTTCCAGGTAGCTGGGATCGGACCGAATCCTGCATCGGAGTAGCTTTTACTCTCCGGCCAGACCCCGGTATCGAGAACTCCGACGACGACGTCGCTTGATGCGCCGGTCTCGGGGAACAGATCTGCGGTGTGTTCGTCAAGGCCGAGGAAGAGAGGAGTACGAGTCGTGTGAAGCTCGTAACGGTGCTCAGGCAAAACGGAGATAACGCCAGGTTGGGTCATGAGCGAGTCGGCTTCTTCTTGAGTGAGCCGAGTGGAGAAGCCATGAATAGCGTTCTCGTAAGTGTAGAGGAGTTCAGCGGAGTCGGAGATAGATCTGAGAGATGAATCGTACCAGTTAGAGTGGAGGTCGAAGGTGGACGGCATCTGAGATTTAGCCATGTGAACGATGTAGGTTCCTTGTTCGGAAGAGGAGGAGGACACGTGGCATAATCCTAGACAGAGGAGGAGGAAGAAAGCAGTGGTGGAGGAAGAGAGAAACGAAGAAGAAGAAGAAGAAGAAGACATGATTGAGATTGTGTGTTGTGTCTCTCTCTCTCTCTCTCTGAATCGAGGGAGGGGAAGAAGAAGATGAGAAGAGTGTTTAAATACAGTAGGAGAAGTAGAGAGAAGAAGATAATGCGTACAAAGGAATCATTAAAGATTGTTTGTGTCCACTCTTCTTCTTTCTACAGTGATGACTTTTGTACTGTACTTATATGTTCACATATGAAATACGGTATTATTATTATTATCGTATATTATTACTATTGTCTCGAGAGTCTCATTGCTTTATCGTCTCGAGATGTACTGATTCTGTTTTTTTTTTTAATAATGTTTAACAGTGATTTGTTTAAAAGGGAGATGAATGAAGAAGATTGGTACAGGTATGTAGGTTCGATAGAATCATCATGCCATGTGGGTTCAGAACACTATTATGCTGTTGGTTCGACGTTTGATACTAACCATTATGAATAATATTCGAATATATAGCCTTTTTAAACATTTCGTATATGTTTGTCTTCTCCTGTCCATGGTTTTCTTAATCACGGGTACGTATATAAAGTTGTAATCATGCCTTTTTCTTTCTTTTTTCTTCTGTCTTACGTATATGTTATGTTGGTTCCCACATACGGTTTGAATTTTTTGACATCTCTTACTAATGGCGTTACGAAATAATCAAATAAATAATCGACCATGTAACGAGTTAGGGAGTTGGGAATGACTAAGTAAGTAGTGAAGTGGCTCATGACTCACCAAAGCATTACGTAAATGCGAACTTTGTTCGTCGAGTGTTTTTAACCAATGAAACTGAAACACTTAACTCTCCTCTGTGCGTATATAATTCGTAAAACGTATTGTGGTGGATAAAGATAACATTTATGGATCATCAAAAAGTCAAAGAAAACAAAATAGTCTCGTTTCTTGGTTTTAATGTTGAGCTTTATATATCAACACAAGTGGTTGGTTACAACATAGTCCAGAGAAGAGCTTACGCCAGTAAAATACTAGTCTTCAAAATCCCTTGGAATAGGTTAATCTTAGATTTGGATCAACTGTTCCGAATGATAGGATTCAGGCATGCAAAATTCGTAAAACTAAAAGTGATCTGAGTACAAACATACAATGTCTCTCTCTCTCTCTCTCGTCCACTTATTATATTTTGGTGGTAGTAAAGGATCCCACAATATTAAAGAAGAGATGTGAATGTAACCGAAGATGCAAAGTGAGAACGCGCATAAGACTAAGATTTGGATCTAAGCAGCAGCATATACAGCTTTTGGTATTACGTCCCACGTGTCATAACGTGCCAATATTTTCCCAGATCTCTTCCTTGGACTCCTTTAATTTCTTCTGAAAATACGAACCAGATCTCTCTCTCTCTCTCTCTCTCTGTACAAAAATAAAAGACAGAAGCTAAAGCAAACTCCCCAAATCCAAAGTCCCAAACCCAATCCTCAACCGTCCGTTATTTCAAAGATAGCGTGACATTTGTACTTCAAACAAGGTTGATGATTTCGTCCCTGCAGGACCTCAAATTAAGCTCGACGTTACGTCCACACACTGATTACGAAATCTTTTTTACTAACCCTTTTTCAAACCGACATTGATATTTAGTTACCTGGGGACTAGTGTTTATTGCATTAAAAAAACAAAAGAGAACATAATAACTATGGTTACAGAGTTACCAAAATTTTCCCAATTAGTTGACTGAGAGGAGGTGTAATCATTATTCATCGGCTCTAAACATGACACTTATTGAGGACAGCTGAGTCGCGGCAAGTAGATATTAATTCGCGACATGTGACCTTTTTACTAAACTAAACTACTTCATTTATTTAAATCCTTTTAAACAATTATCATAATACTAATCACTCTTTTTTCCCAACGACACATCATATATCCCTATTTCCTGCCTAATACAGCTTACACTAAATTACTCACAATATATATATCTGAACCAACCAAAAGAAAAAAGAAAAACTATATCGTAAACCGACGAATTGTTTTAACGTCCGGTTAACAAAGGGTAAAGATAGCCCCACAGAGTTCGATGTGTTATCAAATCCAGAAGTGGAGTCAACAATTTTGTCTTACCTCGAGTGACGTTTTATGCAAGAATCTATCTTCTCGTGATTCTCTTCTGTTTTCTTATGTACACTATTACTACTACTAATACATCAGTACTACGCCTCCTCCTTATATATATATATATATATATACTATGCATGTCCGCATTATACATCAACATGTCTTTATGTACACACTTGATACTATTTTGTTTCTTATAACACCTACGTGTACACACTTTATTTTTAAAGTAGTTTTGTTTAATTATGTAACTTTACTTTTACATATAAATCTATGTGAAGGTCCCGTGGCTTTCCATTAAATGCTTCAACCATTTCTTACTCACCAAGTTGTCTACACCCTGATTTATATCTAATGGTTACATTACATTAATGTCGTGATTTTCATCAGTTACATACAGTTTCTTACATTTATCAATCATCTTCACTCTTCTGTCAGTATAATCTTATACTGACCCATGCGTTGACGATTACAATGTTTGTGGCAGCAAATAAGAGACTTTGGTTCCCTTCGTATGGTGCGGCATGAATTAATAGTGATGTGTCTTTCTTTACATCAGACCTAACTTAAGTCCCACCGGTCCAACATTGTTTAACCATCACAACAGTGATACGTTTTCTCTTATTGCATTCTTTTTTTTTTTTTTTAAATTAAACGGGACAAAAAAATATAAACATAGATATACATAGCAACAATAGCAGAAGCTGGCAGGTTGGTCCATTTTATTGGACTCTTACTGATAATGTCACTATGAGAGTATTTGACTCTTGTTTTTTTTCTTCTTCTTCTTCAAATTAAAAATAGAAAGAATACTATATATGAGGCTTTTAATTGGACCACGCTTTTTCTTGTTTTGGAAATTGAACTGTGTGCCTACCAAAAACTTATTTATTCTTGGAACATCTTTCTCTTTTCTTTTTTAAGTTTAATTATTTATCAACTCACGCAACCTATCAAAAGAGTAATGAATAATAATAACTTCTGTGCCTTTTTTTGCCTTTAAACTAACCGTTAAAGTTAATGGGCCGTTAATGGAAAACCTAACATCACTAATATGGGCCTTTCGTTCTTAGCATTCACATGCGAATGCCCCATGTCAATTTGAAAAGAACCAACGAAGCGGCGAACTTTCAATAATCTGTATGGGATAAACAGCTAATTTATGTGATTGACGAGGCTTTCAGCTTATTAAGCCATCTCAGTCAAAACTTACGTTCGTAGTGCGTGTGTTGTGTTATTCTATTTTGACAACTATTTAACAAGATCTTCCCATTTGCAGTATTGACCACCGGCTAACGCGCGGTAGTAACGGTCTCTGCAATAGACAGGTCTTCCATCAGCAGCCTCAGCCGCGGCCGCTGCTAGATCATCGTCCGTCACAACATCTACGGGTAACCGAAGCAACTGTTCTTTTCTGCGATTTCATATAGCGAAAGAGGTGAGTTTGATATTTTTCTTCTTTAAGCCATAGATTTCTTTGATCGGTCTCCTTACCTCATATTGAACTTATTGTTGGTTCTTGAAATAGAAACTTCTGGTTGGTTTTCTTTGGCTCCCAGAGTGGTTTTAAAGAAATCCTCAACTGGTGTTGCGAATACAAACAGTACGAATGCTGAAACGAGTAGAGCTCCTGTTCCGACTAATGTTTGTTTGAGCATCTTGATTACTGGCTTCACCTGAAAATCACAAAACTTTCCTGATTTTGTTTTTGTCTTTTTGCAAAATTGACTAAGAAACATTGTTTAGTATGGTATTACCTTGTAAGAGCCTAGCAACCTGTCGCGAGCCAACACCTGAAAACACAAATACAAAGTCAGAGTAATTTCATCAGTTGCTTAGTTCTTAAATTCTGCAGGTCGATTCAAGAGGCAAAGATGTAGATTGACTACGCATATTCACTGCTTATAGTGGAAATAACATATACATATTTGTAGAGTTCTGGGACCGGTGATAACTTGGCACTTGACAGTGCGCAGATCTATCTACTAGCTTCTGCCAATGTTTTGGAATAGATTTTGCTTTGATACTGAATACTGATTGCTAAAGGTATATCCACATAATCTCATTTATGGGGAACTATATCATTAAGAGGTTTCTAAATTAAGCAACAACAAAATGACTACAACTATGATGACTTTGTAGCAATTAGATTGTATTTCTATACTGTGTCCTGTTGATAAGCAAAATAACGGCCTTTTTTTTTTTTTTTGTCATCTAGCAAAATAAAGGACTTGAAGTTGCTAACCTCTGGTGGTTTGACCCACATTTGTCCATCATACCATCCACTCTCTTCATATGGTATAACTGCAGAAAGTAGTCTATCTCCAACGTAGCTCCATCCCTAAGAAATATACCAAAAGTCAAAAACAAATCAAACCAAGCTTTCACAAGTAAGACTTCTTTGAAGAGGGGAAGCAGAGCAAGTTCAATACCAGGTAAATTCTCAAGACAATCAATGAAACCAGGAATAACGTTCCAGTTCCTGCAGCTAGAGCAAATCTTAAAGGCTCCTGCAAGCAACATATTTTGGAAAGTAAAATATATATTATATAATCTGTACTACAACAAAAACTTGTTGCAGAGGCCTCTGTTTCAAAAGCTCACTCTGGAAGGATTAAAGCTAGCAGCTGCAATAGGAACTCCAAGAACAGTGAAAGTAACCAACCAAAGACCACCGAGACGAATAAAGAATTCCCTTGGACCCAATTCTCCCCATGAATACAACATTCCTTCCTTTAAAGACGAGTACTCATTTACCTATACACACCAATGACTTTTACACACTCAAAATCTCATCCTTACACCAGAATCAGGACAAAATCGAAAAAAAGGTGGTTTACTTACGGGTCTTTGGTCTGAAGGAACTTCAATCTCGGAACTGGGATCCCAGCTTTGTCCAGAGAAACTCATGCTTCCACCTCCATTGTTACCTTTGTCTTCCACTGCTTTCACTTTAACACTGAGGAGAAGTTGCTGATTCTTACCATCATCGCCGATTCCGCCATATTTGACGATCGAAGAAGAATCATAGTAGCTCCCAAGCTTACTACGGTTACTACAAATCCGGTGGGATTTCTTGGGAATCAGAGGGTAACTAGCGATTAACCTGAGCATTGCGCAATCCGGTACCTCTTCCTAAGAGAGTACCGTTGATTGAAGAAGATTAAAGGTAAGTGGAGCAGAGCACCTGAAACACGGCAAACAATACAGAACCAGAAATAATAATAATCTTTGGTTTCTTCTCAGACTTGTGGCGTCTCTCTCTAGCCACGTGGCACATGCTCCCGTGCACGCATCCCTCTCGTGTTTCCACGAGCCTCTCTCTCACCCTCAGTAATACACCATTTGGGCCACTCAGGCCCAACTTTACTTAAGCGCCTCTCAGCCCATATAGCAAAAAACGAGGAGACCAAAACCAATTTTGCAAATAAATATATCTTTTTCTCTAACCTTCGTACTTAATGCGATCTTTGATCCGATAAATTTTTTTTTTTTGCTTTGATTTTTTTTTTTTTAATATAAATGTATAACCAGTTTACATACTTTAAATAACAACATACAGTAGGTGGAAAAAATATTTAAAATATATAAGACGTTTCAGACATTCAAATTGAGGACAAATTGTAGAAGAAACATCACCTTTATTTAAAAATATTTGAAGAAAAGATGAACCTTACCGTCATCACCACAAAGTTTTACAGACAGATCTCTAAGTTTCATTGACTTCTCATTCTGCTTGTTTCTGCAGCCTTAACTTGGGCGAAGTAAGCGTGTCCCTGTCATCAAATCAACAAAGTTTATTGAATCATCTAACATGTGAATGAAACAAACACGAGACTTCTTATCTGTTTTCTGAAGCATACGTACCATGGCTTCTTTTGCAGTTAATCTGTCTTGATGATCATACCGGAGTAGCTTGTCTAGAAAATCAATTGCCTGCACGGTTTAAAACAAAACACGGTAAAACTCTACTCAACCAATTTCTAAACTAGGAATCGAGAAAATGGGTAAACCTCGGGTGAGACTAAATGCTGATTGTCTGCGTTGATGAATTTGGACCAAGGTTTCCTGCTATGCCTGTTGGTTGTGTTCGATAGAGCCAAAATAATACAATTCTTAGCTTTTAACTCATCATTACATGGCAATTAGAAGCTCAGAGATTACAAAATAACCATAATTATCCTGGAGTATCACGTACCGTCCAACCAGTGCTTCGAGTTGTGGGTCAAGTTCTAACTGATACTTGTTCAGATAAGCATTCAATTCATCAGTCCCAATAACCTGTCAATAAGGAGAATACATGATGACAAGGGAAACCGGAGATCAGCCAAATTCTAATACTGAGATCAAAGTTATACCTTGGCGATTTTCACTAGTTGATCCTGATTGTCATGGCCATAGAAGAAAGGTTCCTTACGGAATATCTAAAGAAGGAATAAAGATTAACTAGGTAATAAATCAGATAATCAAAATAACTATACTGAGAAACAAAAGAAACGTCCTCCAAAAGTTGCATCGTTACCATCCCAGCAAACATACAACCAAGGCTCCACATATCCAATGAGTAGTCGTAGTCTTGTAAATCCACAAGAAGTTCCGGTCCCTTAAAGTATCTGACACACACCAGGAGAGATAAACATCACAGTGAAGCTTGGCTGCCGCCAAAAAAACTGAAATAAAGGGTATGAAGTAAAACCATACCTTGAGGCAACACGAACATTATACTCTTTCCCAGGGTGGTAAAACTCAGCGAGACCCCAATCTATAAGACGAAGCTTACGCAGCTCATGGTCAATCATAACATTGTGTGGCTTGACATCTCTGTGCATTATTCCTTGTGAATGGCAGAAGTCCAGTGCCTACAACAAGTAGTGGAATGAAATGTGAGTATATGTAGTAAAATGGAACACTAATCAAATATAATCCAACCAATGCCACATTATTACCTTCAACAGCTCATATATATAGTAACGGATGTCGTAATCAGTCAATGTAGGATAAAGAACTTTGAAGTCTGTACTGTTAACATATTCAAATATAAGACTTGGAGTTTTCGAATGCTGATCTCTAACAACATCAAGCAGCTTGACAATATTTGGCCCGCCACATAGGTTCTGGAGTATTTTAATCTCTCTTCTTATCTACAGAAAAAGATCAATAGAAATTCAAGAAACAGCCTCAATTATCCAAACTAATCAAATCCAAAACATGGTACAGAGTTCACCTTCTTTTTCTTAACAGGTTTGAGGATTTTGATTATGCACTTCTCCTTGCTGTTCACATTTACACCTTCGAAAACTTCACTATATTTGCCACGACCGACCTTCCTTACTACCTCATAATCATCTTGCTCCCTGAGAGAGCAAAGAACAAAATCATAACTTTTTCTAAAGCATCATTGTAATAACTCATCTTCTAATAGACAAAAGCAAAGGTTCTACTACATTAGATGTATCAATTTCATTAGATTAGCTTAATATAGAAACAAATGCAGAGCAAACTGAACATCAACTTCACTAAAACCCCTAGAAAAATCGACTATATTTCCTTACAAAGTACCAATTAAGCTGAACACAATATGAAAACACAAAACCAGTATCCGTGAAGGCTAGTTCTAGGGTTTAACAATCTTACCCCCATTGAACAATGAGCGACTCGTAATCCCAATAATCCTTGGGTCGAATCACGTTGACGTCGGTGTAAACACGAGCTTTCGACATCGGCCGCGTCTGGTTAAAATCAGAGATCCCGACGAGAGAACCAGGATCGATACGATCGATCGTAGTACTACAAGAGACGTCTGAGGAAGCTTTCTCAGTGGGGGTGAAGACAGATGAGCGTAGGATAGGAGTGTGCGCCGTTGGCGCACGGAAGCTTAAGACGGCGCACACTAAGAAGAGACGTCGAAGAGGAGATTCGAAGAGGAGGAAGAAGAAGAATAGTGTATGTATCATTCACTACGCTCTCCGCACCAGATTCTGATTTTCCTTTTTCTGTTCTTTCATTTTTTCCCGTTTTGCGCCAACAAAATTGACCTAAAAAGGCCTGACATAGTATTATGGGCTTTATGGCCCAATTTATTTGGATACGAACGGTCAACCCGCCCATACATGTTAGGTTTTCAAAATTAGGAAATTCCTGATTCTCGATTTTGTGAAAAGTTTCTGATAAGTGATAACGGTGCTAATTCTCGAGAAAGTTTGCAATAATGGGAAAGAAAAAGGTGGAAACTTTCTAGATGTGTCCCCACGATTCATCTGACGCAAGATGAAGAAGGGGTTGCGACTTGCGACAAAGCCATTTAAAGATTGATCAGAATTCTATCACTATCAGTGGGTTTTCCGACAAATGTGGCAGCTCATTGGTCGTAGTCGTAGATACGCCCGAAGATTACGCTATGGTTGTTTTAAGAGGTTGAGCGTAAATGGTTTGATTAGGTCAACGTATAGTGTGGACTCTACAATTGCTAGCATCAGATTACAAAAATCTATTGATCTTTGAAGTGGTTGAATTGGTTGACAGTACTAGTTCTTGATTACAAATGTTGAGGTGGACTCAGGGGAAGGTTTTGTCATCTTCACTCATAGGAAGACTAGAGTTAAGAGCTGAGGCAAATAATGGAGGAAGCGAGTGGAATTAACTGACCAAGCCATGATAACAACTTGAGGTAAAAATTTAGGATTCGTGTACCATTTCTCTGTTTATATTGTCCTCAACTATTTGGAAATTTTGAATTTTTCGTTGAGGACGTCTTATATTATTCAGAGACACCATTTATTGCAAGATTGAGTTGAGTCTCAATCAAAATGTTGAGGCATATAGTGACTTCAATTATCAGAAAAAAGGAAGGATTTAAAGATGATAAGACTCTTTGTAGGGACAAATATCCTATCATTCATGTTCTGTCACAAAACCAAGATTCTGCAGCTTACTTATACTCCTTCCCTCTCTTCTCCTTACCATTAACCAATTTATAGCTATCGTTATATATTATATTTGTAAGAGATATATACATTTGTGGAGAGGAATCAATACTCTTTCTATTTATTTGGAATTATTTGTTTTGGTCCAAAGATATGTGTCTGATCCACTTGTACTCTTCTATATTTTTAAACCAATCCATTACCACATACACTCCCTCCTTAGACAGACCTCTCTATCTTGTACTCTTCAGGAAAATTACATAGCTATCCTTCATTCCACTAGCTCTCTTCTGTTCATTACTCTTGGTGGTAAGGGTAGTTTGTGGTTTTCTTTGTTTGGAGAATATGGCTTCTCTGTTTGGTCACAATTATTAGAGGAAAAGAGAGGAAGAAGCTCTTTTGGTTGATCTTATTCTCTCGTCTAGTACGTTACGGCACGTCTTCTTCATGAGAAGGACCTGAAACAGTGTTCCATGGTGAATTTCTTGAGTGAGAAGAAACTGCCACCCTACTGTTCGTAATATGTCAGCAAAGAAGAAAGATCTTTTGACCTCAGCTATGAAGAGAACCAGTGAATGGTTTTTCATTCTCTTCTTAGATTAATTTGTTTCTCAATCCATTTTTCTTTCCGGCTCTCAGGAAGTAAGTCCTTCTTTTCTTTGTGATAAAACATAACAATTTACTCTTGTTTTTGCATCGTTTCAGGATTTCTTCTCAGGAAGTCTCTAGTGATATCACCGTTCATGTTGGAGAAGCTTCGTTTTCACTGCACAAGGTAGTTTCTAGATCTATATTTACCGGTCAATTTCTATGATGTAAACCCAATGACATGATCCCATTCTTGCGGATTCATTTTTCTCTCTCTCTAAATTTTGCAGTTTCCACTCTTGTCAAAATGTGGGTTTATCAAGAAACTTATGTCTGAATCAACCAAAGATTCAGATTCCACCGTTATCAAAATCCCGGATATCCCCGGAGGCTCCGAAGCATTTGAGCTAGCAGCTAAGTTCTGCTATGGCATTAACTTCGATATGAGTACAGAGAACATTGCGATGCTGAGATGTGCAGCAGAGTATCTAGAGATGACAGAGGAACACTCTGTGGAAAATCTCGTCGTAAGAGCTGAAGCTTACGTGAATGAAGTAGCTCTCAAGAGCTTATCGAGTTCAATCACAGTCTTGCATAAATCAGAGGAATTGTTGCCCATTGCTGAAAGAGTGAAACTTGTAAGCCGTTGCATTGATGCGATTGCATATTTGACCTGTCAAGAGAGCCTATTTTGCAGTCCTTCTTCAAGTAATAGCGGGAACAATGAGGTTGTGGTTCAGCAGCAGAGCAAGCAGCCTGTAGTTGATTGGTGGGCTGAAGACTTAACGGTTCTTAGGATTGATTCGTTTCAACGTGTACTGATCGCAATGATGGCTAGAGGGTTTAAGCAGTATGGACTTGGTCCAGTGCTTATGCTTTATGCTCAGAAATCTCTTCGAGGGTTGGTGAGTTTCCCACAAACACATACATTATATCATTTTGGTTTGGTTGAATCCCTTCATTTGTTGAATTTTCATAAATTAGTTACAAAGAAAGATTAATAAAAAGTTGTTTTTTTTCCTTTTATATGCAAATGCAGGAGATTTTCGGGAAAGGAATGAAGAAGATTGAACCAAAACAAGAACACGAGAAAAGAGTGATTCTTGAAACAATCGTAAGCCTTCTTCCTCGAGAGAAAAACGCAATGTCCGTTAGCTTTCTCTCGATGCTTCTACGTGCAGCGATATACCTTGAAACAACGGTTGCTTGTAGACTTGACTTGGAAAAGAGAATGGGATTACAATTAGGACAAGCAGTGCTCGACGATCTCTTGATTCCTTCTTATTCATTCACTGGAGATCACTCCTTGTTTGATACAGACACTGTTCAACGCATACTCATGAACTATCTCGAGTATGAAGTTGAAGGAGTCCGCTTAAGCAACAATGGTGTTGATCTTGCAGGTGATATGGAACGTGTTGGTAAATTGATGGAGAATTATATGGCTGAAATTGCTTCTGATAGAAATGTGAGCTTGCAGAAATTCATCGGTTTAGCTGAACTTATCCCTGAACAGTCTAGGGTTACTGAAGATGGCATGTATCGAGCCGTCGACATCTACCTTAAGGTAATGTTAAGTTAGTAAACAGTTACATTCATTTACACTATGTTGATCATATACTGGATCCGTTTTGATGACTATAAAAGCTGGTAAATGTTTGACATTTGCGTAAAGTGGTCCTGAAACTGATAGATACTTAGCATTTTCATATAATTGTGACAACTAATTTCCTGAAACTGATGAATACTTATCATTTGCAAAAATGATGGCAACCCATTTCCTGAAACATGTATATCTTGTGTTTATGGAAACTAATTGCCCCCTTTTTTCATAACTCAAGACTAAAGAGTTGTAACCTCACTTGAAATCTTGTGGTTAAAGAAATTTTGAAAATTTTGAGAGATCATTGGTGAACAACTATGTATTTTCTTGCAGGCCCACCCGAATATGAGTGATGTAGAGAGGAAGAAAGTGTGCAGCTTAATGGATTGCCAAAAACTATCGCGAGAAGCCTGCGCTCATGCAGCTCAGAATGATCGTCTCCCCGTTCAGACCATTGTTCAAGTCCTTTACTACGAACAACAACGTCTACGAGGAGAAGTCACTAAGGACGCAGATTCTCCAGCACCACCTCCACCAGCAGTTGCAGCAGCTGTTCTTCCTCCCAAACTCAGCTCCTACAACGACGAACTCTCAAAGCTTAAACGCGAAAATCAGGACTTGAAGCTCGAACTTCTCAAAATGAAAATGAAGCTTAAAGAGTTTGAGAAAGAGAGTGAGAAGAAATCATCATCATCAACCATCAGCACCAATCCAAATTCACCGATCTCAACTGCTTCCATGGATAAGCCTCCATTGCCAAGAAAGTCGTTCATAAACTCTGTTTCAAGAAAACTCGGAAAGCTAAACCCTTTTGGCATCACGCCATACAGTGGTAGAGGCAGAACCAAACCACCCAAAGATCGGAGACACTCTATTTCTTGAAAACCATATTAATATTATACACATAATAAGTATATGTTTACTTGTTCAACAAAAGAAAGTATATGTTTACTTTTTGTTGGGACTTCTAAGTTCTGAATCAAGGATTTATTTTTTCCCTACTTGGCAGCCTTCGATATTTTTGTGTGTGTTTATGATGTTTGTTTGTAGTATTTTGTACATAAAGCTGGTAATATTGTTTTCAAGAAAGTAAATCACAAAAATTCCAATAATATTACTATGTGAAGGTTAATGAACGATTCATAGATTCAGAGAACTTGGGATTCTAAAGCTGATGATGATGATCAAACAAGATCGTGGGGTCATGTATGAAGAAAATAAATGATAGATTATGAAGTATTTAAAATTTTGTTTTGGGAGATTAGAAAAGAAAAATATTATTTAAAAAATAAAAATCAGAAATAAAACAGGGGAAGTAGGTGATGCTTGAAGCCTGAAGGGAACATGCCAGCAGATAGTGCATGTTCTTGTCCCATAACTAATTCATCATTGGCCCCTTTTTATATAACTCCTCCTCCTCTATTATTATTATTTGTTATTCATAATAATTCATTTTTGCTTACCAATAAAACAAAAACAATTTCCTTTTTATGTGTGTTTTATAGATATATACTTCATATGATGAACTCGAGCTCGAAACTTAATTAATACTTATTTTCGAAAACAATTAAACATTGATACTGATTTTAATTACAAGAAACCTAAAACCAACTAGTAAAGGATAAAATTACTGATAAGCATTAAAATGAAAATAAAAAGGAAATCACCTGATAAGAGGCGTGATTATAAAACACTCTCATCAGCAAATAAAAATTAAACTACTAAATTTTTCTTTAAAAAGAGATGCAAATCTATTTCAGAAGATAGTTAAAATTAATATTACTTTAAATTATATGAGATCAGATAACATTCAAGGTCAATGCTTGAAGCCATGGCTGCTTCTGCTTCTGATGTTTCATCATTCTCTCTTGCCTCACTTGTTCTTCAAGGTTGTTGTTATTGTTGCTTGATCCTGTCGAGGACGAAGAGAAACTCCGGCGACCAGAATTTAGATTTCCGTTCATCATCTCCTGCGAAGAGTTCTTTTTCTTCTTCTTGTTCATCCTCATCGAATCATCACCATCATCACCGTAACACGACGGTCCAAGAGTTAACTCGATCTCACTCTCATCCATAATCTCTATATTATTATTAGCCGGCCGGTCAACTCTTCTGATGAACGTTCCTAGTCCTGAATTTACATTATCATTTCCTTTGGTAGTAGTCAATTTATTGATCTCCATGTTCTTCATCAATATCTTCTGGACTTGATATAACCTATGAAGTTCATATACCTGAAAATGTATTTTATAAACTATATATATATTAATCTTAAACATGTATATGTAATCTTATAATTGATTCAGAATCTTTACAAAGTTTAATTACCTGTTGCTTGAAAGTTTCTTCGTGTTTAAGCATAGCCATCTTCATGCACTGCTTATCGTACGGGTTAAGAAGCTTCTCCATGTTTTGATGAATTGTTTCCAAGAAATTAGGATTTTATTTCATTCAAGATATATATATCTGATCAAGTAGATTTGATATGACGGAACTTGGAGCTGCTTCCCTTTGTGATAATAAACCTGTGAAATTTGAAAAATGTGTTAGGGACCAGGGAAAAAATTGTTTGTCTGCTAGTACTCGATTTAGATTCTGCAAAAATTTTAGCCACGAATGCTATAAATCTGAGCACACATGCACAAAAAAATATCTTCCTATTTATCTTATTATACATAGAAAATAAAATAAAATTTTGTAAACATATAATTATCGTACTTTCAAGAAACCGATTTCGTGGTTCATGTTCTTTCCCTTATACGCATGTCAATCTTGTCTTTTCATTATTAAAGATTCTTTTACATTCTTATGAACTCTTTTTTTTTTTGTGGTTTTCACTGTAACAATTGATGTCAAGTTTGGTGGGAATAATAATAGAGAGAACTGTTCAATCAAAACAAAACCAAACCATATCTGAAAAACTCGCACCAAGTTATATATATTTTTGGTGAATAAATTTAAAATCCCGTATATATAGTACAAGCTGATATATGGAGAAATGGCCAAAAAAAAAAATCAAATTAAGAAGAGAACATAAGTAAGGATTATCATTACTGACCTGAATTATCGATTAGGTTTAGAAGCTGCTGATTATATGATGGAAGGAGATGATGACGAAAAACTTAAAAGAGTTTTTTCTTTTTCTTTCTTAAGAGAAGAGAATAATGAGAGCTTGAGAAGGAGATGATTAATTAAGAGCTTTAGAGAAGAGATATGGATTGGTGCGTCACATTCTTCCTAGTTATATATACTGCAGATAAATTATTTTTAAAACAAGTTCACTAATACAATGATTATAATAATATGGTTTAAGTAATCATTTGTTTTTAAACTATTAATTAAGTAAATCTCTTTCACATATCACAAACCCCAAAGTGATTGTTGCAAACTCATGCCAAAAAAAAAAAACACAACAACAGTGTTGTCTTTAGCCAATAGCCTTCAAAGGTTCTTCTGTGAGAAATATGCCATAAGGCACCTCTTCAGACAACTCCAGCAAAGCTTTTACTTACAAGATCCATATAATAATATCTTACATTTGTAATATATATGTAAGTACGTATATATGTCTACATAATCGTGTACATGGATACATGCTTGACAGATGAGACAATACTAGATTCAATTTCGGATCCATCACATAATTAAATTCATCCATATTATAAAAATAATAATATTCATGGCTTTGAGGGTTTATGCTTTCATGGATTTTATATTGTTGGTTGAAATTATATATATTGTATATCATGAATACCGAAACTTTTTTGGAATTTCTCGTAGAGCTTTAAAAATATATTTTTGTTAAGGTAAAATCCCCGAAAATGTGTGTGTATATTATACATTGTCAAATAAATGTGAATTTAGTGGTTGTTGGAGACTTTATATATAAATAATAAAATTGTACATAAAAATATGATTCGATAATAATTAAGATTAAGAAATAATAAAGGAGGGCGACGGGGAACATCTTATATCTTGCTGAGCTTGAATCACATGCAACCCAGACTAACAAATCAACAAAACCAGTTGTCTTAATTAATTAAATTTATATTTATACAAAGAAGTATGATTAGTAAAAGAAAAATGAGTAGATATTATAAAATAATAAGAACAGACTTTTGAAGAGAATAATTTGGTATTTAGGGAGGAGAGAGCGAATCAGAATCTGAGAATAGGTGGCATGTCAAGTATTGGAGAAAAGAGATCTTAGCCGTTGGATTTTGATTAAGGATGTCCTTTCGAACTGTTCAAAGGTCTTAAAACTGACCCAACAGGATCTGATCTCCACCGTATCTACAAGAAAGAACACACAAAAGTGACCAAATAATTCTTCTGTAAGTAATAATCACATTTCTTTTTTTAGTATTGTTTATTTTGGAAAAGTTTTTTCTGATTAAATGTTCCTGGACCGACTTCTTTTTCTTGTATAATAAAATTGTGTTATCTCGTTGAGTTTGCATGTTATGTCAAATTTAAATTAATAATACAAGACATGGCTTTAGAGTTGGCCGTGATTGTGCTTAAATTTATCATCTAACTAAAGTCAATTTCTTATGTTATGTGTAACGGGAACAATGTCAAATCCTTTACAACTCACGTATAACCATAATTATATATGTTACGATAAGGAATTATTTAAGAAACATAGCTATATATAAAGTAGCAAAAATGCTGTCAAAACAAAAATATTGTAGCAAAAATCTTACAAACTTGTTTTGATATAAGGGTTTTGTTGTATTTCTATTGGTTAGTCATTTTCAAAATAAAAATTAAATTATGATAAATATATGTTTTGATCGTGATCTCTTCGATCTCTTGATATTTTCATTTTTTTAAAAAATTTTAGTATGCAAAGTACGTAAAAAATAGATTAAAGCCTAGCCTACTGATTCTGTATCTCTATTTCAATTTGTCAACATAACCACTAACTCCATATATCAATATAATCGTCATTTACGTATGAATTAACATAAAAACATGTGACAACTAGCTACTCGTTATATTTCTAAAAAACAAAAAATAAAGAAAGAAACGTGCTTAGAAATGTGGATGAGAGAGAGGCACGCGTTGCCGGAGAGAAGAGCAGCAATGGCATGGAGCCGTGGGTCCGATCGATGAACGCCCGCGTTTGAGGAGTGCTCTCATTCTTCCTCGGAAATTGTTGTTTTCAACTTAATTATTTACTTTATTTGTGTTTCTGTGAGTGATCCACACACATTACATAATAGTACAACGCTGGTTCCGAGTTTTGAGAGAAAAGTGGATCAGTCCAAACATACATACATACATAAAAGAAAATGAAAGATCGAGAGTTGTGAAGAGTGTCGTCTTCGTAGGTTCTTGAAGCAAACGAGTCACTGACTTCTGCAGTAATATGTCTTGTGTCCCTCCCTCCTCCTACGCTATGATCACGCGCTTTTTTACTCTCTTTTTTAAAAAAAGTATTACTTGGTCTTTTTCAATTTAAAGCATATATACAGTATCAACTAATTAACGATACCATATTAATTTTGCGAGTTTGCGACTCTATGATGCTGTAGTCTATACGCATGGATATGTGTGTGAGTCACACATGCGTGTCTTTGTGTGCTTTAAATTATTTTATTTGTTGAAATTATATAAACACAGAAATGCATATGCGAAAATGTACATATTAATTTTTATTAATAATATCAAATGTTACCTAAATAGTAAATATTGAGCTATAATACATTTAAATGACGACTATACCATTATGTATTATATACTAGTACACATAGACTGCTCTCTCGATTGGGATTTGAGAAATTATAACTCAAGATTTTCAATTGCAATGGAACAGAAGAAAAAGAAAAAAAGAAAGATTAATTGTTCTTGGCATCTAATTAACTTTATTTTTCTTGGCATCTAACTACATCATATGTGTTTAATTCTAGGGAGTAGTACTTTATTAGAGAAGTGAAAATTTCGTTTTGTTGAGAAAATCAAGGATCACGGCCTTCTGAAATTCTGAACCTCGGGTTTCCCATTTCATAATCACGAGCTTGATTATTACTCCTGTACTACTAGTACTCCAGTATACTATAGAAAGTGTAAAAATATATGATTAAACAAAATGTCTTCTGCCAGTTACGTGTCACTAACACTAAGGTTAATTATGACCAATGGGTGAGAACATCTCGAGTTTATAAAAACGTCCCTTACTGACATAAAAGTTTCGACTTCGAGTTTTTTATAAAACAGTAAAAGCACTTTCTTTCACAGTTTCCATTCCCTCTTTTATTTTATTTAAATCCAGTTACATTATATGTTCTACATTTTTAAAAGAATTTGATCAACTACAGTATATAACTAACGCGTTTATGTTTGACTATTAAAAAAAACCTGCTATCTCATATATTTCATACGACTAAAAATCGGTATAGTTAATTTGATAATTTGTTAATAGTTAAGCGAATCTTTGTAGAAATTTTCACAATGTATAATTACAATACATTTTCGTGACCTAGTAAGTCCTATAAATTCTAATGGGATTGTTGCTATTTTTGTTCTGCACGAAGGTCACGTTTGAGAGTATCTTTATATCCTTCTTAAATTCCCCAAAGTGTCATGTTTCTTGTTGTTTTAGATTCCCTGAGATGGACCCATCAAAATACTGTAGTTTCTCTAACTCAATTTTTCGAAAAAGTATTTTTTTATGTCCATGGGCCTGATTACAAATCATGGGAAAGGCCTATAGACGTCAAATATCCAAAGTTGGCCCAAAACAGAATATCATAACCGGAGAAGTTGGAGACATATATATACAGAGTCAACGATTAAAAATTCAAATCACAAGTTACTGGAGGAGCAACTCGTCGGCCATCACCAAGGACGTGGCTCCAAGTTATATATATGAATCGGCCGAATTTGAAAACTTCTTCAAAAACATGTACAACTTTGAAAAATTCATATTATTATCAATGATAAAGTCCATTTCACCATTCCTATAAATAAAATTCTATAGTTTCTTCATTTCTCACAACTCAGACCATCTCTCGCCTAAAACACAACCACTACTTCTACCTTGTTCCGGAGAAATGGCGCGGTTCGGTCTGGTTCTAGTCGTGGCTCTCAGTCTCGCTATCTCTATGTTCCCTGACACAACCACCGCTCAGCTCAACACCAATTTCTACGGAAAGTCATGTCCGAATGTTGAACAGATCGTGAGAAAAGTCGTCCAAACAAAAGTCAAGCAGACCTTCGTCACCATTCCAGCTACCCTCCGTCTCTTCTTCCACGATTGCTTCGTCAATGTACTGCTCAAACCTTTCTTGATCTTTTCTCGTTTTTTGTATTTGAAACCTACCTATCATATGTACCTATGATGATTTCTTAACTATTTTGGTTTGTTTGTTGTATACATAGGGATGTGATGCTTCAGTCATGATTCAGTCAACGCCTACAAACAAAGCCGAGAAGGATCATCCAGACAATCAGTCATTGGCCGGAGATGGATTCGACGTTGTCATCAAAGCCAAGAAAGCTCTTGACGCGATCCCAAGTTGCAGAAACAAAGTTTCTTGTGCTGATATTCTTACTTTAGCCACCCGAGATGTTGTTGTCGCGGTACGTTATAGTTTTCATTTTCTTTCAATTCTATAATATGTTTTTTGGGATATTATAGCTCAAAATAAAAATAATTTTGCTATCTATTATACAACAAAGATTATTTAATGTTTTTTTTCTTTTTCTTTTCTTCCGGATGTATTTAGGCTGGAGGACCGTCGTACAAGGTGGAACTCGGAAGGTTTGATGGTTTGGTGTCAACTGCGGCTAGCGTTACTGGAAACTTACCAGGGCCAAATGACAAAGTTACTCAACTTAACAAGCTTTTTGCGAAGAACAAACTTACCCAAGAGGACATGATCGCTCTTTCAGGTAATATTAACAACTTACTAGACAATCTTTAGAAGTGAATACTCAAGTTTATTGTTTGTTTTTTTAATCTAATCTAAAAGCTATTTATTTATTTTTATTTTTTAAACAATGCAGCGGCTCACACACTTGGATTCGCCCATTGTGGCAAAGTGTTCAACAGAATCTACAACTTCAACCGTACTCACTCTGTTGACCCAACTCTAAACAAAGCCTACGCTAAAGAACTTCAATTGGCTTGTCCCAAGAAAGTTGACCCAAGAATCGCCATCAACATGGACCCAACCACTCCAAGAAAGTTCGACAACCTTTACTTCAAGAATCTGCAACAAGGCAAAGGACTCTTCACTTCCGACCAAGTTCTCTTCACCGATGCTCGCTCAAGACCAACCGTTAACGCTTGGGCCACGAACTCTGTTGCTTTCAACAAGGCGTTTGTCACTGCTATGACCAAACTCGGCCGCGTTGGAGTTAAGACTAGACGCAATGGTAACATCCGTCGCGACTGTGGCGCGTTTAACTAAGACGGAACACAGAAACATATAAACTGATTTTCCTTTTCTTTTTTTTTTTGGTTGGCTTTCGAGATTTGTGTTCTTTGACGAATTATGAATTATTATTTTTTTGTGTTTTGCTGTTTGTTTTTTGCTTCATGTCCTTTTGAAAAACATTAACAATTTTATACCGCTGTTTTATTTATCTTGGCTGTAATGCTATCTTATTAAAAAAAAAATCCAACCTAAGCATACAAATAAACATAAACCAAGACATATATATACACATAATCTAAAGAAGTTGAACACAAAATCTGTAATGGAAGAATCACATCTATCTAGTTATAGGGTTAGTAGCTTGTCTGGTTTGGCTAACCGGATCTTCTCGAGCTTCGCAGGCCAATCTTCCCCGAGTATTGACGGGTTTAACTCCATGGCTACTTGAAAATCTACTAGAGAAGATGCTGATAAACCAATAGTCGAAGAACATACTTCTCTTTGGCTACTAGACCTTGAAGCAGCAAATTCGAGACACGGTTTGATCAATCTCTTCAAGAAAACATCGAGGCCTGCGTTTAACAAGTTAGAAACCCCAACCGAAACCTCTAAACCTTCCTGCATCAACCCCAAGCCATCTTCGAGTTTCTTCTTTAAAGAAACAGAATCAGGAAGCTCGCCAGAGGAGTAACAAGTGCCAATACGATGTTGTTTCTTTATCACATCCCTAAAATTAGAACCAAAAGGAGCTTCAATAGGTTGACTTCTCCAAGAGCGAATCAACTGGTCAACTTCTTCACCATCTTCCATAGAGCATTGTTGCCTACCGCTAGAAGAAACAACCTCAGTAATTTGACTCTTCCCTTTGCTAACAACATTACCATCTTTAAGCCTCCGCTGAGTCCTTCCTTTGCGAGGCGATTTAGGAAGGTCTTTGCACAAAGATTGGAAAGCAAGACCCGTCTCAAGAACCCCATTAAGTTGCTTCTTCTTCGCTACACCATTCTTTATCAAGGGAGGCGTCTTGGATAAACATACATTCTTGAGAATCCCTCTCAGCAAAGCGTTGTGTAGACATAAATTCTCCCTCTTCAGCGTCGCAACGATTAGCTTATCGAAATCAGGTTTGCTGATCTTCAAGCTCAAGAATTTTGACAAGAGACAAAGGTAGGTCTCAGTTTTGGCCCGACCAATCTTCTTCTCGATCTGAGATTTTAACTCCGAAATGTCTGTTCTAACGACATGATGCTGACTCGTTGGCATTTGGGTCCCTCGAATTTCCCCTGAAAAAGACCCAATTTTTAAAAAGAATTGCTGAATCTGGATCCGTATAAGTCAATTCATACGAGAGAATGAGGTCAACCCATGTAGCAGCGAGCGAATACACACAAAGTAAGTTGTGGAATTGAGATCCGAATTACGAAACCCAGATTGTGAAATCGTCGGAACAAGTAACTTTTTCAACTTCATTGAACTGATTCATGTAAGTGTAATCTCCTTAGCGAAACACACAAATGAACACTGAATAGTAACCTACCCAGCATAATTAAAAAAAAAATATAAATCCCAGTTTTCGATTCCCGAGAGAAACTGCAACAACAGAATTTCATAATTTCTTTCTCAGTCATGAATAGTGAAACTCGAATTCTTTCTACAGATTACCAGATTCGGAAAACATTCACAAAAACCCCAAAAATGAAACAGCCAAAATTTTGAACTAACCTTCAGGAGAGGAAGAAGAAGTCCAGAGACGAAAACAATTGAACAGAGCTTGAGTTGGAACAGTAATGAACTCGATTTCAATCGCGACTTTGGAGTGGAAAAAACAAGAGAGGGATTTTGGGAAAATTTAGACCGAATAGATCGCATATTCTAATTTTCTTTTGGTTTTTTTTAGAAGCTTCTGCTGTGAGAGAGAGAGTCAACGTTTAGTCAACTTGGCACGTGCAAAAACAATATACACAGCTGGAGAGTTTGCTAACTGACCAATCATCTTACTTTATTTGCAAAAGTAAAATTTTGAAGTCAGCACATTCAGACACAACGGGTCGGGTCGGGTTAGATTTCCCATACACTTTTAATATAATGCTAAGATCAGTAATTCGGTAATTCCATTCAACTGCACTGACCCTTAATTTAGATAAGATAAAGCACCATTATCCAAATTTAAGCTCTATTATATGAGATCAGTAACCCTATTAATTGGTGCCCAAGCCGAGGCAAACACAACACTATGTCCCTTCCACGTAAGCACTAAACGTTCCACGTCATCATCTTCGTCAACATCTCTCTTCATTCCCCAACCAGTAGCGTGTTCCTCCAGCATCGTTTTGGCTTCAGTAGCCACTGCCTCGCCGAGCCCAACTCCAGCAAACTTAGCTTCCCTCATCCGCTCGAACCACCGGCTCTTCAGCTCCAATCTCTCCACTCTCTCAGCACCTTCCTTGGCTATCACGTTATCTATCTTCCAACTTACATCCGCCTCGTACCACTGTCTTTGCTCGCTGCCACATGTCAGAAACACGTCGGCGGTGTCGTAAGGAATCCACATGTAGTTGTAGAGAGACCGTAACCTGAACGTTTGAGCACACATTTACTCGTATGCATATCACTTTTACAATTCGTCAAGTTTTCCATCATAATAAGGTCAAACGTTCTTTTAAGTTTTAATTATACAACAACACAAGTTATACACAAGCAAAATAAAAATATAAACCTGGAGATGAGACTAGTTGAGGTGAAATCCGCGTCTTCGTCGATTAGGGTTACTATCGTTGGGTTTAGGTCTCGAAGCTCTTTCAAGAAAACTGTTCGGGGAGGATTCGAAATCGAAGTTAAGGTTTGGTCGGGGATGTAATGAAGCATCATGTGGCAGTTGACAACGAGAGCTTCGTTAAAGACGAAAGGGTCGTTTCGTAGTTGCTCGACAAGGGAGGAGAGACCGTCGGAGTAAGAAGAAGAGATGATTCTAAACTCCATTGCTATGTTACGTGTGGTCGCGAAGTTTACTAGCTTCGAACCGAGCTCTTCGTAGGAGACTCCGAGCAATGGAGGCGGATAAGATTCGTCGTCGGAAACGATGACGGTGAGTTTGAGAAGCGGAGGGAGTTGTTTGTGGAGTTTGTTTGCCATGGCATCTATAAGAGTAGGGACTTGCATGCAGTGAGTCAAACTTAAGTCAACGATGTGAACGGACGAGTAACCTTTGACAGCGTCGAGGATTGCGGCGTTCGCGGCTATGAATCCGAAACGGTGCCACGGCGTTAGGTCTACGAACTCGGCTAGCTCGATGACGGAGAAGCGGTGAAGCGTTTTCCGGGAGACAGAAGGAGCAGGAGCAGCGACTGAAAGACAAGCGAAGGCGGGGCTTTTAGAAGCGGCGCGTGAAATCAACGCGCGAAGGAAGGAGGAAACGAGTCTCTGAGTAGAGTCTCCTTCTGGTGAGGCGAGGTTGTTAAGGACCCAAATGATCTGTTGAGCCAACGTGACGTCGTTCGATTCGATGGCGTTTGCGCAGTGGAGGAGAAGCTGCTCCATGCAGTTGGCATCGCCGCATAAAGATTTGGAAGAAGAGAAACCGGGCCAAAGGGGTCGGGTGGTCGGGTTTAGAATCCGGGTCGTGTTCATAGTTGGATGATAGCTAGAGGGATATGGAACAGAAAGAACGTAAGAGAAAGAAGATGAAGGCAAAAACAAAGGATGAGAATATTATTAAATGCAAAATCACAGTCTTTAAAAAAAGAGCAAAAGAAAACGAAGAAAGAGGATGAAAGAGTGTTGAAGGCAAGAAGGAAGAAAGAGACGAGACAACATTGAGTTGTACCTCATCAGTATGAAACGCACCGTTTGGGCCTCAAAAACGAGACAAGACCATAGGTGTACAGCTTTTTTGCTCTCTGGTCATGTGCTTTCGTTTTCGTTTCTCTGGGTCTTAATTCATATAGGCGTTAGCATATGTCTGATATAGCTAAATCTAGGTTATAGTAGTCTGCTGCATTAATGGTGGTACGTATCTCTATGTATACGGACAAATTTTCTATCACTCGTTACTTGTGGTCTTTCCCTCCAAGTTATCGTACGTTCCAAATATATGTACATTATGTTACTTTACAATGGTTTGGATAATTATTGGACAGAAAAAACTAAATTATGTTTTTCAACTTTTCTAACAGGTGGCGACCTCAGTACTTAATTAACATTGTTTTGTCATTAAGTTTACACATTAGAGTTGTGATGGAGATATTTACTACGCCTAATTTGCACAAAATATATTTGCATGTACGAGACAAAGTTAGTGAGGAATTATCACCATTCAAGAATATATTATTAGGTGGGCACATCAAATCCCATGTTGGGGAGGATTCTTTTAGCCTTGAGATAACAGGGACTAGATGACATTTTAGGATGTGGTGTCGTTTCATTAACCGATGTTGAATTAGACACCACGACAAATACAACATTGTCGACCATAAGAGTTTGTTATGTCATCTTGATCAGCTATAAAATTCGTTGTCCCACTAAACATATTATAAACGGATTTTGATATATCATTGATGTTGAATAATATATAATGGTTTACCTCAGTTGTCTTCCCCTTCCGTTGTAATATTCCCTTTTTGTTTTATATTCTAGTTTTATCGGTACCTATTGTATTAGTATATTTCCTTTTTTTTTTGGTTAAATATTAATATATTACCTTGTATGTTTGTTTTGGAACAAAATCTTCACATTGAAGATCCTTAAGATGAATCTTATAACGGTATGTCCGGACCCAATTATTTTTTTTGAAATTTAATAACTTAACTTTTTAAAAAATGAAACACACGTTATTAACAACATATGGCATACTATGACATACGGAAAAGAAGAAAATAAATAGTATTGTCATCCGATGCGCTATATACAAGTTCAGTTACTTCATTGAAAACTTCTTCTTGATAAGCTCGTGTTTATATACTCTGTCAAAGTTGAAGATTGTCTTTTACATAAGAACACATTTAGAACACAAGGAATGAGTACACAAAACATTAATTTAATGTTTAGGCGTACTTATACTAACTTAGTATATAACTTGTTATTTTAGATTATTATGATATAGCTGTTATGACTCTTTGTACATTCTTAGCACTACAAAAATATAACTTCGTATCATTTATTTTGAATATTTTTATTAATTATAATTGATGTATAATACTTTTACATCACTTAATTAAATGATTTTAAAATTTTGATGCAAATAATTCTCATCATTTAATTAATAATTGATACAATTATATATAATATGTGTACCGATTGTAGTAAATCATGTTAATTTGTGTCAAACATAAATATTGATGATAGTTTTCAAAAATATATTTTGTATAAGTGATGTTACTGCGATTAATATAGCGGTGTTTTTTAACAAGTAGAGATGATTAGAATGGGACATATGGTTTACTTAATTATTTTCTGCTTTCGCAACTGTACACTACTATGAGCTGTTGGGTTTGACGTACAGCTTAATGGGCTATATGATGATAAATGATACATTATTGGGCCCAGAAAGCATTGGGTTTCTAATGGGCTAACCAGTGCAAATTCAATTAAGAATTGGACGAAGTTACCCGCCAGAGCGGATCGACATGGGCACATTTATATATCGTTTGTTACACTACTATTAGGAAAAATATCATGCGCTGTGTGCTTTATATTACTTATTTACACTTACGTGTGTATGTAAGCTAACTTATATATGTCTGTCGGGAGATTAGTCAAAGTTGTCAATTCCTCGTAGGACCAAAGATGCCAAAGTCTGGATATATAAGTTCCGGCGATGCGGGAAACAGTCACGTGAACTTCACGTGTTCAAAAATCGAAACAATGTCCGGTCCTTATCTGAAATCTAAGTTGGTCCCCAAGTCCTCAGATTCTTTACGCCCTCTCACTCATCCTTTTTCATTTACAATATTACCCTATACATCCACAGAACACTCTCGATCCCCTTTACAATTTTATTTGTGTGCAACGTCGTCGTTTTGATATACGAGTCACAAGTGCGTGCATAATACTTTGTTTGATCATTCCGGAACCTATTAAACCTAATACTACTAGAGATGCCTATACTTGCCACTATGAAATAGAATTTAAATCACGACAAAACTCAGAGGAAAGAAAAATATCATTAAACCAACACTATGAAGTCAATGGAATTTATAAACCTTAAAAACGTATAATAGTTTACTTTGAATTAGATCCGACATGTGTGGAAGGAATCAATAAACAATAGAGTAGATTTAAATATTTCTTAATCAGAAAAAAAAACTACATGTAGTGGATCGGATGACGTATTAATGAAACCAAATTTGTACTGTGGATTAGGAGATGGAAAAAGATACGACCAATAAAATTGTCGAAGGGGCATATGTCTCTTGGACTCTCCCACGACGAAGGATCGTTTATTAATTTGTGCCCGTTCATTAGTGGCAAAACCAACACTAGTGACTTGGCTTCTCCTTTTTGCCTTATAAAAATCATCGTACGTCATCTTATCAAATCTTCCAACGATTCAAAGTTTCCTAAGAAATCATAGAAACAAAGAGCGAAACCAAATCATTCCTCTCTATCTGCTTAAGCAAACACTTATTTTTCCCGTTCTGATGATTTGTGAGATTGATTGAAATTACTTTTTTCCTTTGGAATAATAATGTATAGGGATAAGAAAATGTCCATTTGATTAATGATAAGTTGATAAGCATTTTGACAGAACACATTTTCCCATGTATGATGGCTGATGCAAATATGGATAAAGCTAAAAATAAGATATGAGTAAGTTAGCAAGTGGGCTCAGAGACGTAAGAAGGGCCTACCAGGGTCCAATTACAGCTACGGCTTTTTACATCCAGCACGAGTCATCATCCTTCCTTCCTTCTATCCGTTAACAATTATTGACTTCAATTTGTATATCTACTACACACATTATATGAGTTTTTTTCTTCTTTTTTAAATATCGTAATCTCGAAATCTTGAGGCAAGTCGTCGATGATATCATCTTTGGATTCGGGTCAGGTAAAACTGGAAGAAAAATAAAAAAAACCTTTTTAGCTTTTCGTTAACGTAAGTATTTTATTTAAACCATATGTTTATCTGATTTAATTAAAATATGTATGATACAATTTAGGGATTTGATAAATTAAGTAATATTAAAATAAAAGACGCCGAAACAGTCATGTCACACTATATATTACAAATCCTTTACACAAGGGATATTGTCTTCTTTTTTTTTTGGTAAACCGCAAAGGGATATGGTTTAAATTTTTTTTTTTTGTTGGATAGATTAGATGTGGAACCGAATAAGGGTAGAAACGGACGAAGCAGATTAAAAGAAGGAGGATGACGTGGGATCCATCCATGACGTTCCCAAGATCGGTGGAGATAAACATCGCTCGTATCAGGGAAGTTATTTATTTTATCAGCATATCATAAAATTCCAAATAGTATAATATCAACCGAAAAAAAAAAGATGAAATAAATGAAATAGGATTAGCAAAACCAATCGAGTCCTCCTTAGCTTGCTGAAATAAAATATATTTTATTGAAAAATGCTATTTTGATAATTTATATCCGAATTTTGTCATTTTATAACTGATTAATTGGATAGTGAAGTCAATAAACTTTGATGAGGACAAAAAAAATAAACGTAAATCAATTTTTTTTAAAAAAAAAAGAAAAAAAGAAGAAGAAAGCTGACGAGGACCACTGGCTTATGTTTGCAATTGGATGGATGGTTGGCAGAAGAATAATTGTATGTCCAAAGTCATAAATATCCTTTTAATGATAAATAGTAGTAGCAGTAGTTGTATAAAAACATTATCATAAAACGCCAAATAAAGGGCCGAGCTATAACTTATATAACTTGCGTTTTCTCCCCCCAAGCACATACAAAAGAACCTGAGAATTAACACCTAATGAGAAACAACACTGTAAAAATAAAAAAAAAGCATCAGTACGAAGACAATCTAAGACTCGAGAGTGCATGTGTGATTGCAACAATTATGGATTAATTTTGTGACTGTGTTGAACGTTATCAGAGAACATATCTAAAGATAAAAACGTCTTATGTCCCATGTAACAATGTTTGACTATTTGATAAAAAAATAGCCTCGTCCGATTAGGGTTGGAGGGTCGATCCAAAATCATGGGATTGGTTAATTAGAATAATAAATAGACGTTTCCAAAAGGGTTGAATTGAATATGTTGAAAAGAGAGAAGAGAGTGTGGTCGTTTAGGGTCGTTCCATTGGGCGAGAAATGGCTCTTTGGGTCGTCCAAAAGCCGCCTCCAAAACGATAAGGGGACTCTCTCTCCTCTTGTGTCTGTCATGTGTTGCCTCCTCCTCCCTCCTCTTCTATCCAACCATTTTGGTCCAACCACATGCTTAGATATTCTATATCCACTTTATTGTCATACACACATACATTTAACTATACTATTATTTATGGGTACGGTCCAACTATATCACTTGTTTTTTTGTTTGTTTAATGTGTTAGGATCCCCCCCCCCCCCCCCCCACATTCTACTGGCTGGGAAATACCTTTGGAAATTTTGTTACATTCGTATGTTTTTCCATTTTTATTTTTTTGTAGTTTTGAAACGTTGAGTTTCCAACGAAAATAACAAACATATCTAAGCCAGTACTTCATTTACTACCAAAAACTGAGTGTATTGGAACTGCAGAATAGATCGTAGCTTCTTCAGTAAGAAAAGTTTACAATGTAAGAACACATTGCTCTAAGAGAACTGAGAGATATATTAAGGAGAATTGAACAATCGAGAAATGATCAAATATGTTGCACTCAATAAAAGTTTGACATTTGGGTTAATAACTCTAAACCGAGAGAACAAAACAGACGTGGTTAATTAGCCGGTCTAATGTGTTTTTTTATCCACGGGGAAAAACAAGAAAAAAGGAGTAGAAAATGTGTAAAATTACATTTTAAACCCTAACAACTAATAATAATCAGTGAAAAAACCGACGCCGTTTTGCGTTTAAACAAAAAGGTTAAGCAACTTGCTCGTTTCAACTCCTCCTCCGTTTCCGTTTCCGTACACATCACCCTTGTCACAAAACGACGCCGTGGTCGTCGTCGTAACAGAGTCCTCTGAGTTCATCGACGGTGTTAGCGATCTCCGCCGTGTAGAAGAAGAAGGCGTTGATTTAGGGATCAGAGATAGATCGAGCTCCGAAGATGGTTGTTGTTCTGACGTTGTTACCCGCTTACGTTTCGTCGGAGGAGAAGAAGAATCCATGGTAGATCTAGATCTAGAGCTCGAGAACCGAGAATGATGGTAGATGTTACGATCGGTTGAGTCATTCTGCTGGAGATTTAACATTTCGGTGCAGATCTCAGATGCTTCTTCAGATGTAGGAGATGGAAACCCAGCGAACCCGCCGCCGTGAGCGAGAAGCTCCGGGATCGGTCTCAAAGAACCGCCGCGAAGCACCGATTCAACCGCCGCTTGGCAAATATTCCAGTTTCCAGTCCATAACATTCCGATCGCTCCGTTTACTGGATTCACAGTTCTGCCACAAGCTTCGTATAGCAAAGACTGAAACAACGCTGCAGCAGAAGAAGAAAAAGATGAGAAAACGAAGGACGAAATTAAAAACAAAACCGGTTTAGTGTGAGAATATAATTACCAGGACGTTGAGATTCCGGTACGGCGGAGATAAAAGACATGAGACCAGCACGGCCGAAGAATTTAGCGACGAAGACGGTGGCGTGGCCTTGAGCATCGGCGCTTTCAATCCATTGGATACATGGTCGGAGGATACAGTTCTCGCTGCAACCTTTCCGGAGAACTCGGCAACCGTTGCAGCTCATTTTTTTTTGTGTGCAGATTCTCAAATTTTAAATATGTTAATTGAATTAAAAGCTTATCTTATGTTTCTCCTGAATGTTGCTGAGGTCTGGGAGAAGAAGAAGAAGAAGATTTATGATTTTAGCTTTGGGAGCAAGAAAGTGATCTTTGCACAGAATGAAATCGAGAGAGAGGTTAAAAATGTTTCTGAAGATAGAGAAGACCACATATATATATATACACACATTTATACGGTTCATATTTAAATCCAAATGGTTTTGTTTAATAATTTTAACTGGTATAATAAAACAAGTAAAAGACATAGGAAAAAAAAAAAGGAAGCGTATTGGTGCGTGAGGCTCGCCGCCGTAGAAGAACCTTAATTACACCAATGATATATATATATTTTTAAAAATAATAAATATAAATGACTGCAATTTTATTTATTCGTGAAGAAAATAAATAATAATTGTAAGTGTATAAATTTATATTGTTTTGGTTGAGGGGTAACGTTTTGTGAAGTGACAAAAGGGGAGAGAGTGGTAAAGATTCCAAGATGATGGGTGCGAGCGAGCGGCTCCGTGTTTCCGCGAAAAGTTATGTCTTCTCTCTACCGTTAATTTTTTTCAACCACAAATAAATAAATAATTTTTAAAAAAAAAACTTTTGATAATTATAATCTCAAGTTTTATTTTTTTAAGAAAAAGAAGAAGATGCGTCGACATTATCCACATCTTGTAATTGATGACAACTGTGAAGTAAATACTGTGAGCTTCCTAATTTACGGGTCATTTTCTCAATAGATTCCTAGTCCTTTAATCATATATCAACTTTATTTTCTAACAGATTAAGGTGATTATGGATAGTAATCGATTGATTTTTTTTTGCTAAAAGGATATGAATAATTGCTTCCATATTTAGTTACTGATTCAAAAATCTCTATCTTTTTCCATGGAATATTGCTAATCATAAACAAAACCCACTTTTGATATGAAATCTTACAAAGCCACATGCAATGTAATACAAGAGGGATATAGAGTTAATTATGTGTATATTGCTCTCCTAATTCCCACTTATGACCTAGTTTGATTTTAATTCATTCCCTCTACAATAAATCGTGTATATATACATAGCCCTATATATAATTAAGAAGATTACAAGATCTAAAAAGGACAAAACAATAGGATAAAAGTATGATAATTTAGGGGAGTATAACCTCTAATGTCGACGACCCCTGAAAGATAGAAAAAAAGAAAATAAGAGAGATTGACCCTATAACATCGTTAAGCGACCTACCTACAATAATGAACAAATTTTTAATATTTAAAATTGGAGTATAAGTCTTGTTCTTCTTCTTTTGTCACTCTCCAACACACAGCTAAAGCGAGTGAGGCTTTTCGCATGCAAAATGACGTCATGGGTGACGCAATCAGCGTTTTCTTTTTCCCACGTACTGTACTACATAGATTTATTCGGATAATAAAACCAAATCCGTTGAAACATTGGCAAATCTATTATTATTCCCAGAAGTTAGGCCCATTTAATGTCTTCATTGCTTTACAAAGGCCTTTAACTTAAATTGGGCGGAAACTTCTTTTTCTAAATGGACCGAACAGGTTTATATTACATGTTTTCCTAATTAATGGAATATATATACAATATGGATGACGACGATGTGGGACTCCAATTTATGTAACGAATATTACAAGATTTTCCTAATTAATTTCTATCGGTCTTGCATATATGGGCTTTTTGGTTGGTCTCTCGGTCTTTGCATATATAGGCTTTTTGGTTGGTTTAATATGCGATGGGTCGGTATTTCAAATCAACCCATTCCATTTTTACACGTTGTGAAATTGTTCATAAAGCTGGTCGATATCCAAATATTGCATCAAATTAATCAGTTTCTTAAACATCTAGTAATGACGGTGTAGACCATAAAAATCATAAACAGTGTTTCTGCAAAATACAAAAAAACATATACCTCACAAAAATCCATGTTATAATATATTAATTGATCTCAATTAGAATACAAAATCCTATCAACCGGAACGTTTCAAAACAGTATTTTTAAATGAAGTATATATGTAAAACAATGCATACGTTTACCACCTGAAATTTCCACATATCAGTTAAGGTAAACTTGTAAACCGTACTCAGATACATGCATTCGAATGAATTTTATTCTCCAAGAAAATTGCTTATATTGATTTATTTAAATATATATACATTGGTATACGTGTTTCGGACCAGGTTATTGAATATAATGGGTATACATGTTATATATATTAGGCTGCTTGACCCCTAAAATAAGGAAGAAATGAGATTAAAAACAAAAATATTTTGGAGAAGTAAGTGAGGTCATAAAGTCCAATACATCAGCAGACAATTTATGTCTTTTAGCAAATGAAACATTTACATACATACGTAGCGTGATGTACAATTTTGGCATTTTCACTTATTTTATTACAAACCCTAGAGGTTTACAAACTAATCACGCCCAATTTGATTATGATTATTTCTATTTGGTAATTTCTTAATCAGTTTTCAACTCTTTTTTTTTTTCTTTTGTCGACAGTTTTCAACTCTTTTATGTGGACAACAAAGCAAGAGTTTAATTAAACTCATGAATATTCTAAAAGTAATGTTCGAGGCTGCACGACACACAGTTTTTTCATATCAAATATATATTGTATGTTTCATTGTTTTTAACAATATTTTTTTGTTAACTATATATAAAGCAATATGCGTCAATCATTTTTAATCAATCATGTTGTAGCTTAAAGATATCCATTTTTTAATATTATTTCGCAATACCTCATAATATATATATTTGTTCTCTAAGATAATCTCTCTTATTGTTATTGACGTCAAAAAAGAAAGAAGAAGATAATCTCTTACTATACAATCCAGCATCTTCTTCTCGTATCGTATTATCCTTTCTCTGTTCATTTGCAAATCGTGAGAGCATAAACCAATATAAAATGCCAAAATGACAAGAATTTAAGTAAAACGTCCTTAATACAATAATGGACAACTTTCAAAGATAAACCAGAATAAAATAAATGACAATGTGTTTACGATATTTGATCAAATATATTTTCTTCAATTATGAGAACAAAATATTTTTTTCAAAATTGTATGGTTGTTAATTATAACAAAAAAAAAATATAAGTTTAACTTAAATATATGCATATGAATATTAAAGAATTGATTGGAGGTAAGGAACTGAGAGGAGCTAGTTTAGAGAAGGAACTAGCTAGAGAGATACGAATCCAAACCCAAAGAATATGAAAAAGCTGAGAGAATATTGTGGAAAAGAAAGCAAAGCCGTCTGGTCACGTTCCTTATATTATGATTAGCGCAGAAAGATGATTATTCCACTATAAGGTAAAAAAAGAAAGAAGAAGAAGATTGCTAAGCACCTTCGCATTTCTCTCTTAATCATTATTATTATATGTCTTAATTAAACAAATCCCAGAAAGATTATCGTCTTTATTCTAATCGGGTCCATGTCCAGAACCAATCGACGGCCTTAGTTTCAGGAGAAATTTGCAGGACCACCCACTCTTGTGTTTTGCCCACGTCTCAGATTCTTCAACCTATCGTCTATCTCTTTTTCTCTACAACATCCATTACATAACTATTGTTTAGTTTTGTCCAAAAAAAAAGAAAAACTATTGTTTAGTTTAATTTTATGATTTCTGTCGTAGCTAGTGTTTCCAGCTAGCTAGCTCTCTTCATTTATATGATCAGATATGGTTAAGTGTGATTTACTATGTATATGTAAACAATGGTAGATAAAAGAATACATAAGCATGTTGACATCTTTATTTTCTATGTGTTATACAAAAATTATTTATTTACTATAATGTGGTCAAATATACATGGAAATGTCATGTTTCAAAAAGAAAAGATAAACTAATTATTGCACAAGACTACACCAATAATATAGGTTGTATTGTACTTACTGAACTTTATCTATATAACTCTCTCTAATAACACAAACCTATTCTTATAGTTTTCTTTCGAATTCAAGAATTTTTAAATCGTTTTGGTCACGAAACGCACGAATTGCGTAAAAGGATCACATATATCATTTTCGTGTGATATATGCAAATTGAGTATGATTGTAAAAGAAAGATAATTTTTTAAAGGGATATAGCGATCGAGGTGATGACAGTGATGATATATTTGTGCAATCATTATGACATTTATTAAAAAGAATGTAATATTTCTCATTGAGCTCTCTATATTTATACTTTTAGCATAGCAAATGGTATAGGCATATATATAGCTGATTCTATATAAATATATCTACTTGAAAAATATAAAGCAAATGATAAAAGGGGATCGTTGCTAATGCTAAACCCACCACGTGTTTCCGCCGCCATATTCAGCTTTTTTTGTGTGCTTCGATCGACTTTTTCTTTTCTATTTTGCGATCGCATTTTTTATATTACTTAAAAAGATTCCCAATTGCCTTTCCTCTGTGTGTTTTCAATTTGTAAAATATTTCGATCAGAATAACAATCCATCGCATAATTGGTTAAGGGCAGTAATAAATTATAAAATGGATCGGATCAATCGTTAAACTACAAACGTTATTGTCTAAAATGATTCGCGATAGTAAATACTAATAAATATTCATTTATACATCTACATCTTATAGACGTGAAAGAAAGCATAGATTATACACACATGGACGATGGTAAATATACATTTTATACATCTACATCTATAGATGTGAAAGAAAGCATAAATAAACACATATGGATATGTGTGTGTGGGTGAGAAATAATATTAGTTAGGGATGCAACGCAGTACTCGCGGTGCAAATGTAATTTGGAAGAGTACAATAAAATACGATAGAAGTTAGAATCGTGGGTTATTAATATTTGTATCCGTCCACAATTTTATATACGAGCCGTGATATTCCCGGAAAGTATATATAGAGAGAGCTATACACGAATCCTAGCTAACCGGATCATCAACATAAAATATAACCAGATATGCAACTAAAATAACACAAGGAAATTAAGAATTGAATCGACAGAGCTCCAAAGAAAGAGCACTAAACATTTAATAAATCTTTTCTTATATATATATATGTAGAGAGAGAGAGAGATAGTGATGATTAAATAAAACGCTAATCATATAATTAACCAGGAGAGAACAAAGCATAATACTAACTATAAATAGACTAATGACAAGACCCACTTTGTGAAAGAGAACGATCTGTGCTATATTTTGCAAGAAGGGGAAAAGGTTTTGATTTCTTTGTTATCCGTAAGGTTTTATATTATAAATACTTTAATTAAGTCACGCAATAAAAAAGATAGACATGGGGAAAGGATTTCAAGTTGTTGTTGTGGTGAGAGAGTATGATCCAAAGAGAGACTTAACGAGAGTGGAAGAGCTTGAGGAAAGCTGCGAAGTCGGATCTTTGTTAGTTGATCTCATGGGTGATCCGCTTGCCCGGATCCGACAGTCTCCTTCTTTCCACATGCTGGTACGTATCTGTCTAGCTAATTACTAATACAATACGTTTAATTATGTTGCCAGTGGTGTTGTTTTGCTTAACTTGTATATACTCGTTTTTGGGCAATGCACGTGACAGGTGGCAGAGATCGGTAACGAGATAGTTGGGATGATCAGAGGAACGATCAAGATGGTGACACGTGGTGGAAATGCATTACGTCAAGAAGACGGTGTTTCGCCGGAAATAAGCACCACCAAGCTTGCCTTCGTCTCCGGCCTCCGAGTCTCTCCGTTTTACAGGTTAGAGTTCTTAATTAAATTGTTCTTCATAGAAAGTATATAGTAAGCACAATCACTTATATATATTTAAATTATATATATGATGCTTACAACTTAAAAACTATAATATTTTGATGATACATAACGCCTAACGGGAAAAAGAAGTTTATTAACGACTATTTTAAAGCTTTTAACTAATAATTCTTTTTTTGGGTGCGTATATTTTAGGAGGATGGGAATAGGACTGAAGTTGGTGCAAAGACTCGAAGAATGGTTTCTACGAAACGGTGCCGTTTACTCTTACGTGCAAACCGAAAACGACAACACAGCTTCGGTCAAACTCTTCACCGAGAAAAGCGGTTACTCCAAATTCCGTACACCCGCTTTCCTGGTAAACCCGGTCTTCAACCACCGAGTCACCGTCTCTCGCCGGGTCAACATCATCAAACTCGCTCCCTCCGAAGCCGAGTCACTCTACCGCGACAGGTTCTCCTCCACCGAGTTTTTCCCTTCGGACATCAACTCAATCCTCACCAACAAACTCTGTCTCGGCACTTATATGGCCGTGCCACGTGGCGAGGACCATCTTCCCGGGTCGTGGGCCGTTATAAGTATATGGAACAGTAAAGATGTGTATAGACTACAAGTCAAAGGAGCGTCGCGTCTCAAACGCATATTAGCAAAGACGACGCGCGTTTTCGACGGTGCGTTGCCGTTTTTGAAAATCCCGTCGTTTCCAAATCTTTTCAAGTCGTTTGCGATGCATTTCATGTACGGTATCGGCGGAGGAGGGCCACGAGCGGCGGAGATGGTGGAGGCGCTTTGCTCACACGCTCATAACTTGGCTAGAAAAAGCGGTTGCTCCGTCTTGGCTGCTGAGGTGGCCAGTTGTGAGCCGCTCAAAGTTGGTATTCCTCACTGGAAAGTGCTCTCACCGGAGGATCTTTGGTGTTTGAAATGTCTCCGAGATGACGGGGACGATGACGGCGTAGATTGGACCAAGTCACCACCTGGATTGTCTATTTTCGTTGACCCTAGAGAAATATAATAATTTGCATAGAATATATACATATTAGAGGAATCTAACCACCAAACACAAAAACAAACAAAAATTTCAAAACCAAATACTAAATCTGAGTGTTATACAGACTTAGTTGCACCTTATCATTTTCTGTAATTTCATACTGAATAAATCGGATTACAAGCACAAGCATAGCAAAACTTTGGTATAGTGTGTAACTTGAATTATAATCGTAGTATATATCAACGGATTGGATTGTTGGTGTACGAGTAGTTTGTTATATCTACATATCATAATTCTTATAAAATGTGTTAAATTTAGTATCAATTATTTCACTGTTTAAGTCAAGTATATAAAGCAAGTTGTAACTTCTCTGTTTTATTTTGGTTTTCCATTTAAAACCAATTATACAAGCTAAGTAGTGATAATTGAATAAAATCTCAACTTGTTAGATTACGACTATACGAGAATGTAAATCTCCAACCCCTTAGCAAAGGAAGTCAAAACCAAATTTTATTTATTATATACTTCGTCCACTTTTTTGTACAAAGGAATATGTTTTTTTTAGTCAACGCCGAAAAAGTGAATGAATCGAGATAATAAAAAGATAATCAAAGTAAATAAATGACTAAAATGGTACAAACGTAACCTTTTGAAAGTATATAAATAAATTTGATGACGTAGTAGAACAAAGAAGCTCATGGAAACTTAAAATTCTACTTTTCTTTATAGTTTGTATGGTCAATTATGCCGGCTAACACCCTTTTTATTCTTTTTTCTTAAATATTTTAATTCTTGCAAATTGGTAAGTGTTCTTAATTTATTATCGTCACAAAGAAGAACAGGTTCGTGGAAATTTCTTTGGTCTAGTGGATTCACCAAAAGCTATTGACACTCCATGATCCTCCTCTAATTGGAGATTCCGCGTTCGCACAGAAACGGAAACAAGCTTCTATTTCAAGATGTTTGAGGTTTAACGTTTAGATAATACGATTTATTAATTTGCAGATTAAGAGATAAACTTACAGGAGATCTACAATGCATAATTAGAAGAAAAACAAAACAAAACAATGTACAATCGGAACCGTTCGTTGTGATTCTATGCATAGAAAAAGATGTGTCGTCAGAAAAATTTGCAATCTAAAAAAATTTATAGTCTATGGTAAATCTAATAAGAGTCGGCTCGGAAAAAATTGTTTGTATTAGAATCGTCATTGTAACAGTTCTCATAATTTGTAATAAATAATAAACTAAAAAATAAAATAAAAAAAAGAGAAAAAAAAAAGAACATGTTCCATCAATAGATATGAAATTTTTTAGTGTAATCTTTAAAAGATTTTCTTGACATTATTCTTTACTTTTTGAAAAAAAATTAGGAAAAAAATTCTAAAGCCTTAAAGGCATCATTAGAATTTGGATATCTCAAAATTGTAACGGTTACATAAACCAAAAGCTTTGGGTTTATATAATCACCAAAAAAAACTGACCCAAATTCGATCTAAAGGCAAAGTTAGATTAAAATATAAAAGGCCTAATTAGAAAGCCCAAATTATATCTAAAAGTTAAGACGATGATTTTCTGCGGCGAGTCGACGGCGTCGATTTATCACCGACGGTGGTGGCTGAGCCAGGGCTTTCAGATGTATCTGTGCTACTAACATCTCCAACACCGTCTCTATCTTTACCTGTCCAAAGCTTCGAAAATATCCGAGATATTACAACTCCTTTAGCTTTCGTTTTCTCAGAACTACTCGTCTTGTCTCTCGTCGTCGTCGTCTCCTCCGTGGCCGTGACTGAGTCACACTCTTCTTCCGTTGTTGTCCTCGAGCTCCCGTGAGAGCCGCTTGGTGGAAGAGAGGGTTTCGCTGTGGGACACGTGGCACGTACTTGCTCGAAGAAGAGGATCTGCACTACGACTCTTAAAGGTAACCTCTCGTTTTGCACGGCGTGAGCACATGCTTCCGGCGATAGTTTCCGGCAATCCATTAATCTGCATATTGATTTCTTCTCGCTTTTTGTTATTCCTGGATGTTGCTGTGAAATCAAATATCAAAACTTTAGTTTTCAGTTGACAAGAACACAATGCATATTGATCATTTGTTCATTATCTCAAACTTAAAAACTAAAACTTTGAGCAGAAATTACCTTTAAGAACATGTCAATGGCACGATAAACACCATCGTGTGATGATCTTGGGAAATTTGAAACCTTTTCTGCAATTGCGATGAACTTTAAAGAAGATAAATTGGGTTCGACTCTGGAGATTTCAGCTAAGTATCCATCGATTAACTTGGCGACATTTGCTTTTGAACTGTCTGGAACAAAACCATTTCCTTCGTTGATGTCGTCTGAGCAATCAAGCTCGTCTCTTTTCTGTGTTTGTTTAACAAACTCATCGATTAAGGTTTCAACTATGTCGATGTCATAGACTGTTTCACCTCCATCTGGAGCTCTGATCAAGAGATCACTCACATTTGCTTCCTCTAGCTTCTCTCCGATTCTTCTACTTAGCTCTTTCCTCTCTTCTTCTCCACATTCCGAAGAAACAGAGGATTTCAGTAGTTTGATCAAGAATCCACAAGAAACACTCTGTTTCTCACTAGGCAACAAAGAAACCAATGTCTCCAACAAAGATCTGTGTTCGAATACATCTGCATCATCGTCACCATCTTGGATCAGTAAACCACGGTTTCTCTTTGCTGCATAAACCTCAAGAGCTTCTCCTATAAACTCAGGCAAAACCCCGCCTTTTCTTCTGATAGTCGAAATCACTCTTTTGAATAAATCAATGCTAAGCTCAGTGAGATCCTCTATCCACCAATCTCTTGGTACGCCGTTGTTGTTAATCTCAGGTGGACGAAGCTTTCTTCGGTTATACGTATAAGACCAATCTACTCTTGCTGAATCAATAGCAGCTTTTGAAGCGATCGACTCCAAACACCGTACATTGATTTTCACATCTTCTGACCACGGATAAAATGATCTTGTCGTCTGTAGAACTATGATGGAGTCTTTCCAGCTTCTTAAAACACTCGAGTTCAAGAAAACCTCGATCTTGTAAACAAGATTCCCGCTTTCAATGGATTCATACATCTCGAGATACTCAGCAGCGCAACGCACAGCTACAACATTGTATGCGTTGAGGGTCACAGTCATTCCATAACAGAATTTAGCGCATATCTCAAACGCTGGAGGCCCTCCCGGGATATCGGGGATGCGGATTTCATCATCTGATTGTTCATCGCTCGTGGTTGTGGCGATTAACTTCTGAAGACGAGCGCTTTTAGACAGAAGAGGAAACTGTTTTTAAAACAAAAACAGACAAAAGTAGATTCACTATAGATCAGTAGTTAAACTCAAAAATCATGGGTTCCAATAAGTTCTTGAAAATAGTAGATATTGAAGTTACCTTATGCAGATAGAATTTGACATCCCCAACATTTACAACTACATCAGTCGCTAACTCAGTTGCTACATATCTATAAACACAGGAAGAGAAAACGTAAGATGCCGAAGCAAAAACATATGAAGAAAGAAACCAAATCTTGAAGACATTTTTACCTTATGGAATCTTCATCGGACTGAAACGAATCCGGTTTGGATCCAAGTTTCATAAACTTCATTTCTCACAAATAAACAAACCAGGAAGAAGTTTCTGAAGATTGTTCTGCTCTCTTTCTCTGAAATAGTATTTGTGACGACAAGATCATTAAGGATTCAAAATCTGAGATCCTTATTGGATGCAAAAGTATAAACAAGCAGAGTATTGTTGAAGCATAAGCTGTGAAACATTTCTATATATTAGACTTTTCAGACTTAAACTAAAAGAGAAGAAACATATGCGTTGCTTCTTCAGTTGCTAACCTTCAGAGAGATTAAAGGAAAACATGAAAGACCATAAACAAAAAGAAAAGAGAGAGAGTGAGAGGTGATCCACTAGCTTTGTGAAACCGACACGTACTCGTAGCATACTACTTGTTTATTATTATCAAATACTCTGTTTCTTTAATGTTGTGTTGTTTTTGAACCGAATCTTATCAGGTTCAGAAAGCATCAAAGGAAGAAGAAACAAAAACCCAGAACCCTAGAAAAAAGTGCGAATATCCGATTAAGAATAAAGTAGTTCTTGGTTTGTGTCGAGAAACAAAAGCATTATAAAATAAAAAAAACAATGGAGATCAATGAAGAAGTGTTGCTTCCTGAAGGACCCAAAAGAAAAAAGATTTATGTTATATCAGTGAGACCAAACACAAGAGACCCATTTATAGTGAGTTAAGAAACCAAATCATGTGGTAAGAGTTTTCAAATCTACAAAACGAAGGAACTTATAAATGGGTAGAGAAATTCACAAGCTCTAAAAAGGTGATTTTTAGGTTTTTGTTTCTAATTTTGGACCTAAATATCATCAGGAAAAAAAGACAGCAAATTTCAGGAAAAAAAAAAAACGAAAAATCATACCTTTGGGTGGGAAAAAGAAACCTTGTTTAAGGATCAATTCGATGAAATGAAACGAGACAGAGGCAAGAAAAAAGTGTGGGCAATATTGCTGCTGCTGTGTGTAGAGACAGAGAGAGGAACAGAGAACTGTAATCCAAGAGTAATCCGACAAAACACAAAACAGCAATCCAACAAAAAAAAAAGAAAAGAAAGAAAAGCTCTAAGTAAAAAAGAAAGAGAGAAAGAGCAAAAAAAAACAAGAGAGAATCAAAGAAGATGAGCTGTTTCGTCTTCCTTCACCGTAGTGCAAATCTGAAAGCCTCAGAATGTTCTGTCCCCTTTTATCTCCTCTCTCTCTCTCTCTCTCTTCTCCCAATACCCCACTCTCTGAATCAGCACCACCGCCTCCACCACTCAACTTATAAAATCTTTATACTACTACTATACTAGTCAGTATTGTATTAAATTACTTTAAGATTAAACACACAAAAAAAAGTAAGAAAGAAAAGGCTGTGTGTTTGATGATAATATATCCCAAGGATTTGTTTTGGATCGAATTCACTGTGATGTGTTGTTGTTGCTTTACTCTCTCTTGTGGATTGTGGTTGTGGATACCTATAATAAATTTGGAAGCAATGATTAAGCTTTAAAAAAAAACTAGTAGTACCAGTAGCAAGTAGCAGCAGCAAAGGATTGTATGCGTATACATAAATTCAGCCACGCTAATATCTGACAAGTTAAACTGTGGTGTGTCTCTTTTTCTTTTCTTTTGCATAAAATGAATATCACTCGAAAGAAAAAAAAAAAAAAATCATAATTTTGGTGATATGATTATTTATGAGTCAACAATATTTTTAGAGTCGTCTTCTTTATATGCAAATTGTGGGAGTCAATTCAGTCTTTTCGGTATGTTCCATTCCATCCACAAGGATTTGTGCAACCTACCAATAGTTTGGTTTCATGAGTTGACCCTCGAATTAAAACCCCATTTAGGACCAAAAAAGACGTTTTTGGAAAAACCAAATTGTTTGTGTTTTTAATATTAAAAAAAGTTTGCATTACTACCATATAGAGTTAGACAAAAAGAAAAGAAAATGGTACATATTTTTCTTCAAATAAATCTCGTTAAATGTATACGATTATAAATGTTTATATTTTAGGGGGATAACATGACAGACTCATAGACCGATCAAACAAGTGAACCCGTCTTTTGTCCTAGTGGACGAAAGGGGGACCGCACGCAACATTCTTTTTTTTTTTTTTTTTTTATAAAGTATTATTGTAATAATATATGCTGAAAGTATTATATATAATTAACGTTCAAAAATATAAAAATTCCAAGCAGCTACTACTATGAAAATTTCTTCGGCCTTTTAATTCTTTCACCAGACCCGCAACACTGAAATCCAAAAGGATCCAATGTCAATTAAATAATATATGGATGTGTTACGCCTCTAATTTTATTCACGAGTAATATAATAACGTTGCTTTGTAGCGCCATGTCACCCTGGTCCTGGTGCGCTTCCGCATGAATGTGCTTCCTACATTTTTTAAGATATAAAACCATGCCATTTAAATTTCTTATTAGGGGGAATCTGACGGCCATTACCATAATATGTAAGGCTCCGTATGTGATTAAAGAATAATTTAACTAGTTAACAAAAAAAATAAGAAAAAATTGGGTTTATAAATGAGCCCTTTTGTGTATAATTTGTTAATTTTTGTTTTATCAAGTCACACACTATGCACGATACAATACTTCCTCCAAAAAGAGTGTGGCTAGCGCTTTGGGATAATTTTGAGAAATGTAAAACTACTAAACAAAATGAAAACATAATAATTAGATAAATAATAAAAAGGGGAGCACATAAAAATGAGGGTCACATGATTATGGAGAAAGATAAGGGCATCATCCTTAAGGGTTTGGTCGGTTAGGAGAAAGCTGATACATGATTACTTCCAACGGTTCTGGTCAATGGAACTTTTAATAGATTTGAACATATTACTAGTACTAGTACATGTATATATATCCCGCATGTGCTTTGTGGATCTTTTCAACGTCCTATTTATCTCTTGAATTGATTATCACCATCAAGTGTAGAGTTTCTTCTCGATACGTTTGATACCTTGTCATACTATCAAGGTTTCTAATTTCTCCTCAACACGACAACAACATTTGAACGTTTCCAAAGGTTTCAAAAGACATGGCATTGATTATACCTCGAGTGACAATTTGACCATTTCCCGTTATATACGTTTTGTAGACTTGGACATGGCCACAAGGTAAGTGTATGGCCATAATACCAAATAAGTTTATGCTATGAGTAATATCATACGTCTTAGAGACATATATATATATGAGTTGCTTAGGTATCAAATAAGTTGTTGGTTAAGATGATAATGCTTAAATATCGTTTTTAAGTTTATCTCATTCTCGGTCTTGTAGAGTAAAACGTTAATTAAATTAGTAAAAACAAAGATTAATTTGAATAATCAGAGGCACATGGGAGAAGCAGATTCTTATAGACAAACAAAATCGAATGCATGCATATATTGCAGATTCACCTCCGTCTCCGTGTTTGGTTTAACATGTTCGAATCATTACTCAGTCAAAGTTCTTGTAGTTTTCAACTTTTTCTACCTTATTTTATTTATCGTCTATCATTAAAATACAGGTTTCAACTTTCAGCACCCTAAATAGTAAATATGCATTTCTGCTTCTGCACTATTGGGCCATTAAATAAAAAGGCCTAATAAGTAAATATACGAGCCTTTAAAACAAGCCCATTCGGGAAAACTCGATGACGGTCCAATGCGTTTTAAAACCGGCCCTTTCAAACCCACTAAAGTGGAATAATAAGTGGTGTTCTTCGACCTAATCATGATTTTAGATTTAAGCAAAAAAATATAAAACAATAACTGGAATATACAGACAGTTTATATGTGAAGGAACAGATCAGTAGGAGCTGTGTGTGAGTAACAGAATTCAAGTGGCTTTCCTTTGCTTGCGGAAGTTAATGAAGTATAGATTACGACATAAAAATATTAATGTATATTCAGAAATAAATTACAGAGTGGTCCACTATATAATAACGTGTACGATCCAATCATGAATCATCCATCTCTTGCATTATTATTATTTTCTCTTCTTCTTTTTTTATATAGAAAGAAATATATATATCAATATCCCAATTGTGTTACCTCTATCTATAAACAAATCCAACAACAAATAAACATTTCTTCTTTCATAAAAATAAAAAATACTGTAATAATAATGCAAGTCCACTCCAATCATTTTCGATACAGACTCAGTCAAGCAGCCGAAGCAACCGGAAAGAAACGACCGTTAATAAATCTTCACCGTCCACTAACCCCCCTTCCTTGCTTGAGTACACAGTTGACTTTTTACTCCCAGACCGAGTCAACGTTAAGATATCGTCACTGAGACTTGATCAGCCGGTAAATTTAGGTCAAACCCACGGTGGCCACCGATCGCGATTTCTTCCGATGATCTCTCGTTATCCACATCGCTGATGTCACTACCAGTAGCGACGACTTCTACACTGTCGCTGCTACTGCCGTTACCGTTATTGCCACCGTCGTAGTGACACCGTTTGTGTCCACCTAAGGCTTGACCAGATGAGAACGACTTGAAACAGATTGAACAAGTATGTATCTTTCCACTTATTTGACCAACACCCACGTTACTAGTATTAACGGTAACGTTGATAACGACGGAACCGGCGTTACTGTTACTGTGACCGTTATGAGACAGTTCTTGCTTACCGGAAGTGATTGTAGTGTTGTTATTCGTGGGTTTCCGGTGACTCGTCTTGTGTCCTCCTAAGGCTTGATAAGACGAAAACGACTTCCCACAAACACTACACTTGTAATCTCGGTGATCGGACGGTGAAGGACGTGACGACTGAGGAAGAGATTGTACGGCGGAGCCACGAGCGAGCATGAGGAGACAAAGAGCGAGATACTCTTCTTCCGAAGCAAGTTTTGTATCCGTTTCTTGATTCTGATGGTGATCAAAACGTTGGCGTTTTGTGCGTTTTCTTTTGGCCCATTGCTCGAGATTCTCCGGCTCCATTTCTTCGCGATACCGGATAAAAGGCCGAGCGGTGGTGGTGGTGGTGGCTGTAGGAGAATTGAGAGTCTCGAGAGCCATATGTGGCTTTTAATTTTTGGAGGTATTTAAGAAGAAAGAAGAGTGAAGTGTGTGGTGTATTGTGAGCACGTCTTTGTGTTTGTGTTGTGTGTGTTTGAGTGTTAGTTTTGTTTTTTATATATATAATAGGAGTACAAATCTTTAGGATTGGGATTTGAGAGTGGGAACGTGGGCTATGAGTGATCAAGTGGTGCTGCTCTTGCTTTCTTCAATCCATTAAATTCCTTTATTTTAACATAAAAGATGTAATATGTTGTCATTAATTTTGGAATAGTAGACGAATAATTTACCAAGTCAATGCAGTGTTGTTTATAGTTAGAAACTGCCAGAATTATGTATCTTAATTCCGTTTATGTTGAATTGTAAAACATTACTGCTCCTCAAGAATCAAGATACAGAATTGTGTAAATAAACACACTTTCGAGTTTATCCACTTAAGCTAACTTGTCATCACTAGAAACTTTCTATCGATCCTATAACTTTTTTCGGGGGGATCTCAACTTTCATTTTCATGCTGGTTCAGTGTTCTATTTTAGCCACTTGCATTATCTTAAATTTCCTATAAAGTCTCAACTATAACATACTTTTCGCCGTAGTGACCCAAACTTATTCAATAATGCAAAAGGAATAACGTCGATTAGGGATGTAAAGATTAAAATTAGAAAGACTAATTGTTCATGAAATGGACTACTGCCCTATCTTCGGAGGAGTTGTATTAACAATAAAATAAAGAAAAAGAAGAAGCTTTTGCCACTCTGGAGTATCATCTTTTATTTTCGGTTGGTGATATGTGGTGGTGGCGTTGGGGATACTACTTACGTGGCAGTTTCACATTGGCTAAAAGAAGGCTGGATTATTCTGGTTGACCACGTGGCGTAACAAGAATGGCGAAACTTTTCGGTGGATAGTTAAAGTCGGTACGAGACTTAAGCCTCAGGCTAACATGACGGTGACACTTCGTTGCACCACCGTCAACACTGTCACATACACTATCTAAATGTTTGATTATCTTCGATTTTTGCTGGCTCTTTTTTTTTTTTTTAAACAATAATAGCACACTTGATTTTTCTCGTAAGAATGAATGTACGTGAGTTTGTGTGTGTAAAGACTTGCCCACTAGTCAGCATAACAATTGGGAGGTCGTTGACGGAGGAGATAAAAAAAAGAAAAGAAAGAAGAAAGTGGAGTAAGTCTTGGTCTTCGAGTTTGTTGTTGCATTATGATGAAGTGGGTCGTCTCGTCGTTACTCATAACAAGTTTTGTCTACTTAGTCAATTCAACTTCCCAAAACAACGCTTCAATCTTAAAAGCTGTCGCTATACAGAATAATATTGAGGACATGTTCTACGCGTATTTTAAGTTGATTCAAGAAACAGTGTTTAAAAAGAAAAAAAGAAAAAATCAATCAATGATCAAAATGTTTAATAGACCACGATGACAAAAGAACAAACTGATTACTTAAGGTATAGATAGCGTTTCAGTTGAACTACATCAACAATATCAGAGTGGCGCAGCGGAAGCGTGGTGGGCCCATAACCCACAGGTCCCAGGATCGAAACCTGGCTCTGATATTACCTTTTTGATTATTTTTTTCCTCGTCTAACAAAGTCCATTAACAGTAATAACTGGGCCGAATAACGGCTTAAAGTATCAATAATTAATAGTAACAAAGCCCTTTAACAATAACAGCTTGATGAACCCTAAATAATGGTTAACAGAGTCTAGTAACGATGTTTAAATTAACAAAACTAGAGAGATCACTAGAAATTAAAATTATTATTCTTCTTCTTGGTTCCGTGGTTTCACAGTCCAGCCCTTCCATGGCTGACAAATCTCAACTTAGAATAAACCGGCAATGCTGATAACCTGCGAGAATACAAAATCAAAATCCGATGAAATTTACAATATCTTTCTCTATCGAATCTGAAAAAGGTACATTTTATTTGTACACTTACTTGGGTCAGTTGTGATAAGCATGGCGGTTCCACCGAAAGAGCAAGTGCCTCCGTTTCGTTTAGTCTTTTGCCAGTAACTGTTGAAAGCGTAAGATGCATGAGCCATGACTGTGTCTGGATAGTAACATATCCCGTGGGGTTTGATCTCATCGCAATTGGCTCCTCCTTGTCCACACGCAAAGTCCAAAGACTGTTGCAATGTCTCTGCCGCTACGCTCGGTTTCGCCACGCACCATAGCCCTTCCACGTCTTTCTTCTTCACCGGAGATGGAGACGGCGCCCAGTGAGAAGGAAGGCATGGCGGAAGAGAAGCCCCTTGATACGGTTGGGGCGGAAATTGGGGAGGAGGAGAGGAAACCGGAGATTGCTCCGGCGGATATTGTGGAGATTCAGGGAAATAGGGCACTGTTGGTGGAGACGAAGATCCGATTGAGGAGTGAATTGGTGAGTTTTCTGGTGATGGAGAGGGTAATGTTGGGAAAGAGACTGTGAATTTGTTGCTAATGCTGATTAAAGATCTCAGATTTCTTCTTGTAGTTGCTTCTTCTGGTTCAGGGTTTAAGAAATTGACTTTGTTGAAGCTCAAAGATCCGAACTTTTCCACGGAATGAAGCAAATCTAGATGGTTCTCAGGTGAAGAAAGGAAACTTTGAGGTGGGTTTATGGTGAAAGTGGAGTTTATGGTTTTGAGGAAGATGAGAACGGGCTTGAACATTTCTGAGCTTTTCGGGTTGTTTAAGCACTGGTAAGGGAAGCCAGAGGATACTTTGATGTCCTTCTCAAGACCCCATCTTTTGAGAGAGTGGTAAATGTTTTTCAAAGAAGATAGAGCTAGATCGAAGCTGGGTTTGTGCTGTGTGGTTTGGCAAGTATAAGGGAAAAAAACAACAATGGTGGTGATTTTGATGGAAGGGTAACGAGAGAGGACATGAGTTTTAAGCCAAGTTTCAGCTTTGATGATACTAGAGGAAATCTCGGTAATGGTTTTGTTGTCGCTCTCTGAAACAGCAAGATCAAGATCAGTAGCCTGAGGAAATTGAAGGAATTTGTGATGCAGATTTAGAGCTTCGATCTGTGTGGATTCTTGACCAGCTTCTGCAATACAGAGATCATAGCTATGAGTTTATCATAAGAAATTAAGAATAAACAAAAGCTTCAGCGTTTATGTTTGTGGTTTTGTTACCTGCAAAACCGAGAAAGGCAATGAAGAAGAAAATGTAAAGAAGATGTCTCATGTTTGCCTTTGGCACAGTTTTTCCTTCTTTTTTCTTTACTTGTGTTTTTGGTTTCTTTCTCAGCACATGAGAATTGAGAAGTTTATAGAAGATGTGGGTTTCAAGTGTCCAGAGGAAGAATCAAAATAAGGTCTTTTTTTACTTTTAAGGAAAAAGAGAGATTAATGTCACACAGTGGACTGTTGTATAGTTCTTGCTGCTTACTATAAAGTGGTGTGTATCAAACACTGACATGAAAATAATGGCCGTTGAATACGATGAACTGTTCTGTTTTAAGAAATCGTACATTGCGACACGTGTATATCTATAGTGGTAAACAGAGCACAACAAAAATTTGACTATTGCGTGTACACAAGATAAGCTTCAAATAGAGCTGCTTTAACATACATTATAATATATGGTTTCAGTTTAGCGAGTGTTGTAGTTTGATTTCGTGTAACAATGATTCGATTTGTTGAGATAAACTGATAAAGAATTGAAAGTGAAGCGTTGGTTGTATATCAGAAAACGTTGTCGTTTTGTTAAATATATAGAAGAGGGAATTTCACGGCAGGCACAAACATCGTGGGCCATCGGTGACATTGTGCCAAAAGTAAGCATTTTGAATCTTTGATGCACTTTTTTATAGCTACCTTAAGACGACACCGTATTGTCAGCAGCCTTTAAGGTGGTTGCATTTAGAAGTAATGGGCTTTAGTCAGGGCCTTTCTTAAAGCTATAAGTATGGGCCTAATCAGAGCTCTAGCTCTTTGCTTCTGTGTCCAAGTTTCAGCCCATTTATAGTTTTCTTATAACTATTTTAATAAAGAGAAAATTATACTTTGTGCCATGTACAGTAGTAAAACTTCTTAACATTGCCATTTTTTTTAGTGTCTTCTCCCGCCTGCCATAGAAATTGATTAAAAAGACTTTTTTGTCCTTATGCAAATGAAGTCTAGTTTGCTTATTAATAAAACATATTTTTTTTCCCTGGTGGATGTTGACTGTTGCTACTTCTCTCTCTCTCCTCTGTCTTTTTTCTTCTTCTTTCCTTTTCTTCTTTCTTTCTCCATTAACAAACTTAGGGATTTCAGTTTTCACATGGGTTTACTTTATCATAAAGATATCAATCAGCTATGCTGATGATTCCTAGAGGTTGTATGCTGCATTTCTAATGAATCAATTCAATGGACCAGATCCGATAAACTTTATCCCGATGGACCATTTCCAGTGAACTAGTTCGTGAAATCTTTTTTACCAGTTTTTCTCCTACAAAGGGGTATCAATCAGCCTTACAAATGTTCCCTAGAAATGGTGTTTTTTCCCGACGGACCAATTCTGGTAGACCAGATCTGGTGGACGATATCCAATGAATCAATACTAATGGACCAAACTTGTATTTTTACTAAGTAATCGTGTCCATCACGCGTATCTTCTGAAGTCATAAGCGATCGACCATATAATGAAACAAGTGATGCGTCTATAGAAGATATCATATACAATCCATCTAGGTTTACATTTTGGATTATACAATTGTCGGTAGATGGACCAGATTCTCGTGGACTAGATCTGGTGGACAAGATTATATGGACTAGATCCAGTGGACCAGATCCGATGTCGTCAACCGGATGTCCATATTTTCTTTTCACTCATCTTTTTGTGTTTGTCCTTCAACCTTGATGGACTACAAATCTTACTAATGACATGTCAGAGGACAAGCGTCGGAGTTGTCTCTTGGAATCTGTCAAAGTGAGTTATCGATGGACTAGATCTACTTTGTATATTTTGTCTATCATATATTACTTACTCGTCCGCTGTTATTAATATGTATGTTACATTACCCACAAGATATTAGGCTACATCTCAGCAATTAAAGGCTACTGCTGCCAACAGAAAAAACAGAGTTTCACTCTCCAATGTCTAGGGGCAAAATCGTCCAAGTTTTATATTTTGTGGCATGTTTTGAAAGAGATTTTTGTTAATGGCAGTTTTACAAATTTGAGTTTCATAAATGGCATACTTAACAAAATTCCCTTTAATAAATCACAAGCTGATTCCCCATATCGAGTTATTTAATTTAAAAGGCTGATACATATTATTAAGTGAAGATAGTCAGAGTGGTGTGGGATTCTAAAATTGCTTTGAACGTTTTGAATAATCCTGTCATAATCATTATGACAACACTAGGAAGGAGATTTGTCGAGTAGCTTTATCATGATTACCACCTCAAATTAATAATTTAATCAACCAAAACAATAAACTAAACGAATAAAGAAGATGTCAGTGTATTAAAAGATCCGAGCATAGACCCATCCGACCCATGAACTTCTCGGATTTGTCGGTATCATTACATGCTTCTCTCTGCTAATAGTCTTATCAAACGTTAATTTTGCTTACCCAAATCAAGAAATTTTGCATTTGATATTGTGTTGTGGTCTCAATAGAAATGATCAAAGAGCGACAATAATGAATAAAGACAGAAAACAAAAAAAGACGAGTACAAAATGTGAAGAAGAATATTGTCTTATCTTGAACTTTAAGTATATAGCTATCAGCTAATAACACAAGCGTCGGAGGATTGATTTTATGTTTACGTGGAAGAGAAGAAAAGTTTGTTTTTTTGAATCATCTCCACGAATATATCCTCTTTAATTTTGCCAAGAGGAATATTTGTTTCTTCATATTAACACAAATGCACATGCCATATTTCTACCAAAAAGATATAAACTTATTTGCAAGAAAATAAGAAATGAAAACTACTATTTTAGATTGAACTTATTGATTTTGTATAGTCACTAACGTTTCTGCGTTATTTGTAAGTAGAAAAAGATAAGAGATTAAGGGCAGAATTGTAATCGTGAGTAAAAAGAAAATGGGCATCAGCAAGTGAAAATGGAAAAAAGTAGAAAAAGATACTAAAAGAAAATGGAAAAGTTATTTATAAACAAAAATGAAAACTGAAAGAGAAGAAAAGCAAATAAATAAAGCAAAACGCAAGAGAGAGAGAGAGAGGGCGTGTGCTTGACCCCTCTGTTATAACTTATACGTTTGTTGTCAAATTAAACATAACCATATATTAACATCACCATTACCATTGTCATCACCATTAGCATTGGCATACCATTACCAAAAATAAACATAAACAACAGAACGAGAGTCGGTGGAACTATAAATCATTGATTTCTTTTTTTTATTACCTTAAAAAATGAAACTTAAGAAAATTGAAAGAATAAAAAGAAGGAAAAAATATTTAAAATAAAAGATAGGGATGTAAGACCAACATTAATGGTAGTATTTAAGGGGTATCTTAGGAGAAAATACCTTTCACAAAGTATGTTGCACAAGATACTTTGTGAAGGGTATCTTCTTTTAAGATACGCATTAAATACTACCATTAATGTTGCCCTAACGTTTAAGCCCGTTGTTGTATCACTTTATTCCAAAATTACATGTATGGGTCTTCTTCTTCTTCTTTCTTCCCCCCCTTTTTTTTTTCTCCAATTCACTATCAAAATTTTATTTTGCCTAACTAATAGATTCGCTATAAACTTGATTTATACGTATTACCATATTTCATGTTAGAAGAAGAATAGTTTAGTAAACATTTTTAAAAGCAGTAGAATGGAGACTTTCTTATAATACTAAAATAATAATATATACTACTATTAATTTTGTGACATAGCTAAAAAACAACCGACACTTTTACAATTTTTTTTTTTTGTTTCAACTCTGAGATTTATATTTTCTTTTGTTTAGCAATTAGAAAAAGAGAAACTTTAATAAGAGTCTTGTGTAAACTAGGAGAATTGTTAGCCCCCCATATATTAAGTGATCTACGGTGTGGAACTGGACCACCGAACCAAGTATTTGGCTTTCCGTTAACAGAATCAGCCGGACTCATATTCTGTAACCCGGTTTTAAACAGTAATTAGTATATTTTGTAAATAAAAGTTTTTAGCTACAAGTGTAAAAAAAAAAGGGGGAAAGATACACTAGAATCGAAAAGTCGATGATGGAGGTATGTTGCGTGTCCTTTTTCCTGCGTCCTCGTCGTCTTTGAAATCAACCGATAACAAAAAAAAAAAAAAAATCGGAAAATTTTAACGTCGGACGGAAAAGTACAGTCACATTCTCTGTTAATTAATACGTACTCAGGGACATTCACGTCTTTAATCAGCAAAAGCCATACACACGTGGCGATATTTCCCAAATTGTAATTGTGTTTGATTAGTAGGATTTTTTTTTAAAATTATGTAAAGCAACAAGACGGTCCATAATTTTAATTGCGACGTTGAATTTTTTATGCATAATCTTAAATAGTCAAATTAATTTCAGTGAAACGTTACGCTGTCTATTTCTTCTTCGCGTTATTTAAATGTCGTCTTTGTTTTACTTCCCTAACTAGTAATCCTATATTTGTTGTCCAAAACATATGTTTGTCGCACACGAATAGTACAAATACATTTTGTTACACACACACACACACTATTATTTACCACTATTTTTTAACACGTACGGTACGATTATGGTAATCACTTATTTAACGAATGAATCAAATGAGATTAAACGATCCCGGAAAGAAATGCTGACGTCAGTTATCATAAATCTCAGATCTCGAAACGAAACGAACTTTCGTTTCCTCTCTCTGCTCTGCTATTACTTTCCCTTTTTCACCTTTTTTTCTCTTTTCTTTCCTTTTTCTTTTTTTATTATTATTTTTTTCCATTAATTTCTTAATTTTTCTTTCCTGTGAAGATTACGATCTGACGAACAAGGCAAACTCACAAAACAAAATTAAAAATATAATAAAAGTTTCAGTGAGGAGCGAACAAAACAAAAAAAAAAAAAAAAAAGCAGACACAGAGAAGATAGAGAAGGAAGAAGATGAATTTAGAGAGAGACGAGGATAATTGTAAAACTGTTAATCACGTTTCGCCATGAGAGCTCTTCTATCCTTTTTTTTCTTCTTCTTCTTCTTCTTCTTCTTCTCTTTTTCTGCTGGTGGCGTGAACTTGAATCGATTCAGTGGTGAAGAATTTCATCGGAGAATTCTTCACCAACCGCTTTTTCCAGAAGCTTCTACTCCTCCGCCACCAGATTTCGAATCGACGCCGTCTCCTCCCGTCACTCCTGGAACTCCCGATCAGCCATTTTTCCCGGAGAATCCATCTACGCCTGAGCAAACTCAGTTCCCTCCTCCGCCACCTCCTGTTTCCGCCGACGTCAATGGCGGATTGCCGATTCCAACCGCTACTACTCAATCTGCCAAGCCTGGCAAAAAAGTTGCAATCGTCATTTCTGTTGGAATTGTCACGCTCGGTATGCTTTCTGCTTTAGCTTTCTTCTTGTATCGCCACAAAGCCAAGCACGCCAGCGATACTCAGAAGCTCGTTTCCGGAGGTGGCGATGCCTCCGCTTCTCGCAGATTTCAGGAAGATCCGGGGCCACCGACCACGACGTCCTCTACATTTCTCTATATGGGAACCGTTGAACCCAGCCGTGAATCGGCCAGTGAGTCTAACGGTGGAACTAATGGACCGGTTAATTCCTCTCCCTACCGGAAATTGAATTCGGCTAAGAGATCGGAACGGTATAGGCCGAGTCCGGAGCTTCAACCGCTTCCTCCGTTAGCTAAACCGCCGCAACCGTCTGATAACTCTCCCTCTGCTTTATCTCCTTCTTCATCGTCTTCCGGTGAAGAATGCCGTGATACGGCGTTTTACACGCCACACGGATCTACAATGAGCAGCGATGACGGTTATTACACGGCGTTTCCTCGCTCCGTCAACAGCAATGGTGGATCACTTCCTCACTCCAAGAGAACTTCCCCGAGGTCTAAATTTGGATCAGCTCCTGCGACGGCAGCATCTAGGTCGCCTGAGATGAAACACGTCATCATCCCGTCGATAAAGCAAAAACTCCCGCCGCCAGTACAACCTCTACCTCTCAGGAGCTTGGAAAATGATGAACAAGAGTTTCCTTATTCACAGAACAAGCCGATATTCTCACAGCCTCCTCCGCCACCTAATAGGGCGGCGTTTCAGGCTATTACCCAAGATAATTCTCCTCTCAGCTCACGAGTTCCTCCACCACGGCGGTCTCCTCCTCCTCCTCTCCACGCTCCACCGCCACCTCCACCCCCTCCGCCTGCTCCTCCGCGTTTTACTCCTCCTCCTCCTCCTCAGAAACGGCCCAGAGATTTCCCGATACCACGAAAACTCACCAATTCTGAAGCAACAACGAATTCCACACCGTCTCCTTCGAGAACACAAGCATTCAAGACTCCAAGTCCTAATTCCAAGGCTGTAAAAGAGGTCAATGCCATATCTACGGGTTCTCTTGAGAAAACAGGAGACGGAGACACAGACCCAAGCAAGCCAAAGTTAAAACCACTCCACTGGGACAAAGTACGAGCCAGCTCAGATCGAGCCACTGTTTGGGACCAACTCAAGTCAAGCTCATTCCAGTGGGTTTCATTATTTACTATATTGTTTGGCCACATTCATTTGAGTTTTGACTAACTTTGAGATCTTATGATGCGATACAGATTGAACGAGGATAGGATGGAACATCTTTTTGGTTGCAATTCGGGAAGTTCAGTACCAAAGGAACCTCTGAGAAGGTCAGTGATGCCTCCAGCTGAGAATGAGAACAGAGTACTGGATCCAAAGAAATCGCAGAACATTGCAATTCTCTTAAGAGCACTTAATGTAACACGTGAAGAGGTGTCCGAAGCTCTTACGGATGGTAAGTAATGATCTCCAGTTTGATTTATTCTTAGGGTTGGTTCCATTTGCATAAAGCAAACTGGTATTTTCCTAGATCATGATAAGTTAGTAAACTATCTACTGTTAGGTTCCTCTGTTCGGCACATAACCAGTTTTTGAGTATTGATGCCTTGATGGGCTAATTGAGCTTTTTTCTTATAGTAGGAATAATAATAAGGATCTAATCTCATCAGAGGTAACAATGGTGAAAATCTGAATTATACTAAAAGGCTTAGGCCACAAGTCATAATCATTGCAAAGAGCAATGACATATGAAATGATTATCTCTGCTTTATATTGCTTCTAATATGATTGTTCAACTTATGAAACATACCACATGTAAAGGAGAAAAAGAGCCATCCTATAAAACATGATGTAGCTAACATTCATTAAGAACACATTTGATTTTATTACGTTATTGGTTTAAGATGCATGCATTTGTGGTCCCTATTATTATTATATTTTAATTATAAATGTGGCATTGTACGTGTAACTAGGTAATCCCGAGAGCTTAGGTGCTGAGCTTCTAGAGACTTTGGTGAAGATGGCTCCAACAAAGGAGGAAGAAATAAAACTGCGAGAATACTCTGGTGATGTCTCGAAACTAGGAACAGCTGAAAGATTCCTCAAAACCATTCTTGATATCCCTTTTGCATTCAAAAGAGTTGAAGCAATGTTGTATAGAGCCAACTTTGATGCAGAAGTCAAGTATCTAAGGAACTCTTTCCAGACATTAGAGGTTAGTTATTCTTAAAGACCACTCTTAATGATCTAATTGCTCAAACGATTTTTCCTAGTTCTGATCCCTTGGTTGCTTTGTAGGAAGCAAGCTTAGAGCTAAAAGCAAGCAGACTATTCCTAAAGCTCCTCGAGGCTGTTCTAATGACTGGAAACCGAATGAACGTTGGCACTAATCGCGGAGATGCCAAAGCTTTTAAACTCGATACACTTCTTAAACTTGTAGACATCAAAGGAGTTGATGGCAAAACCACTTTGCTTCATTTTGTCGTCCAAGAAATCACAAGATCGGAGGGAACAACAACAACAACAAAAGACGAAACCAACCTCCATGGAAACAATGACGATTTCAGAAAGCAAGGATTACAAGTAGTTGCTGGACTCAGTAGAGATCTGGTTAATGTGAAAAAGTCAGCGGGAATGGATTTCGATGTTCTGAGCAGTTACGTGGCAAAGCTCGAAATGGGTCTTGATAAACTGAGATCATTTATCAAGACAGAGACAACTAAAGGGAAGTTCTTTGATTCGATGAAAACGTTTTTGAAAGAAGCAGAAGAAGAGATTCGAAAAATCAAAGGAGGAGAAAGAAAAGCTTTGTCAATGGTCAAAGAAGTAACAGAGTATTTCCATGGAAATGCTGCAAAAGAAGAAGCACATCCTTTGAGAATCTTCATGGTCGTGAGAGATTTTCTCGGAGTTCTAGACAACGTTTGTAAAGAAGTGAAGACAATGCAAGAAATGTCGACGTCCATGGGCTCAGCTTCAGCTAGGTCATTCAGGATTTCAGCAACAGCTTCGTTACCGGTTCTTCATAGGTATAAAGCAAGACAAGACGACGACACAAGCTCAGATGATGAACACAGCAGCAACTCTTCCACGTGATGATGAAACAAAACGCTGTACAGTTTCTTACACCAAGACAAAGAAGAATTAAATTGGTGTTTTCTCAAACCGGGAAGAGATATAAGACGTTGAGTTGGTTTAGTCGGAGAACATGGACCGGTTAGAGAGTAACAAACACTATATAGTGATCAAATTTTCGTAACAAATAAGGAACCCTTTTTTTCTTAGTTTTAAATTTTTATTTTTGTCGGCAATTTAAATATAGATAGAGATATATGAATATATCGTAATTTCTTAACTTTCAACCAAAGTCTTTGGTTAAGTTTTTGTTTCTTTGACCTTTATAAGTTTAATTATCAATACAGTTTATACAAAGATCAACTTCTTCACAAGAAGCGATGATGTTACACTAGTTGGAAATACTAAATACGAAATCGTGTATGTTTTTTTTTTGTTTGGTTCAGAAAGAGGAATCTGAATCCAATACGAAAGTGATAATGAAAGTGATTTAAAGGAGAATATATATACAAGGTCTAAAATACGATATTGGGGGTGTGACAATGAATGTTCCCAAGATTACTTATTAAATGAAATAGAAACATGTGATGTGAGTGAGACCGATTTTGTGTACACTTGTACCACGTCCTCTCTCTTTCTTTTCTTGTCTTGTTCTGCATCACTTTTTCCCACCACGATCTTTTCGTTTCTCTTTTCCATTTTTGGAGTTATTATAAATAACAAAGCAAGTTGGGTCCTCTATAAACTTTGGTAGATTCGTGATTCTTCTTCTCTTGTTCCGTATGATGCCCCCAGCTTATTGCCACAGAGTAATTAAACCCATCCTTAAACCGGATTTGATTTACCAATTTGTCAGAGTTGTTGCTCCTTTCTTTGCTGACAAAGTCTGTGTTTTTATTTCATCCGTTCGAATTTAATATGGTACACTTGTGTTTTTAAGGGTAGGAGGGGATCACAAGAAACACTTAAAACTCGCCTTCTTGAGATTTTCGAAAAATGGCGAAATCTTGAGTTGAGAGGATTTTAACAGCTGGTCACCGGTAAAAAGTAAGGAGATCCTCCGATTTTCTTACTCCCCAATACGTTCTTCACCAGAAGTTTCCATCTTGTTTCATCTTTCTTGCTCTGTTTCTCCATCTTTTCTTTTAAGTTTCTGTTTCCAAAAAAACCCACACAAATCAGCGACCAAGACTCAAATGCTCTTCTGAATAGTACACTAATTAGGTAGTAGGTTTATACCTGCACAGAGGGACTCGACATTGATCAGAATCTGCGCAGACACGTGAATGCAATTCAAGGAGTTGCCACATTCTCTTGCAATGTACGCAACCTCCTGGAACTCTGAGCTTACAACCTGCAAAATGCCGGATCAATGATTCTAATCCCTTGCAAGCTTCATAATTACACTCTGCGTGGTTCGGCTTGAAATCCTTATCGTGTGGTCCTATTGTTTTACATCCATCTCTGCATATATGAACAAGAGCTTCCATTGCTTCGTATAGCTGCGAATATATCCGCTGATCATTTCGTTTCCTGATCCTCTCTTTCCGCATCTGCGTTTATATTTACACATATTCAACATTCAGAATTTTGTTGGATATTTATATAGGGGGAGAAAGGTTTGTTGAACAGAACTACTTACATTTTCTTCGAGAATCACTGAGTCACTAACTTCTTTCTCAAGAAACGGATGGCTTTTCTTCATAGCTGTCCATGCTTCTGTCGCAGAAAGCTCCTTAAAGTGTTTCATGATCATACGGTGAGATATGACGCTCAGCCGAGGAAAATCACACAGCAACGCAAGCTGGAACACATCAATCACGTTCTCAGTATTAAGCAAACCATGTTCTAGATGCCATTCACAGAGCCGTTTCAGCTGAGGAACCACATACGCATGCGATAGAAGTAGCAAATGCATGATAAACTCATTCATTTCTTCTTTCTCATAGCTACACCAAGTAATTAAAGTTTCATCAGTACTAAGATAAGACAAATGTTAAAAAGAGGGAGAGCAAATAAGTATAGAGGCAATGAATTATACCAGGAAGAGTAGAGGAAACGGATGAAAACTCGAACAGCATCATGAGGGACACCACGGATTGAGATTGTATGCCACTTGCCATGTCTTTTGGCTTGCTTCAACATGCCTTTGATCACAGTGGACGCATTTCCCTGTTATTGCAACAACCATGTCAAAAACAAAATATCAATACAAGCCAAGTATAGAGATTTATAGGATTAGCAACAATCTCAAATCCAACCGCCAGACTCTGCCTTCGCCAAGATAAAAACACATTATTGATCAAGAGTTTCCATAGAAGTTTAAAGGAGAGCTTACAATTATGTTGGCATGAGCATAGATGACGTAACCACTATCTGTGTATATCACTACATCAGCTTTGTATCCATCGATGAAAAGACGATCCCACATATCTCTTGTAGCTGTGGAAACGCAGCCATTCCCGAGTCCTGGTGCAGCATCCATACCATGTCTTCTCTGGTATCCATTAGATTTTGATGGAAGAGGTGGAGGAATTGGAACAGAAGAATCTAGAGATTTGAAAGATTGATCAAGATCAACACAACCAGTCACCATTCTCTCTTTTTTTTTTTTTGCCTATCTTGTCTATCCTGCATCAAGTAAAACGAAATATTTCTCCATTGTTAATGATTCGTAAATATTTACTCAAAAGTTAAGACAGATCTTGCTTTCACTCCAAACATGCAAAAACATGAAATCCAAAACCAATCCTTTGATTCGTTTATACGAAAAATGTGATTCAGGAACAAATTTCATATCTCTCATCATTTGCGTTTAGGAATCGGACAGAACATGAACAAATCTCTACACATTTTTTCCATGAATCCATGTAATTTGTTCCTCACAAATATAAAATCCAAATCGAGAGAAAATGTAAGAAACATGATCAAATCGAACATACCTTTACAAAGTTTTAGAAATCTCAATTCCTCAGAACCAGCGGTTTAGCTTCCTTGAAGAGCGAATCTAACGAAATGAGCTCAATTACGAGAAAAGCCTATCCTCCTTCTTCAAAAGAGCAGGAGAAGAAACTCTGATGAGAGAAGCTTCGTCAGAGAGATCTCATTATATAAACACACACACTCTCTCACAAAACCAACAACAATAGAAGACGACAAATCTTTTCGAGAAAAAAGGATATTTATTATTTTAATTTACTTATTTACTTTTTTGCGTTCAATAATTTAAAGATATTTTCTTCTTTATTCATATCATCGTTCACGGCAGCAAGACAAAGACAACCACCTGCGGGGAATTACGGAGAGGCGCGTGGAGCCTACGGTTACGAAACGGACGGCTGAGAATCCACGCGCCTTACCGGCTTCTTGTCTTCCTTGTGAGAAAGCGTCGTCAAGTGGTGGTGGTCGTCTTATTATCGCTTTATCAATTGAAACACGACTCTGCATGTTTTTTTTTCTTTTCTTAAAATAAATTTAAATTTTTTTTTTTATATTTAATTTAAGAGCCGTACAAAAACAGATCGGTTTGTTTGTCGTCCTTTATTTTTTGTTCTTGTTCGGCGTTTCACACAACTCATTTTTAGCTGTTCGTTTTTTAATTTATTTTATCCAGTATTTATTACTAGTATTATCCTCTCTTGTTAGAAAACAAGATAAATTTAGATTAGTCTTAATTTTTGTGAACCAAAAAAGGAAAAAGAAGAAGATTAGTCTTAATTTAAATCATAAGATTTTTCTCCGCTAATTAAAGGGTTTTAAGTACAAAAACTATACTCTTCCAAATGTTTAATTAATCTGTGGTCCGGAGTAGATATTATTTCTCATGAATTGATTGTTTCCCATTTTTTTTGTGTGTTTCGTTGTAATGACACGTTCCTTTCTTCTATCCATGGTTATCATCTTTCCTGCTATACACACATGACACATATATATTTTAATGGATTTTTAGTCTTTGATCGGAGTATGACAAAACGAGAGATTTGGCTAACAGTTTAAGTTATTAGCACTATCTAATCATATAGTTAATGTTGTATAAAGCTTCTAGAAACTCAGTGTGCCGACAAACAATAAAAATAAAAATCTCAGTGTATAATTTCGAATCAAAGCCAGAACTAGCTAGAGAATAGAGACGATAACAAAACTTCATAACTATAGAGTTTTATTGAGACTTTACGTATTCAAATAAACCCAAGCAAGGCAGGCATGAAGCACATAACGATTTGAACCTTCTACTAAAGTTTTCTTCAATGTTCTCCTTTATTTGCAAATACATAACATTATATCAAAACGAATTTAATTCCAATTTGCCCAGAAATTGAAAAGACAAAAACAACCTACAGTTTTTTTTGTAAGAATCGTCTCAGAAATCCGAGCATCGACCACGTTGTTCCCAATCGCCGTACCGAGTCGGTTCAGGACCTCTAGGTCCTCCGATCTCACCAGTATCTTCGTTCACAAACTCTCCGCCTCCTCCTTCTTCTTCCTCTTCTTCTTCTTCTTTCTGCATCTGCTGTTTCTCTTGAAGTTTCTGATCTGGCTTCACGTTATCCTGATTCGGAGATGGAGCCTGCGGCGGAGGAGTAGTACCAGAGCTCAAAAACCGTGACACTGGCTCCAGGAATCTAGAGGAGACGGATCCGCTTGGTGCGATCAAACGAACGATTTTGTTCGTCGCCATTGTTAGATGTGTTAATCAGATCCCCAACCATCTGTGATAGTGTATAGGATTCGACAATCATATTTTCTGGGCCATAATTTGATAACAGGCCCAATAAGCTCTAGGCCCAACAGTAAGTGGTTTGTCACTAAAGAATGTGACAGGCTGTTAATATAGTAAACGATTTCACTATTTATTTTGTCCACCACGGAATAACAAAAATAAATAAAAAGCCAAGACGTATTTTTCTATCTTCACCGCTTCTCCTCCAAATCGTCGCCGATCTCTCTACATCTCCGATCAACCATGAGCAAAGGTCCAGGACTATTCGCCGATATCGGCAAAAAAGCCAAAGGTAAAATCATCGTATCGCTCTCCTTCTATTATCCTTCTCTCGACGACGTTTCGATTCCCGTTAAAATCACGCAGTTATTGCGTGCATTGATTCCAAGTACTGGTGTTTCGAATTTATTTATCCTGTAAGCTAGAAAATATTTTCAAATTTTTATTCTGGTTTGGGTGATTATGTTGATTTTAAGCTGATTGCTTTTATGTTTCCCTTCTTGGTAGATCTGTTGACGAGAGACTACAATACCGATCAGAAATTCAGTATCTCCACTTACAGTGCTTCCGGCGTGGTACGTGTTACATTGATGCATCCCTTTCGTATTCTTAGGTTTTCGTTTGTTATCGGTTTTGGTTGGATTTCTTTTTGGTTTTGTTGTGTTGTTTTGCCTTTAGCAGCTCTTAGAGTATATGTTCTTGGGTCTGATCGATCTCATCCTTGTTAAAATCGATTTCATAAGTTCTGAATTAGATCTTGGGTTATTTGATCTAAGTGACAAGACTAGTTTAGGATGAAATTACTTGTGTGTAAGAAATAGATGTTTGAGAATGACTGAAATTGAGGTTAACATTGGTATAGTTTTCTGATTTCAGTCATTGTATAACTTTGCTGTAGAAATTATTTCTTGCAGAAGTTAGTTTTTGTGTGTGAGTGTGTCAATTGATAGCGTTTTTGTTGTTAGGAATGTTTTTGTTTTCAGATCCTAATAATCTAGGCAGCTTAACGCCATGTATAATTGCCACGAATGGAGAGCCTTATTTTATTGTCTGTGTTCTGCTGTTTAGGCCCTTACTTCTACTGCTCTGAAGAAGGGAGGAGTTCATGCTGCTGATGTTGCTACACAATACAAGTACAAGAATGCTTTGTTCGATGTCAAAATCGACACTGATTCTAGTGTGAGTGTAGTAGTTGAGACTTTGCAAACACCTTTCTTCTAAAACCATATAAATATCTGTTAAGCGTGTTTGTATGTATTTTGCTTGGCAGGTTTTGACAACAGTCACACTGACCGAGATCCTTCCATCTACAAAAGCCATTGCCTCCTTCAAAGTCCCTGATTACAATTCTGCCAAGGTTGTAAATCCTTTTAAAAAAAAATTATGAAATCACAGATGTTTACTTCTCAGTGGTTTGAAAATTAATCCTTCAACTTTTGAATTACATCAACAGCTCGAGGTCCAATACTTCCACGACCATGCAACAGTTACCGCTGCAGCAGCTTTGAAACAAAACCCGCTAATTGACATAACAGCTACTCTTGGTTCGCCAGTCATCTCATTTGGTGCTGAAGCTGGATATGACACAACCTCCAAAACCTTCACCAAGTACAATGCCGGGATCAGTGTGACAAAACCAGACGCTTGCCTTTCTGTGATATTGTAAGAACACAAAATCTTAAATCAAAACAATCACTAAGCTGTGTCTCGTGTGGGTCTGATCTGAGTTTTTTTTTTACTTTGCAGGGGAGACAAAGGAGATTCAGTCAAAGCATCTTACCTTCATCACTTGGATGAATTTAAGAGAACCGCAGCAGTTGGTGAGGTTTACAGGAAGTTCTCAACAAATGAAAACACGATAACAGTTGGTGGATTGTATGCGATTGATCATTCGACTACAGTGAAAGCTAAGCTCAACAACCATGGCACACTTGGTGCGCTTCTGCAGCACGAGGTCATGCCGAAATCACTAGTGACTGTTTCCAGTGAGATTGACACTAAGGCTTTAGAAAAGCATCCAAGGTTTGGTCTCTCTCTTGCCCTCAAACCTTGAGAACTCACACACATAAGAGCTGCTCGAGTCTCCGTACTCTCTTATTCTCTCATTGTTGATTTCTTCTACGGCTGGACCTGAGAGTTTGCGTTTATTTTTTCCCCTTGTTTCCGTTCAGTTTAATTGGAATAAATAGATCCGCAATGAAATTTGACGGATAATTCTTTTTCGGATATGTTCGGTTTTTGTCTTGACTTTTTTGTTTTGTTTAATTAAGCAGTGTTCTTGAATACTCACTGATTTTACCATTTCGTTTTTGTGTTTTTATATATATATATATAAAAACTAACACTACAGGCTACAGCTTGAAGTTAAAAACATGAACAAACAACACAAATTAAGTTACAACTAGACACCAATACAGTCAACCAGCCTATTATAGGCTGATATGCTCATTTACATAAACAATCATCGTTTACACTAAAGAGCTGCGTGATTGGTGCATCAGAGGGTGAACAGCCCATTTACCATTGAGGTTCCCCAAATCTTTGAGCCTACTTGTTAACACGGTTATAAGTTAAACCTTGACGAAATGAACTCTTCACAATCATCCATCTATGTCGATTACATATAAATGATTGAATTAAATGGATATCAGTAACGATTTAAATCTCAATCAAATGCTTCAATCACGATAGACAATCTCAATAAAAATAGATTTCCGAGTTCTGAATCATATCATCATCCTTGGAATCAAAAATTTCATATGAACTTAATAAAAATATAAAACTAATAAAAAAAGAACTCTTTAAATCTCAATCTACGTTCTCCATAACATCTCCCGCCGTAAACTTGGTTCCCTTCTCCTTATCGGCAGCGGCGCGTCCATTAGCCTTACGCTCCAAAAGAGATTTCCTATCCTTGTCCATACGGAGCTTAGTGATCATCACATTTGACGCATTGACGCCGACGTTGACCGTAGTTCCGTTGACTTTCTCCCTTGTGATTCTCTCGATGTGAATGACCCACTTGCGGCGATACACCTGCATCACCTTCCCTTCCCTTCCCTTGAACGTCCCACGAACAACTTGCACTTCGTCGTCTTTACGAATTGGCATCGATCTCACATTGTGCTTCTGACGGAGTTCTTTCGACAACGGCGAGCTCATCAGCACGCGCCTCACGCTTGAAGGAGCTGTGAAGTGAGCCTTCCTGTTCTTCCTGCGAGAAGAGGTCACACGAGGATTGTACTTCATCTTCCGCACAACTTGTGAAACAAAATGAAGAGATTAGGGTTTTTGTGTGTGGCTCAACAAGTGTAGCGACGTGTTAACTGAGTTTATATATCAGATATTGAAATTCTTTTAAACGCTGCCGTTTTATCGCAGAAGCGAGAATTAGGGTTTTTAAGGATTCTGGGTCTGATGGATTTGAGAAGTTGTATCTAGATGGGCTTTTAAACCATTTAAAAGGCCCAATATAACTCTTTTTTTTTTTTTCTTTTGTCGTCGCCCAATATAACCTTCTGAGCACCGTGTATCAAACTTGTTAAGTGTTGTTATTGTGTTTTGTGTTTTGTGTATATAATTTTATTTTAAGGTAAGCCTGTTGTCCATTTCTGAGTTCAACATTGTACTTAATTCTAAAAACCAAAAGCATTACAAAGAGTTTGTATTTGTTTAATGTTTTCTCATCAAGTGTGTTGGAGATTGGTATGGTATTCGTTTTTTTCCCCTGTGTATATAATAAAGTAAAGTTTATTGAGGTAATGGTTAGTGACTAATTTGAGGACAAGGAAATCATGGAAAATCCATGAAAGTTTAAATCAAATCCACACATTTGATAGAAAATACTTGTTTAATAATAGTATTAGGTTTGTCTCTAAATTATAAATTAATCAAGAAGGGGGTATTCGGTAATTGAATTTAGAAGAACTGAATGTAATAAAAAAAAAATAATAGAAGTTCAAATAAGAAAAGAATTCTATCTGATGACAAAAAAAACAAAAAAAGAATTCTATCTTAGTGAGAACATAAACTACTTTTTTTTTAGTTTTCTATTAAAATTATTTTCAAAGACATTATTATCAAAATCATCATAATATTGAATAATACTCACATTTAACAAAATTATAAAAATCAATCAATTAAATAATACTAGAATTGATAAAATACAAAATTAAATAACACTAGTTTTGTAGTATTGAATTATGAATTCTATCATATTGTACTAAATTTTCAAGTTCGATGACAACCCTTAAAATTCTGACAAATCACATTTGAGAAAACCTAAACAAATTGGATTAGCTGAATATATCCGACAAAGCCACCGATGCCGTCACGCTCTCAAAAATAAAATAGCTTAAAACTCGGGTCCATTCGTGGCTAACCACTCGGCTTCCACAAGCCAAATTAAACAAACCATTTTTATAGAACCGGTTCAAATTATTAATTTTTGATTCTATTTATAATTTAAAAAAAAAAAAAAAACATTCTGTGCCAATTTGATACAGAGAGTCACCGTTGAGGCTGTTCAATTGAATCGTTGAATCTCGCGGTGCCATTATATACGTTGCTTTTTGCATAAAATTATTTTACTTGTTCTTGAGATATGGATGCTGCGGCGGTGGCGAGATGTGTTGGAAGCTGCTATGTTTCGCCGGCGTTCGGAGATTCTGACCCGCTCCGGCGGTTTCTGAGATTATCGTTGTCTAGCTCCACAAATTTAGATCCCACCGGTGGTAAAAATTCGAAGTTTCGTGGGAAAAGTCACCGGAGACTGAGTTTCGTCCGTCCGATCATGGCGACAGATGAATCCTTTTCTAAGCTAACCTCTGATTGCGCCGGTATGAATCGTTTTCAAAGCGTTCCTACGATTCATTTTTTACGTTTGGTATCTAACTTTAGCTATATTTCATGTGCATCTTCTTCCTTCCTTCCTTGTGAACTTTGTTTTTTTTTTTTTTTTTTTTTTGGTGATTCCAAATGCTGAAAGCTTATCTTTTGCTTGCGTATTCAATGCAATCCACTTGTATCTCTGCTACATAATCTTCCTGAGATTTTTAAAAATGGGCTCTTTTCTTCAGATTTTGTGGAGTTTCCATAGTTTTAGGCTCTTGGCTTAAAAGATTGGATCTTTGTTAGATGAGCATATTCCATGATGATTGATGAGTAATCAAATACGTATGATCTGAATTATATCTAATCTCAGATAAACTAACTAGGTGAAACACAGAAAATCAACGGAAAGCAAAAGAACATCGTCTGGCATGATTGTCCTGTTACTAAATCCGACAGGCAAGAATTGATTAACCAAAAGGGATGTGTGATTTGGATTACTGGCTTAAGTGGTTCAGGTTTGCTTCTTGATCTGATCATTGGATCCTCTTTAACTACAGTTTGTGAGGTTTCTCTACTGGATCCCTTCAACTCTTTTCAGGGAAAAGTAGTCTGGCATGTACTCTTAGCCGAGCTTTGCACAATCGTGGAAAGCTTTCGTATATACTTGACGGTGACAATCTTCGACATGGTTTAAACAGCGATCTTACTTTCGAAGCGGAAGATCGAGCTGAAAACATTCGAAGAGTTGGTGAAGTGGCTAAACTATTTGCAGATGCTGGAGTAATCTGTATTGCAAGTTTGATATCTCCTTACAGGAGGGAACGAGCTGCTTGCCGTGCATTGTTACCACAAGGAGATTTCATTGAGGTTTATTGATGATATTCATGAATGTAAAATCCTGAGTCTAACATCTAAGATTTGACCAAGTGTATTGAAGTCTACCTCCCTATCTCTCTTTTGGTTTTCTCTTGATCAGGTATTCATGGATGTTCCACTCCATGTTTGTGAAGCTAGAGACCCGAAGGGATTGTACAAACGTGCACGCGCTGGGAAAATCAAAGGTTTAGCTCTTTCTCTAGCTTCTGTTCTCACCTCAACCAATTTTGAGTTGATTTTTTTTCTAAATATATAACCCATTTGATTATGTTTAGGTTTCACAGGAGTAGATGATCCGTATGAACCGCCTTTGGACTGCGAGGTTCATACATATCCTTTTGTCATTTGAGTTGGTATTCATTCTTAAATTTGAATATAATGTTGTTTTCTTCTCCTCCGGAAACATTGGCCTACTACGCTTTGCAGATTGTAATACAGAACAACCGAGACAAAGGTCTTTCTTCTTCATCTTCGTCTCTGTCTGAAATGGCAGAGATTGTTGTGTCGTATTTGGACGAAAATGGATACCTCAAGACGCCTTAGGATACTTGCACAAAATTACTCTAAGGAATACATAGTAATATATACATATATATACATTCCTTGTAATAGGCTCATGTATCAATCATTACCCCTGTTCATTTGTTTGTTTGAATGCAATTGTAAAAGGTGTGGTTTCTTCCCTCCCTGTCTTAGATTTTCTCAAGAATGTGTTGTAAAAGAGATTGTCAAGTTATTAGCATAATTTAATTATAAAAGAGATTTTTACTTCTGAAGAATGTTCTCCTTTCGATGTGGGAGACTTTTAACCCGGCTGACTGAGTTGACGATATCAATGGTTTGGGCCTACGAAACTAGGAAACCAGGCCTTTTAGATCCGGGTCGGATTCTATTAGGGCGGGTTCTTGCTCTACGGCGGCGACTGGTACTAACGTCTTGTATAATAAAACAACACGCGGTGGTGTGGGCGGTAGTCTCAGATCTCATATTACTTGGAAAAGTCGCAACGGTTAGAGTTCCAGCTAACTTGAGTCTAACTTGGAATCTATCAGCTCGTGTTGTTTCGATCCGAATTCAGATTGTTCGAGTTGTATTTGGGGAAATCAAAGTCGAAGAAGAAGAAGAAGTAAAACGATGGGGAAGAAACAGCACAGCAAAGATCGAATGTTCATAACGAAGACGGAGTGGGCGACAGAATGGGGAGGCGCTAAATCCAAAGAGAATCGTACTCCTTTCAAGAGTCTTCCTTTCTATTGCTGCGCGTATGTTGCTTTCAACCATTCACCACTCCAATATGACTTCGTTTGCACTTTGGATTCTCATTCTTTTTTGGTTTTTTCTGATTCAGGCTTACGTTTTTGCCATTCGAAGATCCTGTGTGTACAAGCGACGGGAGTGTTTTCGAGATAACGTGAGTAGTTTCCTAGTGATTCTGTTTCTATTGAACTTTTACTTAGGCATTGAAGCTTTACTTTTTCTTTACACCTTATTGATTTTGGGAATTGGGTTTTTGAAATTGCAGAACTATAGTGCCTTACATCAGGAAGTTTGGTAAACATCCAGTTACAGGAGCATCATTGAAAGGAGAAGATTTGATTCCTCTCATCTTTCACAAGAACTCTGAAGGTTTCTTCTTTCTCTCGCTTTGACTATTTATATGATTCGTTGTGATTTTCAATCCTTGAGATGGGCTGAAATATATCTCTGTGGCTGCCATTGTAGGAGAGTATCATTGTCCTGTTCTGAACAAAGTCTTCACTGAATTTACACATATAGTTGCTGTGAAGACTACCGGAAATGTGTTCTGCTACGAGGTTTGTGTTTTTCTTTTTGCGCTTTTTATTGTCATTTTGCCTGCTTTTCTTTTTTGGTTTCACTGATACTTAGTTGTCGCTATATAAATTTAGGCTATCAAAGAATTAAATATCAAAACCAAGAATTGGAAGGAGCTTTTAACAGAAGAACCATTCACAAGAGCCGACCTTATAACAATTCAGGTAACTGCTTCCTTGCTCTTTCCTTGATACTTTGCAATGTGTGTGGTAAAAGGGTATTTACTTTTCTTTGGCGATGTTTTGCAGAATCCTAATGCAGTTGACAGTAAAATAACAGTGGAGTTTGATCACGTTAAAAATGGCCTCAAGATCGATGATGAAGGTTTCATTTAGTTTTATATTTGATCAAGCAATATATCATAATCCATGTTTTTGTTTAAGTTGGTTATGACTCCATTCCCTCGTGTTTTTGACAGAATTGAAGAAGATGAACTCTGACCCAGCTTATAATATAAACGTGTCTGGAGATATCAAGCAGATGCTTGCGGATCTTGGAACTGAAAAAGCTAAAGAGATTGCTTTACATGGCGGAGGTGGAAACAAGGCACGTAATGAAAGAGCCGCTGCTATTGCTTCGATTCTAGAGTCGAGATCGAAAATCAAAGAGGATTCTAAAGCACAAGAACCAAAGCAGGTCTACAGTGTTGTGGATGCTGCATCTGCTTCAGTTTACGGAAGAAGTGCTGATGCAGCTAAAGCGGGTTCTAGTGATAAAACAGCAGCAAGAATAGCTATGCATATGGCTGGAGATAGAGCACCTGTTAATTCTAAAATGGTTAGTTTTTTGTACGGGTTAAAATCGGTTTAAAGTTTTGTGTGCGTTGTTAAAATGTTTGTTGTTTTTGTTGCAGGTGAAGAGCCGTTATTCGTCGGGTGCTGCTTCTCGTTCTTTCACTTCCACTGCATTTACTCCTGTGACCGAAAACGATTTTGAACTAATTAAAGTAGAGAAAAACCCGAAAAAGAAAGGGTATGTTCAGTTTCACACAACACATGGCGATTTGAACATTGAGCTCCATTGCGATATAGCTCCTAGAGCATGTGAGAATTTCATCACTCTCTGTGAACGTGGTTACTACAATGGAGTGTCCTTTCACAGAAGCATCAGGTATACATATATGCCTTGGAAATCTGTTTTTAGTTTTTTAAAGAGTTTTTATGATGTTATTACGATTAATATAAACATGACCTTTTGACCTTTCTTCTACACAGGAACTTCATGATTCAAGGTGGCGATCCTACTGGCACAGGAAAAGGAGGTGAATCAATTTGGGGAAAGCCATTCAAAGATGAGCCAAACTCAAAGCTACTTCACTCAGGAAGAGGCATAGTTAGTATGGCTAATAGTGGTCCTCACACAAATGGTTCTCAGTTTTTCATTTTATACAAATCTGCAATCCATTTAAACTACAAGCACACAGTGTTTGGTGGAGTTGTTGGTGGTTTGGCAACACTAGCAGCAATGGAGAATGTGCCTGTAGATGAAAGCGACCGTCCTCTTGTAAGTTCTAAAAACTTAACTCACTGTGTTCTTAAGTAGTTTCAGTCTCCTGAGATGGTATTTTGAAATTTCTGCAGGAAGAGATCAAGATAATCGAGGCAAATGTTTTTGTGAATCCATACACGGAGCTTGATGAAGAGGAGGAAAAAGAGAAAGCTGAGAAAGCTGAGAAAGAGAAGAACGAAGACAAAGACATTGTTAGTATCATCCCTTCCACCAAATACAATCTCTTCTCTTCCTCTTTGCTTTAGATCCATCTGATAAGATTATATATTTTTATTTGCATTGTGGTGTATCAGGAGAAGATCGGATCGTGGTACAGCAACCCTGGATCAGGAACAGCAGAAGCTGGAGCCGGGGGCGGTGGCGTTGGGAAATACTTGAAAACCAAGAGTGGTACAGCCACTAAAGAGACTAGTGGTGCCATAGAGTCGGATAATTCAACCATTGGTGTGTCTAAGAAAAGAAAAACTATTGCGTCAGCTTCCTCAGGGTTTAAAGATTTCTCTAGCTGGTAAATGATAACAGTATCTACCCATTTTGTAAAACTGTTGACTAGTTTTGATAGAGCCCAGATCACAATAGCATTTGTATGACAACATTGAACCTTTGATGTTCAAAAGCTGAAGCTGTAACGAAGCTTCTTCAGTAAAAGATTTATTAGAAATTATAATCCTTACAGCGGTGTATGAATGCCTAATCTACAAAATAAATCAACAACAATGATCAGCGCAGAGATATCGGTAAATATATATTTGGTTATTTGTATGTCTTTAAGGCAGCCGCCATTTACTGTGCCAGTAGATAGACACTCTCGACCACATAGGGAATCCGAAACTGTACTCCAAAGGCTGATCAGCAGGTCCACCGATAACTAACGGTAACCATATGTATCTCGAATCCCGCAAATCAGCCGGGTTCCACCTATCTGCCATGAATATAAATGCACCAGGAACACCCGGTAATGGAATCACATATGTGCTCTGCGCAAAGAATGTTGTTAACCGGAAAATTTTGTTACCGCCGATACATGGATTCCCCAGTTTCTCCCATGGACCCATTATTGATTCAGCTGCATGAGCCAAGGCTTCATTTGGTGCCCAGCCAGTGCACCAAGAAGTGACCATGTAATAAATGTTCTGATGCTTAAAGATAGCTGGAGCTTCCCTGCGTTGTCCCACCATTACTCTCTTCATAACCGGCGTCACATCAAGGTAATCTTCCGTTAAGGGTCCGATATGAAGCACACTATTGACTTCAGACGAATATATTAGGTAAGCAACACCATCATCGTCTTTGAAGACAGTCATATCCCGACTGTCAAACCCGTGTGGACGTTTACTGTATAGATACTCGAAAGGACCTGTCGGCTTATCGCTAATGGCCACACCAACTGAAGCTTTAGTGTAGTTTGCATCATCGATATGCATCCACATCACATACTTTTCTGTCTTTTCATTGTAGATCACTTTGGGTCGCTCAAGAACATTGGATTTATGCAAATCATGGGTCTTGTTTGTTTCTTCAGCTCCGAGTACAATGCCTTCATTTTTCCATGTCCATAAGTCTTTTGAAGAGTAACAACCAACCCCTATAATATCAACCTGAGACAACAAAATATTGAAATTTACCACAAAATACTCACAAGAGAAATACAAAATACTCACAAGAGAAATACTAATAGGCTTGAACCTGGTACTTACTCTAGCTGGTCCTTTCTTGTGAGCATGGTAAGTTGGTCCATCTTTATATTCCCCATACCAATAGTATGTGTTAGATTTCTCGTCAAGCAGAATCCCTCCGCCATGGGCTTGAATTGGATTCCCTTCAGTGTCCATCCAAATTTTCCCGGGGATGTAATGGAAGGAATCATTTCCCATATCCTTGGTTGGACCAAAAGCAGCACTTTTCATACCGGGAAAGAAGAGATGCCGAATTGGTGACTTGTCGTCAAGAAACTCCTCAACCAGAGGGATCGGTTTTCTTGATCTCCGTTTACTAGTACGAGGAGAACGCTTCCTAGGTGGCGGCATTCTCAAAATCTCTTCTTCAACTCTGACAAGTTCATGAACGACAGGATGATGAAGATGCTGATGATGTACTAGTTGTAACAGATCAGAAGAAACTTGTTGATGAATGTCATCTTTTCTGGTATAGAGCGAGATAAGATGAGCAACCAGGAAAAAGCCGACGACGATCCATACAATAACAGTAAGCAGAGAATATCTGCAACCTCCTGCATCATTGCAATGCAAAGATGTTGGTTTCTTTTTGTTTTTGTATTTGTTGTTCTTCATTATCCTCATTCTCTCTTTCTGTCTTCTAAAACACTGTACATATATATACAACACTCTGTAGAGCCAAACATATATCTAATGCAAACCACAAGAGATTCAACAAGTCTAAATCAGCAAACATAGGAAAATCAAGCTATCAGAGATCAACACTAGTCTAAAACGAATCTTAAAGTTCGTTGGCAAGTGTGAACACAGATTTGATGCATTTTCGAATGGGTTAGTGTTGATATACTAGACTAAGCAAATACGGCTCAGTGAGTTATGTTCGAAGCTATTTAAATCAATCTGGCAAGTTGATGAGCTCAATTCTAGCTATTCAGATCCGAAGATAACACCCACGTGAGCTTAGCAGAAGTTTAACCTTAAGTATACAAAGCAGATACAAACTAATCTCCTCAAATCCGAGAAACTAGGAGACAAAATCATCGAAAAACTTACCTGAGAATCCTCGGAGACCGGCAGAAGCCGAACTTCCCGACATTATTCAGAAGTTCGCAACTCTCAGCTTTGTCCGAAACCAAAAAAACAAATCCAACACTTCTCTCAGATGTTTCGCTATCAGAAATCTCGATCTGGGGAACGAGATTAGGAAGCTGAATCGAGAAATCTTAGAGCTAGAAATTCTATTATTTTTTAGGAGATTCGGAGATAGGAGTAAAGTGAAGTCTAGTTGAAATGGATCAATCAAGGTCTTTGATGATTCCGACGTACGAACGAAGACGAGACTAATGATTCAATCACGGTCTTCTTCTTCTTCTTCCTCTGATTACTTCCTTCTCTCTGCTTTCTCGGGACGTTTTTCCCGTTTATTTTATAAATAATATAAATAGTGATGATTGATTATCAATTAATGCAATAATTCTTATTATCTATCAATGTTTTAATGTTAGTATAACTATCATTATCGTTACTAACTTACTATTATCCCTTTTCTTTCTTTTTGCATTGAAACATTACTCTGAGTTGGTCGTAGAGATAAAATTCCAGTTAATCTTAACAGTAATTAACATAAAGTAATGATCTTTTGTGTGTTATTTACTCAAGTTATGTTTTAAATATTGTTCATGCACATGGAGTGGCTTCTTTGAGTGGTTGACCCATTCATTTTTTACCTTAATCCTCTCTCTCTCTCTCACACATCATCTGTTTCGATTGGACAAAAAACTGAACTTAACAAATGATACAACATAAGGTTACTACCATAATGATTTGAATGTAGACATTTACTTCTTCAGTCACACTTATTACAAATGTTTGATACAATGTCATATTTACATTATTCAATTAAACACTCTCTATCTTTTTCGATGATATTTATAAAAAAATGTAAATACCAAAACAAAAACAAAAATCCAGTATGCTATAATATATACACACACACACTAACTACATTATATGTTCACTTGTCGTATTTCTTCGGATGAAGTTGGATGAATCGAGAACCAAGCAAAACTCTTTCCTTTTTCTTGGAAAGCTTTGGCGAGGAAGAGCGAAACCAGAACCACCATAATAAGAGACAGAGCAAGGATTGATGCCCAAAGGCGATACATCGAAGCTCTAAAGGGTTCACATTGGTTAGAGACGATGCTCGATAACGTGTCTTTGAGGGCAAGGCATTCTGTTAGGTTTTGAAGAGAAGGCAAAATGTCAAGCATGCCTTGAGCTGAGTTACTATAAGCATAGACCTTGAGGTAAGCTGCTTCCGGGATGAATTTTCCGGTGATTCTGCAAGTTTCTGGTGGAACTTTGTCGTGGCATGTGAATCTCGAAAGAATCTGCATTAAGGTTTTTTATGTTCACTTTACACTTAGGATTAATTTTACAGAGAGATTCATGGTTTTAAATTATGCTGCCTGGGTACTAATGAGTAGAATTTGAAAGACTTACATTTGGGAATTCGCCGATTGGGATGGCGCCATTGGAGCAGCTTTGTGGTGTGTAGCTATTAATTTGTTGTCCAACAAACGGATCACATATTATTCCAGATCCAGGCGCCGACAAGACAGTATTGCTCCGATCAGTCAACGCATTAGAACGCATTGACTCTGCTACTTTTGTGTTTAACTGAGAAAAAAAAAAAAACAAGAAACAGAGGACTTTTAGATTCTACCATTAACCTGAGTTCTTGACACTTCTAACTATTATTCTATTAATCATCACTGATACCTCGGTGATGAAGTTGTGAATCATCAAGCTTATCTCAATCAAGGTTTTCTGAGAATGAAGTGGATCCATGCAAGGGAAAAGATTAGTCAGCGTACTGTTTAGTGGGTTTTGTACGAAGCCATTGAAAGCAGAACAAAGGTCTTCTGCGAAGCTGCGTGAGTAGAAAAGTTTGAGGAGTTCAATAAAAACACGTGGAGGATTTTGGTTTTAGGGTCAGAAAGGCTTACGTATGAATGAAGAAATCGAATCCAGTTAGTACCCAACAGAGAGTGGTTATGATCCAGCAAAAGTATATCACCCTTTGTGCGAAGAAGAAGAATAGAAATTTAATCTTTAAAGTTGAAACTCCAAATTTAATAAGAACAATAACGTTTACACTGCTTACATGATAAATCCAGGGTGCCAGTGAAGCAACAGAGGAACTGAGACAAAGGAAAAGGAAGTCCATTAGAATTACTCAAATATCATAACATCTTCACAATTTAAACGAATGTTAAAAATGATCTCACCAAAGGCTAGAAGCAGAACGAACAAGTTGGTCGATGCAATCATAAGATGAGATATATACCTGAGAGAGAAAAAAACAGAGCAGAACAATCACAGATGATTAAGAACGCACAAAAAGAAAAAGAAAAGATGAGTCGTCGTTGTCAGATCATACGAGATTTTGATGGCGAGATCAATGGAACGACCGTTATGACGAAGAAAAGTTTGAATAAGGCGAGATCCTTTTCCGAGTCGATGGGTGGTAACGTTGAGAAGATGAGTCGTGTTTTGATTATATGGAAGCAGCAAATACTGTATCTTAGTTAACGACCCTATCACTGTACGGATGTTTCTTTCAACATCTTCTCCTGCTTTGTCTATGGTTTCTTTCATTTCCTCTGTTCCATTCTTCGAGCGCTGGTTCGCTGCTATCACTATCCCTGTCGCTGCCCTGTTTCGTAAACCAAAAATCATGTTATTTCAATTATTTTCATCAAACTCATAACTTGGTTTTGTCAGTGTTTTTTTAAGAAAAGAATTAATAAATAATCACTAACGCATAATTGTTAATTGTCTGAGCTAATAAATGTGGATGGCTTTTTTGTTTTGAAACGAGGCTTGTAATAAATAATGTCTTCTACGTATGTTTTGTAAAATGTCTATCATATCATTTCTACAACTTCGTCGTTATGGCATGCAAGCTGCTTATGCGTATAAACCTGAGGAAGATAATTAGTTTGTGTATCATTCACAAACATGGAAAATTCATATATTTTGTTTAGTCGTCGATGATTTTTCATGGAAAGCAAACCAAAAACTTCAGTGACACTAGTTTTCATGCAACTTAAGAGAGTATCTTATTTACGAGCTTACATGGAGAAGAACATGAAGAGGAGGAGAAGTAAGAAAAGAGGAAGGTAGCAACGGTCTAGATATCTGCGGCGAGTGGAAGAAACACGTCTTCTTTTGTCGGAGAAAGCTAGGTGAAGTCCCAAACAGACGCCGACGATAATCAGCACTCCGGCAACGGCGTAACCGTGGATTCCCGTAAATGCCGTAGCCTAAGATTCCCGTTCAGACTTATTAGTCACCACATTAACCTCAAAATTACATAAAACTAACGAAGTAGCTAGAGAGACTCACAGCCCAATAATGTTTGTTTCGAACATCGAAGCCTCCGTTGTAATATCTAAAGCTGTTAAGAGGATCGCGTCTCTTAAACCTCTCATGATCTCCGCCGTCCGGTAAACTTGAAACAGTCAGAATGGGAGAGATCATAGCCGTTAAAAGGAGCTGAGACAGAACTCCGAGTATTCTTGATTTTGTCATCTTGATGATCGAAAATCATGTTCCTTGTTTTATTGTCCTAATTTTGGGGGATAAAAACAAAGAGATTTGTGAGAGAGAGAGAGTATAATTATTTTAAATAATTGCCTTTCTTCTTCGAGTGTTTGGCTTACTTACTAAGGCAAGGATAGCTTGTGGCTACACTTGTTCTTAAAAGATTTTGTTTTTTCTCCTTTTTGTTAAATAGAAGAAAGGAGAGTGATTTGAGTAACGTATCTTGAGCCGTTTTCTCTGGAATTTTTATTTGACTCGCTCTTCTTTTTTTTTGGGTTTACTTTGTTACCAAAAAGGTAAAAAGAATGAGGAAAGGATCAAACTGTATAAAAAGAATGTATTAGTTGTGTTATTAATTACGAAAGTGTATTGTTATAAAACCAGATTATCATTAATTATGCGTTGTTTGAAACCCGCTAAAAGAGAAAGAGAGTTTTCTTTTGTTTAGTTTCACTCCTTGGAAAAGTCCCACATCGGTTACAAGAGAAACGTGAAGGAAAAAAGAAGTAGTATAAAAAAAGCGGCCATGGGTCTAAACAATTCATACCTTTCTCGGCCTTTTGGCTAAGATCAAGTGTAGTATCTGTTCTTATCAGTTTAATATCTGATATGTGGGCCATCGGCTCACACGATATTAACTCTATTTTTTAAGGGAGAAGGCCCGTTGAGATAGCTTGCTATCTGGGCTTTCACGAGTCGCCCATGCGTTGCACTATTGCACGGGCCTGGCTCAACCCGCCAAATTTAAGTCTAAATTAATATTAAAAAATATAATAACTTTACAGAAATGATAATTGAAGTCCATAATCAAATAATGACGGAAGTCAACAATGTATGGTTCATTACAATTGGGCCTTAAATGCCTATAATGAAACCCATCGAAAAACACTCTTCAGTCTGAAACTATTGACGAAACATAAGTGGAGCTTACAAATTACAATCTAGTATCTCCCACCGCCACTCATTGGTTCGTGGTGATCACGCGCCTCCACCTTAAAAAGCGAGTGGGTGATGTCCATCTTAACACATTCTTTTGTTTTCTTGTCAATCTTAATAATTCTTCTTCCGAACTTCTCTCTGTCCCATCGAATCTTGCTTCTTATTGGCTAATCAAAATTGTCTAAAATAATTACATTATATACTATTTAGCTTAGCTCCATGATTTTCGCTGTGTCACACACAGCTTCAGTTTCCCTACAAAACGAATTAGAATCAGATCTTGACCGTTAATCCCACGACGTAGAAGGACCCACATAATTTATTTGACGGTTCAGATTTACTGACTTTTGTAACTTTTTAATTCGCCGGCTCTCTCATGCCGTGTTTTCGATTTTTGACAGAAACTCAAACAAAAACAAAACCAAAAATAATCTTCAAATGAGATAATAATATCGGCAGCGAAGAGCAGAAGAAGGAAGCTTTCCCTTTTAAGCCCATTAGAGATCCGTCGAGGAGAATTTCTAGCAGACCGATCTCTGTTTCTCCGAATCTCTGTCTTTGTCGGAAACTTTGAGAGTTATTAAAAAAAATATGGGTTTGTGGGATGCTCTTCTCAATTGGCTTCGCAGGTCAGTTTTTTTCTTTTCTTTGTAATATCTTTTACTTCAAGTTTCTTTTCTTGGTTTGTGGGATGTTGATTTAGATTGTTTCCTGCTTGAGTTCAACGATATGAACAAATAGAACTGTTTCCGCCGAAGTTTTAATCCCTGATTTGTAATATTAAGACGGAATTAGGAATAGTAATACGATTGCATCAATCTCTGGCTAAGAAATTTACTTTTTTGATGTTATCATCAGTTCTACCGTTTAGATTGTTGATAATCATGTCTATGTTTAGACAATACAACTGGGATGGGATCTGTAGATGGTTGTTTAGTACATGAAGGTTGCTGCCTGTACAAAGAGTTAAATAAATAAGTATTGCGAATGCGAGTAATGAATTTTATAAAGAATCCCTCGGAACTAGTTGTTAGAGCAACAGCTATAGGTTGTAACTAGGCTCTAAGTATATCAAGTATTCGACAAAACTCTCATTTTCTCGAACGATTCGCATAGTCTCAATATATCATTTTTGCAGCCTTTTCTTCAAGCAAGAAATGGAGCTTTCATTGATAGGACTGCAAAATGCAGGAAAGACATCACTTGTAAACGTTGTTGCGGTAAGTAGTATACTTACTCACCAACCTTTCTTCTATATTTCTTCTAAACACTCGTTAATGGCTTCCTCTTACCTTTCCTTGTCCAGACTGGTGGATACAGTGAAGACATGATCCCTACGGTGAGCTGCTCTACCCCCTATATGATGTTTCCTTAAAGTAACAAAAGATTTGTTCATTCTTGGCTAGATAATAAAAAGGATGCTTACTCTTTCTTAGGTCGGATTCAACATGAGGAAAGTGACAAAAGGAAGTGTCACAATCAAGCTTTGGGATCTTGGTGGTCAACCTAGGTTTCGCAGCATGTGGGAACGCTACTGCCGTTCTGTTTCTGCCATTGTGTAAAAACCTTATAGATACTCTTATCTTACTATCTTCAATTAAGTTTAGATGATTAAAACTTTTAACTCTTGCCACATTTTTGGTTCGTCCTGCTGATTCTAATTTCAGGTATGTAGTTGATGCTGCTGATCCTGACAACCTTAGTGTCTCGAAAAGCGAACTCCATGATTTGTTGAGCAAGACATCGCTCAGTGGTATCCCTCTTCTAGTCCTTGGGAACAAAATCGACAAGTCTGGAGCTTTATCCAAAGAAGCCTTAACAGAGGAAATGTAAAGCCTTGAACCGAAAACACATTACCCTTTGTTCTTTACTTCGATTCTGATAAGTTTTTTTTTCCATTTTTTGCACAGGGGGCTCAAGTCACTCACAGATAGAGAAGTCTGTTGCTTCATGATATCTTGCAAGAACTCCACCAACATTGATCAAGTCATTGATTGGCTTGTAAAGCACTCCAAATCAGCAAGCTAAACTCTCTGCAAAAGAAGAGAAGTCAACTCTCTGCAGTTCTTGGTCTTTCTCAGTCCGCTTGTGTTGCTCCTTTGATGATGATGGTGGAAGAAGACAGTTGTTTCTTTTTTTTCCTGTGATAAACAAGATTTGTCTTTCTTTGTTTTTTTCTGATTCTTTATCCTCTTTCATCTGTGTTGCTGCTGTTGTCTGTATATTAGATTTGATTGGTTCTTTGACTTCGTAATGCCATGAGATCACCTTCCTTCAGGGTCAAGAGTTCATAGCATATTTTGAAAGTAGGAAAACTAATGTAGCGTTTCTCGTAATTTTAAAAATCCTTAAGGACCAAACGGATATTTAAAGAAAAAGCAAGAGGATAATATGAACTAAGCTCAACGCTCACTAGCACTATCTTCTCGCAACAATGGACGCTTCGGTGGTGAGATTTTCCCAATCTCCGGCAAGACTGACGCCGGAATTTGAACCAGATATTGAGAAAATTAAACGGAGGTTGCTCAAGTACGGGGTTGATCCAACCCCTAAAATCCTGAACAATCTCCGAAAGAAAGAAATTCAAAAACACAACCGTAGAACCAAGCGCGAAACCGAGTCCGAGGCGGAGGTGTATACGGAGGCGCAGAAACAATCTATGGAAGAAGAAGCTCGTTTCCAAACCCTAAAGCGGGAATATAAGCAATTCACGAGGACAATTTCGGGAAAAAGTGGCGGCGATGGTGGAAGAATTGACGGTGGTTTAATGGTTGGGAATCCATGGGAAGGAATCGAGAGAGTGAAGCTGAAGGAGCTCGTTAGTGGTGTCAGGAGAGAAGAGGTTAGTGGTGGTGAACTGAAAAAAGAGAATCTAAAAGAGCTTAAGAAGATACTCGAGAAGGATCTTCGTTGGGTTCTTGAAGACGACGTTGATGATGTGGAAGAGTATGATATGGACAGAGAAATTGATCCTGCGAAGCGGTGGCGCAACGAAGGAGAAGCAGTCAGGGTTCTTGTTGATAGGTTTGACACTCTTTTAGTTCATTTCAATTTCTGAAAAAAAATATGATTTTATGACGAATTTGTTTCATTGATTGTGTCGTTAGATTGAGTGGTAGAGAAATCACTGAGAAGCATTGGAAGTTTGTGAGGATGATGAATCAATCAGGCCTTCAGTTTACTGAGGATCAGATGCTTAAGATTGTTGATCGATTGGGACGTAAACAGAGCTGGAAACAAGCTTCCGCCGTCGTTCACTGGGTTTATTCTGATAAGAAGCGTAAACATCTTAGGAGCAGGTGATGTTACTTGTCTATTTTAACTCCTTTCTATTCGTTGATTTCATGGAGTGTGGACTGATGATCGAAAGATTTTAACTTTTGTGGTATTCCTTTCTTGATGTTGTATACTTGTTTTCTGATTGTATTATTTTTTTGATAAACAATTGTTTTCTGATTGTATACAACACTGGTTTCTATAAAGGTTTGTTTACACCAAGCTTTTGTCCGTTCTTGGGTTTGCGAGGAGGCCTCAGGAAGCTCTTCAGATATTCAATGAGATGCTTGTAAGTAACTTCCAATATGAACCAATTCATGATGAGGTTGATGCAGATGAACATCATACTATTAGCATTTTCCTTGCAGTTTTTGGATTAACTCTCATTCATTAGTCACTTTAGGGTGATCGCCAGTTATATCCTGATATGGCGGCATACCACAGTATTGCTGTAACACTTGGGCAAGCGGGTTTATTGAAGGAGTTGCTGAAAGTAATTGAGCGCATGAGGCAGAAACCGCCGAAACTAATGAAGAATTTGCGCCAAAAGAACTGGGATCCTGTGCTTGAACCCGACTTGGTTGTGTACAATGCTGTAAGTGAGCATTTTTTAATTTTAAAACTATTGAAATATCTATATGCAGCGAATCAGTGTATCTAATTGCTAGATCCATTCTTGGCTTAACTGGTCACAGATTCTGAACGCTTGTGTTCCGACACTCCAGTGGAAGGCTGTTACATGGGTATTTGTAGAGTTAAGAAAAAATGGTCTGAGGCCTAATGGTGCTACATATGGGCTTGCAATGGAGGTAGCGTTCTTGTTTTCCAACATAAATAAAATGCCTTACATAATTTTATGTAAGATGCGATGTAATTGTTGTGGCTACCCTCAAGTATGTATTGGGAGCTGTCTTTAAGATGTCTTTTTGACAGGTTATGCTGGAGTCAGGGAAGTATGATCGTGTTCACGATTTTTTTAGGAAGATGAAAAGCAGTGGCGAAGCTCCAAAAGCAATTACATATAAGGGTATCTATTAGTTCTCTCTGTTTTTTAGGTTTATTCATTTTTGTATCTATATTCTATAAGGTGATATGATTCTTATAGTGCGTGCATGATTGAATTTTCAGTTCTTGTCCGAGCTCTCTGGAGAGAAGGCAAAATCGAGGAAGCTGTTGAAGCAGTCAGAGATATGGAACAAAAGGGAGTTATAGGAACGGGTTCAGTTTACTATGAATTGGCATGCTGTCTGTGCAACAATGGGCGTTGGCATGATGCAATGCTTGAGGCGAGTTCTCTCATACTTTACCCTTTTTGATTCTCAGCGAACCCTGCAAAATTAACCTTCTTCATAATGTGATGATGCAGGTGGGGAGGATGAAAAGACTTGAAAATTGCAAGCCGCTCGAGATTACCTTCACAGGACTCATAGCGGCTTCATTGAACGGTGGTCATGTTGGTGATTGCATGGCTATATTCCAATATATGAAAGATAGATGTGACCCAAATATAGGAACAGTGAACATGATGCTTAGAGTTTACGGAAGGAACGATATGTTTTCAGAAGCTAAAGAATTGTTTGAAGAAATTGTTAGCAGAAAAGAGACTCATCTAGCTCCAAACGAGTATACATACAGCTTCATGCTTGAAGCTTCAGCTAGATCACTGCAATGGGAATACTTTGAGCATGTGTATCAGACGATGATTCTTTCTGGTTACCAAATGGATCAAACAAAACACGCACCCATGCTTATAGAAGCATCAAGAGCCGGAAAGGTAACAAATCTTCTTTTAGTTAGTGTTTATGAAAGCATAAGCTGTTGTCTAATTTTGTCTGTTAATGCAGTGGAGTCTTCTAGAACATGCCTTTGATGCGGTTCTTGAAGATGGAGAAATCCCTCATCCATTGTTCTTCACTGAACTGTTGTGTCATGCAACAGCTAAAGGTGATTACCAAAGAGCCATCACACTGATTAACACTGTGGCTCTCGCATCTTTCCAGATCAGTGAAGAAGAATGGACTGACCTTTTCGAGGAGCATCAAGACTGGCTTACTCAAGAGAATCTTCAGAAACTCTCTGACCATCTCCTTGACTGTGATTATGTAAATGAACCAACGGTCTCAAACCTCTCGAAGTCATTGAAGTCTCTATGTGGGTCTTCTTCTTCTTCAACACAACCATTGTTAGCCATAGATGTACCAACACCAAGTCAGAGCGAGACACTGGAGGCAGATTTGCTTCTTCAAGATACAACAATGGAAAATGATAATGAAGCTTGGGAATTTACGAAGACTGAACTCGAAACATTGGGTCTAGAAGAACTCGAGATTGATGATGATGAAGAATCTAGCGACTCTGATTCGCTTTCAGTTTATGATATTCTGAAAGAATGGGAAAAAAGTAGTAAGATAGAGACTTGAAAATGCTTGTAAATTTTCTCAAAAGCTTTGATATAATTTCGCTATTATCTTTCAACCAATGAAACAAAATCTTAATTTACTTATTCATCTCTCTTCGAACCAGTTTCAACTTTGTAGGTTACTTAATGTATAGATCATTCACAAAAATTAAAGACCAGTTCTATAGAATCTCAGAAACTCAGCGAAAAGAACTTACATGTGATCAAAGTGCGGATTTACATTGCCACTAACCAAAAAAAGAGCAGAAAGGTATGAAAACTTTAAACTCTGCAGGTGATGAGATATCGCCTAACTCAAGATCGATATTCTTGAAATAAGAAACTGGTAAAACCACTATGTATATATATATATATATTCTTGGCTTGGTCTGTTATAGAACTTTCCCATCATCGTTGTTTCTTTCTGTTTTACCAAGTATGATTACGGATCCTGAACTTCAAAGCTTTCATGGCAGCCTTAGCAAATATCTGAGCAGCTTCAGCTTCAGCTTCTGCTCTTCCTGCCTCTTTTGCTGCTTCTTCAGCCTCTGTGATAGCAAATTCTGCCTCTGCAACTGCTCTTGCTGCCGCTTCTGCAGCTTCTTGAGCTGTCATACCTTTTACCATAAGTAGCTCACTGTCTACTCGGGACTTAGTGAAACTGTTGGTGCCGTTCTCCTCGGGTTTTGGTGGGTCTTTCTTGTTGTTTCCTTCCAGAAAGCGTTGAGGAGACTTCTGTCTTGCTCCTACGGTAATAAAATTAGGAGAGAACCTGTACTTGTGCTTTATCTGAAAGTGAAAAATCACCAAGCATTTGAAAATGATGTGAGCAACGAAGTATTGCAAAATTGTAATCATAAATCTTCATTCAGAATTTGTGTCTACCTTAACTAATGTTCCATTTGATGATAAATGCTTTAATCTTACTGCCACATGCCTTTTCATATTTGGCGGAGTCTTGAAATTCTCCTGAAATTTTACAGTATTAACTATTAAGTATGCAGCAACCCCCAAAGAAACATAGAATCCCAATGGTAGAGTTACCTCTATATACATAAAGATCGATGTTCTGTCAGAACCACGTAGTTCCTTCAAGTTGGTGATTGCCTCCAAGATGATCTTATCCAAACTACAAGAACAGACAATAGCTCAATATCATATTCAAGACCTTAGGACAAAGGTAAAAGTCTTGATGTGAGGACTTGGCAAAAACCAAACCTTGTAATTGATCTCTTTGAAGCACAAGTTCGTGGTGATCCACCACCAGAACGTCCAGGTGAAGTTGGTTTTGCCCGTTCATCGTCATTAGCCAAAGCCACAATGGTAAGAGCTGTGTTGTTATCATCATGTTTAGTAGCTGGCAGAGTCCTTTTAAGCGCAAGTTTAGCCTTCTTCCTTGAACCCCATAACGCTGTCACACTTATATTTCTCCACTTGTCCTGTTAAGCTTTGCACTATCAAGATTAGTCTGAAACACCCATTCACAACCTCAAACAAAGCAGATCTCTTTCGCCAAAACACATTCCATTAAGTGCCACAGTTTTGTATCGAGTTGAATTTTATTACCTTAAGATCCACATTTGAGCGAGACTTTAAAATGAAACTAAACTCAGGATCTGAGAGTATCGTACGCCACTTTCCAGTCCCATGCTTAAGTACTCCAGCTTTAAGAGCTGCTTCTTCTTCTGGTGTCCACTTCTGCTTTGGGGCACCCATCCACCGTTATAAAAAGTTCTCACTTTTCTTTTAAAGAAGTTGAATCTCCTCTGGTCTCTGCAAAGAGATGAAAACACTAAAAACCTTAGAATCTGTGAAATGAGTTGCGGACAAAAATACTAAATTATGAAACTTAACAGCATCAACGCCATTGTAGCAAACTCTTCTTATTTTAAACAATCTAAATTATGAAATTTGAACAAACATCACGAAATGTAATTGCTTTTACCAGCTTTACATCAATGAGCACAATGGAAATCAATTTAATCTAGCAGATACACACAAAGCCACAACATAAAAATGTAATTATACAAATCCAAAGAAGTGATGGGTATTTAGGTACGCCTCAAAGCTCAATTCAACAAATCAACGAGTGATTCGATCAATTCCTAACCAAAGTTCTCCAGTGGTTTAAATTTCATTAACAGCGTAGCAAATCAACAGAGATTTTGGAAATTCAGCTAACAATCAGAACCAGAAAAAATGGGACGATCGAAGAATATAGATAAAAATGTGAAATTCAGAGAAACAAACAAAAAACCAGAAATGAGGAAGGAGGAGAAAAAGAAGCATGCCAGATCAAACGGAACCAAAGGAGAGTTTTTCAAGAGAGACAGTTGATGATGAAAGCTAATTCCTTTTGTAGAATTTTCATAGATCAAATGTGAATCTTAGAATTTCTCTGAAACAAACGAAGAAGAAGAAGACCATAGAGAAGTAGTACAGGGAAGAATATCCATAGAAACGCAAAAACAAAAAAACTTGAGCTTTCTTTTATATTCAAGCTAAGAAGATATTTCCTTAATTTCTCCAGATTCACAAATTTTCCTCAATTATTATCAAATTACACAATAACACTTATTTACTAATTGAATCACCTAAGTAGATTACATATTTTTAAAAATGATACATACATGAAAACTTATAATATTTGAATTACTGTCAAAGGATTTGGGGGTATTTGATCTCACAGATAGTTGAGGGGGTATTAAAGAGTTTTATATAATACTAAGACCGATACGATCATTTTAGCAAACTCTAAGGGCTGAATTAAAACTTTCTCTGTTTTTTCCAACTTTTCTCTTTGCCTTCGCCATTTTCCTAAAATCTACGGAATAGAAGAAAACCGAAGCGGAATCAAAAAGCTCAGAAATTTTCCAGATTTCTCTTTGGCGTGACGATGGCGCTTCGTGCTTCTCAAGGGACTAGCCGTATCGTGACGGCTTTCCGACGTGTCGCTCGGCCTTTCTCTACTGACGCGGTGGTTGAATCGGATTACAAGCGTGGTGAGATCGGTAAAGTCTCCGGAATCCCTGAAGAGCATCTTTCTCGGAAGGTAAGTGAGCATTCGATTTCTTATCTATTCAGTTAAAAATTAGGGTTCGTGATCGGAGATTCGTCTGAATTGAGCTACATCGTGTTCTTGATTTGATTTTTCTCAATCGAATCGTCTTAGATGAGCTACATCGTAAGATTATTGCTGCTATGGAATCGTCTAAGAGATTGAATTGGAATTAACATACAGGTGATAATATACTCACCTGCTAGAACAGCTACCCAGCAAGGATCTGGAAAACTTGGAAAATGGAAGATTAACTTCGTCTCCACCCTAAAGTATGCTACTTTTTCATTCAACCTCCCTCATTTCTTAGTTTTGTTTCTGTAACTTATAATAAGTCTTAGTTTTTTGGCTCATCTTTTGGATTTACCTAGAGATACATGTTATGTCCTCTTCTTTTGTCAGACGAGTCTTATGGTTAAGTTCCTATCATTGCAATGCTATTTTTGAGTCCATCACTTTTCAAATGAATGTAGCTTTAACAGACTAATAGCTTCTGGTATCAGTATTTTTCTCGGTGGTTAATGACATCGCTTCTCTATGGCCTTGACATGGTTTTAGGTGGGAGAATCCATTGATGGGATGGACTTCTACTGGTGACCCCTATGCTAATGTTGGGGACTCTGCCCTTGCTTTTGATTCTGAAGAAGCTGCTAAATCATTTGCTGAGCGTCATGGTTGGGATTATAAGGTATATTGTATTCTTCTTCATTATCAGCTCATTGTTTCTGGTCGCATTAACATTTTATGTGAGTGTCGTGGTTCTGTTATAAGAGTCGCTAATATAGAACTCAGAGTACTGAAAAACATGCATCTGACTCATTGCAGGTGAAGAAGCCCAAAACGCCTTTATTGAAGGTTAGTAACTTTCTTTTAGCTAATGCCCCGTATGATTGCTTTCAGGAACTCTTGAATGTTATTATAATATTGGATATTTAAATCTCTAGTTTAAGATTAGTGCCACTAAGACTTAACTCCGTATGCTCCATCAGAAATGGTTTGCTACCTCATAGAGTAATTTCTAGTTTAAGATGAGTTAGTTTGGAGACGATTGCCTCTTTTGCTCCTTCGAATATTGTGGTAGAACATTCTTTAGATTGAAGTTTTTACCTAACCTCGTGATGGTTCATCATCAACCAACTGCAGGCCAAGTCTTACTCGGACAACTTCAAGTGGAAAGGCAAACCTCAACCAGAAAACTGATCTTACACCTCGAGCATAAGGAGAAACCTCATTTGATCATGTTTTTTTTGTTAATTAGCATCTGTGAGCTTTGGTTTGAAAGAATCATTATCCATGGTTGGATTCTTTTTAATGTTTCCTTATTACAATAATATGATGATGATGATGAAACACACTCCTTTGATCATCAAGTTTTCTGATCATTTTATTTGCTGGCTTAATTTCGAATCCGTGTGGAATGAAAGAGAGAAATTGATGGTCAAAATAATCCGTAAGATACCAAATTTAAAGACAGTCGAATTGAAAGGAGATAACGACATAAGAGAGATTGTTGAACCATACAACAAAATCTATGTCTTTGAACATTACATTACATATAAGAAATGGAGTTTGTTGACAGAGGCAAAGCTGTAAATCCTCCGATCAGAAACAAGCATCCAAGAGACAGCAACAACAGAGCGCAGCCAAACTGTGACGTACGTATATATAATCAGACCAAAGACGTATCAATAATATTACTCCACTAAGAACCAAAAGAAAGTAAAAAAAATAAACTAGAGAGCAGAGAGATGGGGATCAAGAACGTACCAGCCTTCAAGCATACCGGCGTTTTGCTTCTGCTGGGGAGCTTGAGAGTATTGGGGCGGAGGATAACCTTGAGCAGGGTATCCCTGAGCATATCCCGGCGGCGGATAGCCGGCTGGAGGATAACCGGCCGGAGGGTAAGCGTCCTTAGGAGGATAACCTTTAAACCGGAATTGAAGAGTAAATTAAACCAGCTCTGAGGAGTAGAAACAAAACCGAGTAACCAAAATCATAGAAAAGATTAAAATACCTTGGGGAGGAGGAGCACCGACAGGATGTTGTTCTTGATGATACATCTTTCTTCTTTTTGAGTTCTTTGAGCTTTTTTTTTTCTTTCTTTCTCTCTTTGTTTAAGCAATCTCTGTTTCTTTCCTTTATAGCGAAGCTATGCCGGTGAGGAATATTAATATTTTTCCTTTAACTGCTTTTTTTTTAATTTAATAAAGCAGAAAAAATGCTTTAAATTTTTTTAAAGTCCTTCTTACATCATAAATATTACGAATAAATTTCTTTGAAAAATTAGGTGATCATTTGTGCTTTGATACTTGACCGTACAAGAATTTATCCTCAGCTACTTCGAAAATTAATAATTATAAGATTCATATTTTATAATTTAAACACCAAATAAGAACAGAGAAGTAAAAAACAAGTTAAATACAACCTCCTCTATTCGATAAAAAAAAATAACTGTAGAAATTTAAGAATCCGAGAAAAAATATGACTTTTATCCACCCACATGTTAGTTCATGTTCCCATGACATAGATAATAGTAAAATAATTATTCGAATATTAATATATCCATACCTAAAGATTCACATCATCATGAAAAGTAGAACCCATTAAAGACCATAAAAGGAAAAAGAATGCTCATTGCATTGTCTACACACAGACATGAGCACAACCTAAAAAACCAATTAGGATCGTTACAACAAATCGTGAAGGGGAAAAAGTATCATCCACAAAAGCTATAACACTAACCAAGTCATAAAAGAAAAAAAAGCAACTTTACCTACAAGAGCTCTCTCTGTCTCTCTACAAAAAAGTTTGTTTTCTCTTTGAACGGTTTGAGACTAAAACCGAGTTACTTTAGAACCAACCCAGCCATTTCCGTGGCCGGTCTGTCCTACGATACTCTTTTCTCGGAGATATGTTGATCCGATCAGCATTTACTGCTGCCCATTTGCCAAAATCCGGTGAAGATACCAATTCTTGCACCGCCTTCGTGGTGCTATCCTTAGTGAGCTTTTTCCATTCTTCTTTTGTTAGTTTGCTCCTTTCAGGAGTTTTATGGAAAAAGGAAGGAAAAGTATCTGCTTCAGATGGAGGAGATTCTCGCATCCCGTTGTTGATTCCTGAAAAGGACCAATTCAAAGGCTTATTATATTGGTTTCAGTTTAAGATTGTAATTTGGGAGAGATGTCACAAATCAAACCTCCTGATGAAGAAGCAAAATTAACATTGTTGCGAAATTCAGAAGCATCAGAACTCTTTTGCATGAAGTCATGAAGATATCCTGGGACAGATGGTATATCAGCATCACGAATTGCCTCCCAGATTCCTAGCAGTAAATTTAGTGGAATCCTGTGCAAAAGAAATCAACTTGCATTCAAAATTGTGAATTTTCAGGGGTATGGATGCTATGTAATCAAGCGAACGAGAACAAACATAGTTTGATTTGTTGAAGAAAACGGATTAAAGAGAAGGGTCACAACTCACTCGTACAAGCGTAGAAGAAACTTCAATCTGGTGATCTTCTTTAAAGTTGATGACATAAGAATTACAGATATCAATGCTCCTCCAGAAAGCAAAGGATCCACAGAGCTCTGTAAAACAACAAATTCTTGTTAAAAGGATGAATTGGTTAAAAGGAGGATATAGTTAGAGGGACACTGGAAAAAACCTGAAGAATCAAAACCGCAGCCATTATTCGAATGGACCAAGAAACAAAGAGTGATGTGCTAACGTCAATGGAGCCATCTTCGGTCAGAATAAGTTTTCTCACAGTCCAAAATCCGAAGAAAGCTCCACCCAGAGATAGAAACGCCCCCACAAAAATCGCCACCTACAAAACCAAAATGCAAATTGTTTCTTTAAAATGTGCGTTATAACCAGCAAATGCTGACTGATACAAGACACGGCTCTAAAATTACGACAACTGCAATGTATTGGCATTATCAAAACTTACATACAGGTGTGTACATTTCTTCGTTGATTCCCATCTCTGTAAGCACACTTTGAAACAATCCAGGTATGTAGGGAAGAAGAAAACCACCCAAACCAAGCTGGAAAGATGGTAACAATCTTGTAAGTAGTATATAAAACAAGGAGGCCAGAGAAAACCAGGGAACAAGAAAAAGAAAAAAAAAAAAACAAAACAAAAAAAGAGAATCACCAGGGATGAGTATATGAACAATGCAAACGAACTCCGTCCAGTTGGTAGAAGCTTCATTCCCTGTACACATCACATTACAAACGCAAAATCAGAGAGTTCATACCATACAGGTCAACAGGATAAACAAAATAAACAAAAGAGAAGTTACCTGAAAGAGAACAAGCAACACAACAAGGATAATACCCACAGCCATGGCGCTACTGTAGTAAAATGCTAAAGATTGACTCAGTGTAGAAGCCGAAGCCAATAATACAGCACCAAGGATTAAGAATACTATGCGATATATAAATAATTCTGCAAAGCCAAGATTGATTAGTTAGACAAGTAGAACCAATTGCAGAAGAAAGAAAGATGGTACTTAAGTAAAGCAATAAAAGCAAACAGAACAAGAAGCACCTTCTACAGCATACACTTCCAGGGTGACCTTGTTAGCTACCCTAACATCAAGGATTTTGTGGTCATAGGGTGACATTGTCTGAACCCATGAACCCTTAGAGGCTTTCTCCCACCGACTATGAGGGCACATTCCAATTGCAAGCGACAAATTCCTTCAAACATACAAATCATGGAAACAGTTAGTGATATATAGATATATGATAAGGCTGATGATAACTGGACATACAGAAGCCAGTTTGGACTATAAATATCAAGAATTCAAGTCCAACAGCAAAAGATAAACGACTCACCGGTGGAAGCAAACGTCAAAGTTACTCATTTTCCCAGCGGTTGAGACGTTAACTACCAGCTTGAGTGAATGTGCATACTTTTCAAGATGTTTAAACCTTGGAAGTCCATGGATATGAATCCTCTCACAAAGAGTTGTTCTATCTGGCTTCAATCCAGGAGAACCCTTGACCTCTAAACTAGGAGTGACTTGAAGCCCTCTGGTTTCTCCCACAACTGTCACATGAAAAGAAATTGTCCAAGACTCTTAATTGCGTACGATGATTAAAAGCTGAGGATTCTTAGACACAACTTAAATCGGAAGAATCCCAAATCGGAGCATGGATTAAAATATCAAATTCGAGTACCCAAAATTACTTGAGCGATAAACCCTAAATTTCTACAATTTGACAACCAAACCCGCACAATAAGGACATATAAGAAAAACTTACCGAAGAGAAGTTCATCGGATGAAACAAGAGAGGCGAAAGTAAAGAGATGTAGCAAAATAATTCCGATAACGACGCCGGAGTTTCGTAAACCACCCATCGGTTTCTGGGTTTGAAGAAGAACGACCGACCGACCAAAAAAAAAAGTTTCAGGGCGCGGACTTGAATCAAACGCAGACAAGAATAAAATCGTGAGGGTATTTATGGTAATTGAACAGAACCAAAAAAAAAGGGAACTCTCGGCCTTGTAATTTTAAATGGGCCATTATTTTGTAGCCCATCATCTCGATTTATTCCGACAAAAATAAAACACTAGCTTCTCAAGTAGTAGTCAGTTAGTCACACTTTATCTTGTATCAACATAGGCTTTCAAATTTTACCAGAAAGTATTACAAATCATAGACTTTTCAATCTCAATGTGCCACAATATTCCGTCTGTAAGCTCAAATTTTAAAAGAAAGTGCTTTAAAATAAGTTATTAGCGTAAATTAAATTGGTTTAATTGTTTATGAATGTTAAAACCGACGTACGTCCAATGGGTGATGCTTACAAATATGGTTGCTTGGATGATTTAATTATGGCCGGACTATTAATGAGACTGAAAATGATTGAGCCGTTAATTACGTTACGTCGGAGTTAACTGAACCAAAGGGGAACGACGTTACGTTAGTCAGTTGAATTATTGACTGCATAACTCTCATTGACGAAAAAAAGGCCGACAAAATGAGCTGCCAACCATATATATATTTTAAAAGCAAAAAAAAAACATGTACATTTACATATTCTTACCATTGTCTAATTATCCAATAATTACCATTGCCTTAAAACTCGCTCAACGTCTATGATTTGGTTGGTTGACCGGTTTGTTTACGCTTAAACATCTTCACATGAAACGTTATGATTGGATTATGATATATACGGTATGACGTAAATATCTAATTAGGTTCGACCACACAACAACAAGTATCCAAAATGTATACGAACTGTCGGTTTACATTACATTGTTTAAAAGGTAATAGGTCCGGCACATTACATACATACATAGCACAACATCTAAGAATGAAAAAAAAAAAAACAATTTTTGGACTGTTGTAACAAATATTCAATCATTTGGAAGGTATCGCGTCACATAACAAAACTTTTGAACAAGATTATCATTTGATATGATTCGGATTTTTTCAATTTGTTTTCTTTAAAATATAAGAACAATTGAGATTGCGAGTAAAGTTCTTGAAAATATTTGTCGAGGCTGAAACTCATTAAAGCAACACAAAATAGCAACATCGCTTTACATTAAACTTTCAAAGTTGTCGGATAGTTGCTTTAAGAATATCTACGGCTTTTAAAGAGCTCTCTCATGACTCATGAGGATCCAAATTCCGGAATGCTGTGCAGAGCTGGCCTCCACCCACCGCCACTTCTTCCTCCACCGTGGCTTCTCCTAAGAAACCCATCTCCCCCGTTTTCTCCGGCCACCTATAAGATCGGTCGAATTAAATTAAGCATTTCGTAAAGTGACTCATAATGAGATAAAGGGACAAGACGATGAAAGCAATGAGACCAGGACCGTCATGCATAAAATATGATATGTTAAAAAACACTTCAAAACTTAGGGAATCAATTTATATGCTCAAATATAACGTAAAAGAAAACAAAAATAGGACGTGGCATGAGAGAATGAACATGCACTAACCGCATCATTAGGGACATCTTGGTTCGAATCCGGATCAGAATTCGGGTTGACTCGGCCCGTTTCTTGATCCAACTTCTTCCTGTGTTTCTTCTTCTTCTTGGTTAAGTCAAGCCCTCCTCCTTCTTTCAATAGCTTCCCAAGCTTCACACACTTCTTCGTCACAAACTCGTTCAAAACCTCTGCATGACAATAAATTTATTAACAGAGGATTTTTTTAAAAAAACAGAGAAATTTGAGTTAGAATGTATACCTTCGAAGCTGACGAGACGGTAGACATGTCCGATGAGCAAAGTGTCGTCAGGACGAAGGAGCTTGAGCTGTTTCAATGGTGATCCTTTCTCGTTCTTCATAGTAGGTGACGTCACCACCACCGCAACGTAATGACCCGGATTGGATCTCATGACATCACTCGCTGTAACCGACCAGTAAATTCTCTCTACCTTGTTCTCCGCCGGATGATGAATCAAAACCGTCGCTGCTTCCGCCGCTTGACAATTCCCCATTTTTTTCTTATCCTTCTTGTTTTTTTTTTCTTTTTTGTTGGGTTCTGGTCTGAAGGGAAAGTAGTATATAATAAGAAAAATGTTGTGTACGTAGAGTATTTGGTTTTTAATAAATAGTGACGTCAGAATTCTTCATCATTTGGAATTTGTCAGGTTTGACAATGAGGTCGCTTGAAACCGATAATAAGGATTAAACACACAAATTTTGTATTTGTATTTTTAGATTAAAAACAAAAACAAAAAAAGAGAGAGAGGAAGAAGAGAAAGAACACAAAAGAGAGAAGCTGTCGACAAGAGAGATTAAGCAATGAGACGAATAAATAAAGAGGTTGGGGGTGGTCGATCTATTAATTTTTTTAATTAGATGTTTAGTGATGATAATGACTTTTGAATTTTTTTTAGTACGAAAATGAATAAATGTTAGTATTAAGGATCTTGCATATCGCAACCAATGGGAGTGATTAAACGACATGTTTAATTCCCTTGAATTATTAAGTTGACTAGAGAGAGCGCTTATGGTATTTAATCAAAGACTAAAATAGACTGTAAATATAAATGACCAACCATCCTTTTTTTACCAATACTAGTCAACTATTTAAGTATAGAAAGTGTATATATTGATGATTTTATAGCTAATTTAGAAATCTTTCAAATGTGTTAAAATTGCGAATCTTTTGTTAGAATAAACAAATATTTACAGTGAGAGTAAAAGCTGTTCCAAAAATTTACAGAGGAAGCGTGTTGATTTGGAATTACGGTAGCAGTGAAAGATTGATAGAATGTTAAAAAGCGTGGGACAACATAACAGTCGAATCAGATGGTTTTATGACCGTTGGATTCACGTGCTTCTCATTCTAGAGCCGTCGGATTTGAGAGACGAGGTATCTTGTCACACACAATGGCAGTATCAAAAAGACACTGCAAAAACTCTTTACTGTCTCTATTTTCAAACATATATTTGTTCGACTTTTCTAAATAGGACTTCGATTTTTTTTTCGATATATATTTTCTAATAACAATTTTGGTTGAGTACCACTATTCACTAACGTGTGATGTGTCCTATTTTTCGTAGTTACTTGCTAAGCGAGGTTTTAAATTAGATGAAATCAACTGTTTTAAGTTTGGATTTATATGTTTGGCCATTTATCATTAACTCTAGTTCCACAAAAGCCGTTTGTTTTGAATATATTTTATTTATCAGATAAAAAAGGAAAGAACACACGTTTTTTCATAATTTTGTTAAAATTTTCACAAACTATGTAAGTTGAAATTGACCCGACCAAGCAAATTAAATTCGTTACACCAAAACACGCCACCATAATAATAAAACCGATGAAGTCTGGTAAGAGAACACTCGTAATTAATTACTCTCTGATTGAATAGAGAGGGAGAGACAGACATGCATGCGTATCATTTTTGCGCTACATAAGATGATGTGTCATTCACTATATACTGGTCTATATTGGGCTTTTAAGCCCATTAATTTTCTAAAAGGCCAGACTGATTTCTTCAACCATTATGAGTCCCCGACCTATATAATGGGATAAACTGAACCGAAATAAGTTGACCAAATCTGAACAAAATCAAATTTGTACCAAACCGATCTATATGGAATTATGGTTAAAATCATCCTTTTTAGAACCGGATCCATTGTTTACTCTAGTCAGTCTAACAATCGTTACCACTTTAAATAAAACCAAACACAAATCCGAGTTCAACATCCTCCTAATCATAGATATCATCACAAAACCCACAATAAATACGCAAACAGACGTGGATCCTCAAATCTGCATTGCGTCCTCTGCATCAGCTTCATCTGTTTTGATTGGTTCGCTGAACATATACTGACTCTGATACTCAACAAGATACTGCATCGATCTCCTCACGTCCAAGAACAATCGATAAACTCTCTGGATATCCTCGACCTCCACGATTTTCCCTTTCCTTTTCTGGCAAGACAAGGCCGCCGCGGTTATAAGATGAATCGCATACCTTAGAGAAGTATCGCGTCCGATCAATGTCAAAAGCTGTTTGGCCTCTTCGTTCATCTCAACATCTTCTTCTTGGCAACGGATCTCTAAGATCTTCCTTATGTCTTCGTCTGTGTAAGGTTGGGTAGTGATGATAAGAAGACGGTCAAGGAGATCGATCGGGATCCCGTGGGGTGATTTCTGGTTAGTGCCACGGATGGTCGTGACTCCTCGGTTTGTAGCCACAACGAGGATTGGTGACATTTCGTTTTCCAGAGCTCGGTTAAGGAATGAGAAACACTCGATGTCTAGCATGTGGACTTCATCAATGAAGAGAACACCAGGAACTATCTCAGCTTTTCCTTCTTCTCTCCATTCAGCTACTTTTGTATCGATTTGTTCTCGGACTTCTGATCGGATTTCTCCAGTATCACCAGTGAAAAGGGCTAGAAACCCTTGAGTCCTGCAGAGGAACATAGACGACATACAAAATAAGTTACTTAGTAGTTTTGTTCTACCATTCACGTTTCAAACATCAATTTGACAACCTAAATTGATTCTAAGAATACTACAAACAGAATGTGCTTGTTCTAGTTATAGAGAGTGCTCTGACTACACACTGCTGAAGACACGTCCAAAATTAACATGAGCTTGAGAATTTCAAGAGCATATTAAGCAATGAAGTAACCTCCAAATTTGAGACATCTCATTTAGTGAACTAAAGCAACTAAATTCCCAGTCGTCTAAATCACTAAAAAGAAATCTCAATTTTGCAACCTAAATTGGTCCAGTAAATTACGTAAATCATGATATTATCAATGCTCAGAATTCAGGGAATGTGTTAAATTACCTGCTGTTGATAACATCAATCTCGTGAAGAGTCACACAATGCACAACCTCTTTCCTCTTCTGCAACTCGCCTTCAGGGCACTGCACAAACTTAGTCTGCGCACCCATAGCATCATAATCTCGAGACCTAGAAAACGATCTTCCAAGCTTAGTAATCTTCCCAGTAGCCTTATCAATGGCAATGACATCACCACTCTGCACTTTCTCCTTGTTCAAAGCTTCAATCATCTTCGCTCCCATATCATACACAGTCTCCATATCCGTAGTCTTCATAGTCATCTTCCCAGACTTAGAAGCAACACCAGAAGAAGCAGGCCTATCAATCTGTACCTCCACAACTTCACCTTCTATAACCTCAGTCTCTTCTTTGATCCTAACACCGATAGCTTTACGGAAAGACTGAGTCAAAGCTTCTGTTTTCGACATCTCCAGAGAGAAAATCTCACTTCCTGCAATCATCGCAAAAGGAGTCTCCAGGCCTAGCGATTTCGCCATACCCATAGCAATTGCTGTCTTACCAGTTCCGGGCTGACCCGCTATTAGAATAGCCCGACCCGCAATTTTACCTTCCCTAATCATCTGAAGAATCACACCGGCGGCTTTACGCGCCTTCACTTGACCGACCATTCCTTCGGAAACAGCTCGCGGCTCGAGAACCGAGTCGAGACCCAGTCCTCGGATGTGAGAGTGTGCGCCGATTCGCTCGACTCTGGTTAAGTCCCGACTCTCTGATAGCTTTAGTTCCGCCATGTTCGATGAACGTCTTCGTGCGATTGAGGCGGAGGAAGAAAAAAGTTGAGGTTTTTAGGGTTTAGAGAGATGCTACACGCCAGCAATGGCGAAATCACTTTAAATCCGCTTCTTAATAAGGGCAAAAAGGGAATTTAACGAACCTTACAAACCAAGAAGTACAAATTTAGTAATATGCCCTTGTATTATCAAAGAAAGACTAATCAACTCTTACATAAAGATATGGTACAAATTTAACCCTAATTACGAGGATCTGGGATATGATTTTGGTTTAGAACACTATCTTTGGCCAGCTTCTTAGCCTCTCTCCTCTTCTTGACTTTCCTCGTCTTATCACTGTCACCGAATTTTTCTACCAAACCAGAACATAAAATAAAACAAAGAGTCAGACACGTAATGTAATTATTACAAAAGAAAAAGACAGCTTTGAATCAATTGCACCAGCAATTCCAAGGCTATAGTAGATTTTGATTGAAGTCAAAACTTTCAAAACCATTTATCTGAATTTCGTACAAGTGATTACGAAATCTAGTTGGAGATATGTAGGAATCTTTTAAGTCTACTATTCCCAAAAGATTTGAAAGTAAAAAGAAAAGAGTCAAAAAATTGAACCTTCTTTCTTCTCTGTGGCATTTAGTCGAACAGGTTGTGAGCAGATTTTGCTTTGGCAAGCCTCATCTTCTTCTTCTTGGCTATCAGAATCTTCTTCAATAATACTCCCGCTTGCATCTCCGACTCTTCTTCCGTCAGGGTTCTGAAGCATTTGTGACGGAAGTAAAGGTCCGATCATAACTTTCTTCCGTCGAGCTTCTTCTTCTTTGAGCATCTTCTTCCTTAGCCTCTTTCTCTGCGCTCGACTCGGTTTCTCTGCAATCCCCGATTCGTCTCCATTTTCGTTGTCTTCTCCCTGAATGGTTGAACTAATTTTCAAGTAATCCTCTGAAAAATCAAATATAAAACGATTTGGCGGTGATTTCCAACTGTTAAATAACTTGTATCAAACGGAAAAATACAAAAAAATCAGGTTAAAAGTACATTAGTCATACCTGGATTTATAAGTGTTACATCGAATGGTTCGTCATTAACAACCTCTACCTGAAAACTCAGAGTTAAACAACAATGGCGTAAACAGATTGGTTTATCTTGTTTCAAAAATCCCAAATCAAGTAGAGAATGAGAAAATACCGGAGACGGAGAAGATGAAAGAGAAGGTGGAGATGAAGGAGGATAAAGCGTTTGAAGAAGAGCTTCGTGAAACTCCCGGCGCTTCTCTTCTCGCCGTCGCATCTTCGGAGATCGCTCAGATCCACAAGATAAGATGTGTTCAACCTTTTAAGTTTATTATTTTAAGTCCCTAATCTTTAGTGGTATTTGTGTTATCGTCCTGAAACTTTTGTTCACGGGCTGACTCACGGTGTTACACGTTGACGTTGAGATGTAAACCATGTTCTTTTCATTCCATGCTAAATTGCTAATCTTTCTCGCAGTTAATAATATTTTGGTATTAGTTGAAATGTAACTAAAATGTCGAAACCACTATAATTGTTGTGTTAGTTGTTTAGTCACCGTGTAACTTCCATGTTTTGTCACCATAACTTTTTGGTCTTCAAATTCCTAACACCTAATAATCCAATTAATAATATTTACAATTGTTGAACAAAAAAAATATATATATACAATTTCATTTAAAATAATCTAATTATTAATCTGTCACTTACGATTTGACAGGTGAACGTTAGCTGCTGAAGGAGAAAATATGAACGTTAGAAACAATTAAGTTTTTGTTACCGTTATGATTTATTTATTTGAATTAAAATGTATGGATAATGGACACTATAAATATAAGTGCATACTCCTCTCGTTGTTGGTTAAAAGTTCAAAACTCATACACAAATTCTTAAATTTCTGCTGCTTAATTCTGTTTCCGACTTCAAAGAGTTTCCAGTTTCCTCTCACTTGCTCAGAGACAAAGAGAGAGAGAGAGAGAGAGAGAGAGAGAGAGAGAGAGAGAGAGAGAGAGAGAGAGAGAGAGAGAGAGAGAGAGAGAGAGAGAGAGAGAGAGAGAGAGAGAGAGAGAGAGAGAGAGAGAGAGAGAGAGAGAGAGAGAGAGAGAGAGAGAGAGAGAGAGAGAGAGAGAGAGAGAG